TGCATAGCATCTCTCCATTCTTGCGGAACCTATTCTGCCTGCCTGTGCCCAGTGTTCAAAACTAACCAGGCACCAGACATGTTTTGCAATTTGTGTGGGTCTAATCGTGACCACGTGGAGATCTCCAGAGGCCAGGTTGGCAGTTGACGTCTTCATCTGACTGGCCCCTCCATCTTTCTTAAGCAGAATAGCTTATTTATTGCATTTATATCCCTACTTTTATTCCAAGAAATATATGGTTTACCCCCACTTCACTTAATTCCTACAACGACCCTGTGAGGTAGGTTCAGAGGCTGTGACTTGCCCAAGGTTACTCAGTGAGCTCATGACTGAGTGGGGATTTGAACCCTGGTTTCCCAGGTCCTAGTCCAACACTCTAACTGCTACACCACACTGGCTTCCTAGAGTACTTCTGCTATGGGGCAGCAGTATAAATAAAGTATGTAAATAAATAAGGGGGAAGCAGGGAAAGATTATGCGTGCTCCACCGATGCGCAAGGTGACCTGGAATGTAACCCCCACACTATTTGGGGGTTGCCTGTATATTTATTTTATTATAATAAATTTATATACTGTCCCTCATCCAAAGATATCGGGGCGGTTCACAAGATAAAAAGATACAGGACAAAAGCGTGCTGATGAAAAGTACGGTTACGTGAGTGCCTTGGCAGAGGGTGTGCTTTAATCTGTTGTAACCGTTGTAAGCTGAGAGAGATTCTCTATTTGTGGTTTCAAAGGAAATATGTAACTACCGTAAGATATTAACTCGTTCATATTGGGTAAACAGAGTATTCTAGAGTATTCATTGTGGTGAAGTTTTCCATCTACATGGGCATAATGGCAAGCTTGAGGACTTCTGGTGGCTGCAAATCCTTTCACCTCCTCCTCTTCATTATAAGGTAGCCATGCCGCCCTCACCCTTAAAAAAGTGTGTAGAGCTGAAGGAAGAGTGGTGTGTTCACACCATTTTCTTTCAGATCTACAGGCTATTTCTAATTGTGTCACTCAGCTGGTGGTAAAGCTTCATTCAACAGAATGAGAGGGAAGCACTGGATCTGTGAAGTGATTTTAAATCTTCAGTTTATCCAATATTGGCTTTAATTTTCTGGTGGTACTGGGGCAACTCTTACGTAAAGTCATGAAAATTTAGGGGACTCTATTATTCTACTGGATCTGATTTTTACCCTTATCTCATGGAAAAGCTGTGTGTGTGTGTGTGTGTCTGTCTGTCTGTCTGTCTGTCTGTCTGTCTGTCTGTGTGTAGGGGTATGTGCATGCACTAGCACATTTTTCTTTCTGTCTTTGAGGTGTGTGTGAAGCAATTAGAGAGCATGATGCCAAGGGCACTCTCTCAAAATCCCAAATACACTCATTGATCCAAAGAGACTGGTGATCTCTCAACTGTATGTTGCATGCTATTGGGTTTTCTTGCCTAAACAATACCTGCATGGTGAACTTTGTGAATAACTAGGAAAAAAGAATGAAGCTTATATTAAAACTGGAGCTACCGCCTACAAAGTATGTTTAGAAATGTGTATTGTTTGGGGCTTCACTATTTACAAAGGGCTTTTTTCTAATTGTGTCACCCAGCTGGTGGTAAGGATTGATTCAGCAGAATGAGGGGAAAGCAGTGTTCACCTCTTCCCCTCTGCACCCCTGTATTCTGCTCTGGAGTCCCCCAACACTTCAGAACAGATTGCCAAAAATGGCATCCCTCCCAATTGTGCTGAAGGAAACCTTGTCATCTGACTGGTACCATTGGATACAAACCAGAGGGTTTTAAGTAGATGGAAATTCAGTACTTTATTTTTAACTATTGTGTTCTATATAAAATACTTAAAATGGATGTGAGTACTCTTTTTGACTCTTTAGGCACCACTGCGCTCACAATAAAAATAAAAGTAAATCTCTCTTCCTTTTCTTTTTTAAAGACTAAGGTTCCAATCCTAAACATAGCACTTAGGATTTCACCACAGTGAGGCTTAGTTCTGAGTAAACAACATATGTTGAATTATGCTGTAAATGTACCTCCTATTAGCCAAGAAGCTACCAGTATTTTTGTCACCGGAGGATAATGTGGAGCATGTTCTTTAATTAAAGTTTATTTTTAAAATTCCACAAGTCCTCAAAAGTCCATTTTAATATTGTCTGGAATTGATTTTAGATTAAGAAATTTCTGATTATACGTTCACACAGTACTTTGGTTAGGAACAGTCTTATGGTTAGGAAAGAAGTTACTGAAGAATTCAGAAAGTTGCATTATCTATTGAAGACCTTAAGTGATTCTGACTTGTCAGGTCCTACTTTTTAAACTGAATTATAACATTCACAGATCATTTATTGCTCAAACTATGGTTATTTTAATCTTATGGAAACAAATTTTGTTCATACATACACCTCTAACAGTGAATATCCATTCCCTTAAACATCTATATTTATCCTAAGCATGGATGTTCAAGCCATTTGAGTAAACAAAGACAGCATTGTTGCATTAGTTAACTGCTTTTAAATGCATGGTGTTTTACTAAGAGTGCCATATCAGTTGTTCTAGATACACTATATAAAGAAGGCAGACTCCTTGCTGTGATGCTACTTCGGATTTCTGCCAAGAAACAACAAGCATTGCTTGTTGGTGAACAAATCTCTGCCTCTTAGAGTGATTGTTTTAAATTAGTTGGCAGTCCTGATTTAAACATAGCTCTGAAGGATCTTAATTTTCCCTTTGTACACTCTCTGTTACATCTCAGATTGCTTCTCAAATCTCAGAACTCTCATAACCTTAGGGAATTTTTAGCCGCAGAGTAGTGTTCATTTCATGTCTATCTCTCTTTACCCTGCAACACAAAGAACTAGGGAAGTATAAAGGGAGATGACCTATTTTAAAAGTATTTGTTTGCCATTATATTTTAGGGCCCCTGCTGTAATACATAGATCCCAAAGGGGCAGTTAGGGAGCTTTTTAGACGTTGAGGAATTCCAAGGAAAAACCCTGTGCGAAACATTAAAGTTATAAATCCTGGCCCTCCATAATGTTGATGTTCTTCAACAGTAGGTGAGATAAGTGAAGACTATGTGGAGAACTGACTGACAAGAGAGACGCAAGTTAAGCAGTTCTTGGCTCTGGAGGACTTATAGTGGTTGCCTTTTTAAAAGGCTTAGTAATTGGTTTTTTATATAAAATCTTATCTTTAAACCATTACAGTATACAATTTTGTTGTTGTTAATTCTGAAACATTGTTTATTTTGTGGAGGTTATTTTTCAATCCATTATCGTTTCTCTCAAATCTATACATATTTGGTCTTTACCATATTGCACTATGAAATGGCATAACATTACCTTGTGCTTATGTAACATGAGAAATTGTCAACATGGATTCAGCTCATAAACCTTACATTCAGACTTTAGACTTCTTCCTTGCTCATCTAAAGTGTTGATCGTAGCAAAATGCACATAATGACTTGTATTATAGGAATTGATCATGGGAATTAAGTGATAAACAGTTTATTCCACAGTTTATTGTCTTATTGGAGGCAGTTCTTCTTTCACATGTTGCTAGTTGAATATTTGTTTTATTTGTTTACTTAGGTCTAATGCCTCAGTTGTACCAGTGTATCTGGAAATTTGGTTATGCAGCTACCGTTGGTTAAAAGTGAAATGAGGTTATTCAGTTTTTGCACAGTAAACACAGGAGGGAGAATAGAGTAGAAATGCACAAGGATCTTTTAGCTCCATTTTAGGTGTTGGTTCACACAGTTATATTCATCGCTAAGTACCTGCAGCATCAGTAGTCTGTTTGCCTGTGCGAATGAGTCATCTGATAGTGAAGTGAATGGCCCAGAGCTGACCAGTATGGCAATGAAATAGGCCTTTTCAGAGAGAAGTGGGTAGTTTCTGCATGCCCATAAAACAATCTGGGTATGCAGAAAAACAGTTAGAAAAAACAGAAGGTGGGAAGACTGATGACTCTGCATGCATGTATATTGCAAGCCCTTTGTGTGCCCTGTGACCCTTAGGCCAAAGGAAAACACGTGACTTTCCACTTTCCATTAAGAGCAGTGTGGGGGACATGATGGGCATGTGGCATTCTGCATATCAAAGTCAGAAGGTAGAATAGTAGCTTCTCAGTACCAGTTTCTGGGAATGATCTTGGATCATTATTACTATGAGAGCATTAACAGCCAAAGGATGGTATGTGTGTACATGGTGGAGAACCATGCATATGGAATTTTCCTTTGAATTTTTGCCTGAGCAAAGAGGCAAACCAGCTATTAAGTTTAAAGATCAATTTGTATTTTGACTATCAGTAATAGTGAGGTGTAAGCTTAAAGGAAATCTGAAGTTCTGCAAATTCTCCTTCCAGTTTGCTTACACTTTTTTGGATTTATGCTGGTATATTAAATAATTTGTGTGGGAATCTATAACTCAAAAATTGGATCATACTTTGACTTTAGACCCAAAGCGGACAGCCTGCAATTGATGATCAGGATTTTTTATTGCATTCATTTAATGCAGTCTACAAAATGTCTGCAAGCAACTTACAAATATATAAAATGCTGAATAGCTTTGTCAGTAATTTAAAACCAAATATATAGAATAAAATACAATAGAACAAAAATTTATAAAGTTTTTTATTTAACAAGGATAAAAATGACATATCCTACCCCACCCCACTGAAAGAAGAATATCATGGATATAAATCATACTACACTATGCTCAAAGACTGAAAGCCTGAGCAAGCAGGAAAGCAGACATTGTTGGTGTGAAGTGTGTTTCCCTGGGGAGAATTTCCCACAAATGCGGAGCCTTTCTCTTTTTGCTACCCTCCAGTGACAGGCTTCTGGTTGATTTATATGGGAGGGCTGACTTTTCAAGTTAGGTATTATATGGTGTTTTACACAGTATAGAGGTAGTCAGCATCTCTTTGCTATTGCAGAGGATTTGGCTTTTTTTGTATAAAGCATATATTTAGGAATAACTTTTTAATTTTAAACTTTTAACAGAGAGAAGGAGCAAGAAAAGGAAGAACAGTTAATGGAAGACAAGAGAAGAAAGAAAGAGGATAAGAAAAAGAAGGAATCTACTCAGAAGGTAAGCCAGGTATTTGTTTGATCATACTTTGTAAGGTCATCCATTTATAATAGTTGACCAGTGAGCATCAGGCACTATGATTACTGCAACTACTATATTCTCACTCGCCCACCCCAGCAATGCTGCATGTACATCTCAGCTCATCTTCTGTATTTTCTAGTTAGAATCCTTTTCCTTTAAAGCTAGAAGAGGATTTATCTTGAGGTTTGCATGCAGTCATCTCAGCCATGCCATATTAAACATAGATCAGTGTTGATCGAGCTGTAAAAGCAGCTGGTTTCCTCTGTGTCGTTTATAACTTGGGTGCTTGTCTGGCAACAATTGCTGCTTTCTCAGACATGCAGGTGAGTAGCAAATTATAAGACTGCTTTAAAGAAATCTATTTATGGATCCAAGAAGTGTTCCCAGGATGTATTTTACATTGGTAAGTGCGAGACTCTTTGTGCTTCTCTTAGCTTTCTTACTTGAGCACATGAATTGAAACTGCTTGGAGTGGTTCCCAAACTCCTGTGGCTGAGGTCCTGGGATTATTGACTCATACATTGCCTTCATTAAAGCACATGCAGAAACAGTGTTTTGTCTACAGCCCATGTTGGGGGGGTATTTTAATTTTTACACTTGCACCCCACATTTAAGAGCATAGGAAGAGCCTTCTGGATCAGACTAGTAGCCCATATACACCAGCTTCCTGTTCTCACAGTGGCCAACTCAATGCCTGTAGGTCCAATGGCATTCTCTCCCATTATGCTTCCCAAAACTGGTAGCCAGAGGTTTGCTGCCGCCAGCAGTGGAGACAGAACATAATAGTCATCTTGGCTAGTAGCTTTTTATAGCTGTGTCCTCCAGGAATTTATCTAATCCTCTTTTTAAAGCCATCCAAGTTGGTGATCATCACTGCCTTCTATGGGAGCAGATTCCATGGCTTAACTATGCACTTGTGAACAAGTGCTGTCTTATTTTTGTTCCAAGTCTTCCAGCATTTGACTCCAATGGATGTTCACGGGTTCTACTGTTATGAGAGAAAGAGATTATTTTCTTCTATACTTTCTCTTCACCATGTATAATTTTATATACCTTTAAACAAAAAAATCCAAAATGTGACTTTTCTTTATAGTAGAGGTGCCCTTTCCTGAACCCTTTCCAACTCTATAATACACTTTTTGAGGTAAAATGACCCAGAATGGTACACAGTACAGTGGTACCTCGGGTTGCAAATGCTTTGGGTTTCAAACACTTTGGGTTACAAACTCTGCTAACCTGGAAGTAGTACTTTGGGTTGAGAATTTTGCCCCAGGATGAGAACGGAAATCGCGCGCCGGCAGCAGCAGGAGGCCCCATTAGCGAAAGCACACCTCAGGTTAAGAACGGACCTCCGGAACGAATTAAGTTCGTAACCCGAGGTACCACTGTATTCCAAATGCAGTCACACTATAGATTTGGATAATGGTAGTATGATATTGACACTTTGGTTTTCGACCACTTTTCTGATGATTCCTAGCATAGAATTAACCATTTTCACAGCTGGCACACACAGAGTTAGCTTCTTCATCGAGTTCTCCATTATGACCCATAGGTCTTGTTTCTGATCAGTCACCAACACTGCATGAACATACATGTGAAATTCATATTTTTTTGCATCACTTTACAGTTGCCTACATTGAAACGTATTTGTCATTTTACTGCCCATTCACCCAGTATGGCAATAACTTTTAGAGATCTTCACAATCCTTTTTGTTTTAATCACCTTCGACAATTTAGTAACACCAGCAAAAATGATTACCTCACTACTTGTCCCTAGCTGTAGACTATGATCAAGTTAAATAACACATGTCTCAGTACTTATTCTTGGACGACTCAATTTTCCACATTTCCATCTTTCTGCTTCATGTTTCTTGTCAGTTACTGATCCATAAGAGGACCTTGCTTCTTGTTCATGATTGCTAAACGTATCTGAAAGTATTTGTGAAGTACTTTGTCAAAAGCCTTTTGAAAGTCAAAGTTCATAATGTCAGCTGGATACCTCTATCTATATACTAGTTAACAGTCTCAAATAACTATAAAAGGTTAGCGTGATGGAAGTTAACTTTGCATAAGCAATTTCAGAAAGATTCTAGGGCACTTTCTTCCAAGAAGCTCAAGGTGGCATACACAACTCTGCCCGCCCCGCCCCGCCCCCGCCGCCCTTAATTTTATCCTTACATTAACCCTGTGAGGTAAGTTAGGCTGGCACAACATAATTTAGTGAACTTCATGGATGAGTGGGGATTTGAACACTCTCGTCACTCTCCCATGCTGTATTATTACTATTACTGTTTAAATTTATATAGTATACGGTCCTTCATCTGAAGATCACAGGGTGCTTCATAACATAAAAATGCAAAATGAGAACACAAAATACATAAAAACCAAACAAACCAGTAATTCCAAAGACACATTTAAAAGGCCATAGAACGTTTAATCTGCCAGAGGGCTGGTTTTAGAGAAACATTTCCACCTGGCGCCTAAATATTTGTAAAGAAGGTGCCAGGTGAGTTTCCTTGGGGAGCATATTCCACAAATGGGAAGCCACCCTTAGAAAAGACCCATTCTTGTGTTGCTACCCTCCAGACCTCTTCTGGAGGGGGCACACAAAAAATGGGCCTTAGATGATGTATCTCTTCAAGCAGCAGCATCTAAAAATTGTTGAGGCTTTTTCTCCTCTTGTTGGTCTACTTCCCCAGGACGTGATATGTCAGAACAATGGAATCTTCAGCCTTAGAAAAGCACTCATAAAGATTTGTTGTGGCTAATGATGTATATTTGAACAGGGCCTCTTAAGTTCGGATGAGCAAAGACCTTTAAAGTAAAAATTGACGGCATTTTACATCTTTTTATGTTGCTCTTTCTGGTTTACTGTACAAAAAACTAGCTCTTAATTCCTCAGACCTATTAAATGTGAAGTTTGACATAGGCAGGAATATTCAATACTGCCTGAAAAACCACCCATCTTTTTGATCTAGATCTTCTTGATGAGCCAGGAGAGACAGAACATCGATTTAGCACCAACCCATTCTCTTTGAGATGACTGCAGAGACAGGAGGTGATTTCTAAGCACTGTCACCTGGAGGCACAAGCGGGGCAGGGTGTTCCCATTATAGTGTAATAACAAACCATCTTTTTTGCTGCTCACTGACCTTCTACATCAGTGCTTTATACTGTGGCTCTTTACAGATGTTAGCTTGCTGGTCCATAGGTACAGTGCTCCATGTATGCAGTTTTGAAAATGGGCTATAGAAGCTTCATACCATTATTGCGTATTTATCGTGTGGTACCTTAAGTCTTCAGAGATAACAGATCGGAATCAGAGCTGTCAAAGGCACCTTAAGTCATAGAAGTAATAGAAACTTTTCAGTAACTTAGTGAGTCACTTTCCTGAGTGTCTTGGTGGTACTGGATCATTCCCCCCAGCCCTACTCCCAATCCTATGAAAATACAACACAGAGGATACAGGTACTGATTCTCTTGTCAGCCTTAGGAAATGGCATCTTGATTCTTTATGTTGGATCTTCTTCACCAACCGAGTTTGCGCAGCTACTGGGGCGATGGAATAAAAGCTTTCCCACAATATCTTTGCTTATCTTTATTTTTAAATAATAATCAAACAGCTGCAAAACACCCCTTCTCACCACCTTTCCTCAACAGTCCTTAACAGTATTCCTTAACAGTACATACTATACCATTTGATCAACTTAAATACAGGCTTCCCTCCTTCACACATCCCCCAAAACTGATTTTCAGGGTCATGACTGATAGCTTCCATATAATTTTCCTCTAGAAAGGGATTAGACAAATGCATAAAGACATCTAAGCCACTGGCCATCTCTACGTATTATGACAGTGAATTCCATGTAACCTGTACTTTGTGTAAAGCCCTTCTTATTGTCTGCCCATAATCTATTCCCAGTCAGTGGTAAGTAACCTCCCAAAATTAGTGTTATAAGAAAGATGACATTCTTTCCATTTTTCACTGTCTAGTTAATAAGTTTATGAATGACAGTCATGTCCCCCCTTAGTCTCCCCCCCTCCTTTTAAACCAAAACCCCGTGGAATTGATGGGGGGACGGACAGGACAGTAGTGAGAGTCTTAACTCAGTAGTGGGGGGGGGCCCTTGCCCCTTGTGCCTCCTGAGCCACTATGCCCCCAACCCAGGTTAAGAATCTGAACAAATCATACTCCCCTGGTAAGAACATGGCCACAGGATCAGGGTTAGCAGCGTTTGCCTGCCTACTCTTGTCTGGGGTCTCCCTCTCTTCTGAAGTCCTCCCTCCTGAGTGAGTAGATGCCCTTACAGCCATCATAATGTGAGCTTGCAGTCCCTCCTGCCTTGGGTAGGAAAGTGCAGGGAGGGTGCTGCTTGCCTGCATCCTCTTTTGGACAATTTCTCCCACTATTGGAGAGGAAAATGTGTTGGCTTCTCAGTTGGATTGGCACACTCTGCCCCAACCACTCTCCTGTGACTCTGTTAAATTAAAACAACAACAACAACAACAACGTGCCAGCATCTAGGGCAGGCACACACCAGTTACTGCTGCACAATTTCTTCCCACCGCTCTTGTCGCTCTCCTGATGTTACTGAGCTTTTCTCTTGACTGCTTTGCCCCTTATGCCCTGTCTTGACTGAGGCCTTCCCACCCCCACCCCCACTTTCCCGTTAAGCAAACACAGTTGGTGGGTTGGAGTTGGGGCAGCACAAAGATGTGAATGGGTTTCCAGTAAAAATAAATAAAATAAAAGCAAAAATAAAATACAAATTTATGCATCTGCCAAAACTGAGCGCTTTGTGAGCTCAGGAGAACCACGATGGTTCACTTGTGAGACAGGGCCAGTCTGGGGAGACCAGGATTGCTCCTCCTCCAGGGAGCATCTTAAAGCATCCTGCTTAACCCACCAGAGGGGAGGAGCCTTCGTCTTGAGCTATTTGAGGAGCGATGACTGGAACCTGTGTGTTCTCTTCAATACTTGTGCTCAAATTGGCCTCTCAAAGGGTTTTTATTTCTGGATTTGGAGCTCATGTCTGCTTGCAGCCTTTTAGAGCCTGCTTCTTGAATGGTAAATAAACAGGAAGCACTCGTTAAAAAACGGGGTCCTATAGCCGTGATCTTTTGCTAACTCTTTTAAACCCCATTACTAACATAAATCAGGCAGAGTTGTTTGTGGGCAGTCCTGTATCAAATAATAAGGTGAATTATACTGTGTTTTTCTCAGTTGGATTGATGGACATGAGAAAAGAGGTGTTTTGCATGCACTGGCGGAGGAAGAGGAGTGCGGGGGGAGTGCACTGCCCTGGCAGCCGGATCCTGGTGGGGTGCCATTGCAGCTCCCCCCCCCCCCCGCATACACATGCTGGGCACCACGCCCCCGCAGGCAGCACACCACACCTCCCGGGACGTGCACCAACCACCACCCCACCTGCTCTCCACCCCCGATGCCGGAGCATGAAGCTCCGCCACTGTTTGCATGTGTGTTTATTTTACAAGAGAGATTTGGCTAGGTTGGTGCAAACAATAAACTCACATTGTACTATACTGCAACACTGCACCAACCACAATTATTTTAAGAAGAGATAGTTAAAACTCAACAAATTTTTTTTTACTTTATTGTGTAAAGTGTTCTTTACCAAAAGGTTTGAAGTTTATAATAACACAGAGTTTAAGGAAACTTCCTAGTCGTAGAAATCTTGAATAATTGTATTCAGGGTCTTGTTTTCTAAGCATTTTATTCACATTGGTTTGACGTACTGAAAAGCTTTTAGTGGCATTGTGTTTACCCTAGTGAGACTTTCAGCACAGTTTGTCCCTGCAACATTTGTTGAGTTGTTGGAAATCTAATAGTGCTAGAATTCCAATGTTTTTTCACTTGTGACCATTCAGTGTTGGAAAGCCGTGGCGTATATGCTGCATTGAGGTAGCCCCTTCAGGTGTTATGTTGCCTTGTATAAGAATCTGTATCCTTGCTCGTGTTTACTTACTTGAAATTTGTTAAAGCAGTGGTTCTTCAGATAATCTATTACTGGGAAGAAAATAGGCTTGTGCTTTAATATGCTCTGTTTCTTAGAACGGGGGAGGTGGGTGGCGCTGTGATCTAAACCACTGAGTCTCTTGGACTTGCCAATTGGGAAGTCGGCTCTTCGAATCCGCGTGTTGGGGTGAGCTTTGTCCCAGCTTCTGCCAACCTAGCAGTTCGAAAGCACACCAGTGCAAGTAGATAAAAAGGTACCGCTGTGGAAGGAGGTAAATGGCGTTTCCGTGTGCCCTGGCTTCCGTCACTGTGTTCCGTTGTGCCAGAAGCGGTTTAGTAATGATGGCCACATGACCCGGAAAGCTGTCTGTGGACAAACACCCGCTTCCTCGGCCTGAAGTGAGATGAGCGCCGCACTCCATAGTTGCCTTTGACTGGACTTAACCATCCAGGGGTCCTTTACCTTTACCCTTAGCTATTTCTTACAGTCCTGTTGAGCAAACAATTCAGTTGTTAGACAAAGTAAATTTTCTTGCCTATCTTGTGTCAAATATTCCTGTTACCTGGGTCTAGTACATACATTAGTATCAGTTTTCTTTTATCTGCTTACTTGCAAAATGAAAGAAATGCTTAGATATTTGAAAAGGAGGAAGAATCTTTTGCTAAACAAAATGTATAAATACTGAAAACGACAAGTTGTTTGACCATTTTAATATTTGTATATGCCTAAACAGGTTACGTTTAGGCATATACAAATATGCCTAAACATAACACAGGCTTACCTTTAACACAGGCTTAACTTAGTTAAGGTTAATAAGGCTATTTTTATTTATTCTTCTCATTTCACTTACAGGTCACAGATCAAAAAACCAAAGGTAAAAGACTTTTAATTTTTCTAAAATTTACAATAAGTTTTTTTGGTCTTTGAGCAGATCATTTTCCACTTCTTTCTTAAAACAAAGTTCTTCTACCCTTATTAGCTTCATAGGATCAGGGCATGAAGTATATTTTAATACTAAAAATGTTTTTTCATAAATAATTTTAAATATAGTCTTTCATATTGTTCAGCTTGCAAAACAATTCAGAACACCAATTTACATGTTTTGTTGTAGTGCCCGAAGCGACGAAACCAAGTTTAAGCCAACCAGTGACCGCCAGCCCAATTGGCAGCTCTCCATCGCCACCAGTCAATGGTGGCAACAATGCCAAAAGGGTGGCAGTGCCGAACGGTCAACCGCCAAGCGCCGCCCGCTACATGCCTCGGGAGGTGCCGCCGCGATTCCGTTGCCAGCAGGACCACAAAGTGTTACTGAAACGTGGGCAGCCCCCTCCGCCATCTTGTATGCTCCTTGGGAGTGGAGTAGCGCCACCTCCTTCTCCAGCACCTGGAGTAAATCCAAACAACGCACAACTAGTAACAACAGGAGTGCTGCTGCCATGTGACAGTGGGACTGCAACAGGTAGGAAAGCTTTTGTTATTTCCCTTTGGGTTTGAGTTCGACGTTATGTGATCCTAAACCTCTATTTTCTTGCCAAATATCTTCAAGAAAAGGCTAAGGAGTAAACCCTACACAAATCCAGAGTGGAGTTCCTAAGACTGTTGGATGGTAAGCCTCCTGGCAACTTCTGCAGCCAAGCTGGTGCCAAATGTATTGCTCTGCTTTCCTTTAGACCACATCAGCAAGGCTGAGGGTGGGGGGTATTGTTGTCTGGGCAGCCCAGGACCTCCGTACACACTGTCCAGGCTTGCGCCCCGGGGAGGTCGCTTCAGTGCTGATAACCCCCAGAGGCACACTCCATTGTCCGTTGAGACAGCCGGGTGCCAACAACAACAACATCCTCCTGAATTGTTTCAAGACAGTTTTTGATTGGGTAGATAGGGAGGTAGCCCATCTTAAAAAGTGATGTTGTAGGAATAGAAAAAGGAAAATTAAAATCCTTAAACTCTGGGCACCTTCCTTATATGTGGATAGTCTAATGAATTTGGAGTCTAATGAAGGCGAGTGTTACAATTTTTTACAAAATGATGAACGGTGACAAATATGTATAAAGTAATTTTTCTTTAATTATAATGGAAGTTTGCTTCTCCTGATTAAAATTGGTTACCAGAACATTTAGGTCTGACAAAAGGAGGTACTTCAAAATAGCACATGCAATTAATTAGCATGGAATTCACAACTACAAGATGCTAGGTTCATGGCGTTCAGGCCTCAACAGGTGGTAGCCATGATAGCAAAAAGAAAAACATGTTCACAGTCTGCCTTAAATATCTTTTTATAATATTTTGTTTTAAAAGTATTAGTAGAATTAAAATATATACACATTAAAGATCACATACAATAAAAACATCACAGCACTAGCCCTTTCCTTAAAAGTAAGTGGCACTAATAAAGAAGAAAGTTCCAAAGTGCAGATTTCAGCAAGCTGCTGATTCTGAAGGTTCATCCTATCTGTACTTAAAAACAGTCATAAAAACAGGAAGAATAAAATTACAAGCTAAGAAAATAATAATAGAAAGTCTAAAAGAATGAATTATATAAATATATCTTCCGTATTTTTACCAAGCATACCAAATATTAATGAATGTTGCCAAATAAATGTAGTGGGACTGTGTCAACCATTAGGTTGTTTAGTCATATAAATCACAAACGGCCCCCAAGCAGAAGCAGAAGCAGTTTTTTTCAGAAATGCACATGACTTTTAAAAATAATAAGATGCACTCTTCCACCTTAAATATTGGATACTAGGAATAAACAAGGAAAGAGCAGCATGTTTGCCCTTTGCTTCCCAAAGATAACTAGCTAATTCTTCAGACACAGAAAGCTGGATGAGATGGATATTGGTTCTAGAAGGCAGTTATTATACTGCTTTCAGATATCTATGGTAAACTAGTTTTTCATTGCCCTTTCACCTTGGAGAGAGGCTTGCATGCTCAAGACTTGAGATGGGCTGAAATTTCTCCCCAGAAGGTACCAAGTGAACAGATCCTCAGTGTGTTTAAAGGGTAACTGAATGTAAATGTTTTAAGGATTATTATTTTTATCTGCAAAATATGTTATCTTTGGGGAACTCTAAACAAGTACTGTTATTTTGTTTTTTCATCAAATTTGCACATCTCTCACAAGCTAACCTTGAAAGTTAATTGGTACAATTGATGATGGCCCAGTTATCAATTTGCAGGACTAGGAGGTATTTTATTTGGCCTGATATGGTACTCTTCCTTACTGAGTATGGCACATAATGCATACAAAATTAAATGTGACATTGTTAAGAACATTAATGTAGCCCTTCTTGATCAAGCCAAGGTCTACCTAGTTCAGCATTGGACTAGCTCCATGCCTCTGGAAAACCTATAAGCAGGCCTGAAGACTGAAGCCTTCCCATTGTCTGTCCCTATCGATTGGAATTCAAAGCCATATACTGCCTCTGAACATCCAGGTGCCATTTAGGCCATGAATTTGTTAAATTCTTTTAAAAAGTCATCTCAGTTAGTGGGCACCATAGATTTTGTGATTGTGAATGTCATACTTTAAAGTATAAATGATGGCTTGTGAATACTTTAAAATTCAGAATAATACAAATAACTGGTATGTGCTGTTTATCGTTCTCCATGTGTTTATGTATAATTGTGAATAAGTTTCATTCTTTTAGATTCAACAACTGGAGGTGGTGCTTCTTCAAATTATGCAAATTCCACTTGGGGTCCTGGAGCCTCCTCCAACAGCACCAATGCCAACCCAACTCACGTCTGGGACGCGGTGATTGTAGACAGGTCTGACATGGAAGAGTGGCCTTGTATTGCCAGCAAAGATACTGAGTCTTCTTCCGAGAACACCACAGACAACAACAGTGCCTCGAACCCTGGCTTGGAGAAGAGCACTCTGCCAGGAAGCACCACTAGTAACAAAGGAAAAGGAAAAAACCAGTGCCAGTCTGGAAGCTCTGGTAACGAATGTAATCTTGGGGCCTGGAAATCTGACCCTAAAGCTAAATCTGTTCAATCTTCCAATCCTGCAGCAGAGAGTAATAGTGGTCTAGCAAGCTGGAGGAACTTGAGTGGGCAGGACAGAATTGGCCCCAGTTCTGGCTTCAGCAATTTCAACCCAAATAGCAACCCATCTGCTTGGCCAGCACTAATTCAGGAGGGCAATTCAAGGAAAGGGACTTCAGAATCTGATAATGGTGGCTCCAATGCACAGATTAGTACAGCAGGTCAGACATCTAGGGAACAGCAGTCAAAGATGGAAAATGCGGGTGTTAACTTTGTCTCTGGCAGAGAACAGGCTCAAATTCACAACACTGATGGACCAAAAAATGGAAACACTAACTCCTTGAACTTAAGTTCACCAAACCCAATGGAGAATAAGGGAATGTCCTTTGAAATGGGCTTTGGGAACCCCTCCAGGAACACTGATGCCCCTTCACAAAGCACTGGAGAGAGAAAGACTGGGAGTGTTGGGTCTTGGGGTACAGTTAGGGGGCCTTCTGGAATGGACAGTGTCTCTGGTCAAAGCAATTCTGGAAATCATGGGAACAATGGAAAGGATAGGGAGGACTCGTGGAAGGGAGCTTCTGTTCAAAAATCGAATGGGTCACGAAGCGATTCTTGGGATAACAGTAACAGGTCTACAGGTGATGGGTCTTGGACCATTGGCCCTCAACACTCTAGTGAAAACAAATGGAGTGAAGGGAACAAAATGACATCAGGGGTGTCTCAGGGAGAATGGAAACAGCCGTCTGGGTCTGATGAATTGAAGATTGGAGAATGGAGTGGTCCAAACCAACCAAATTCTAGCACTGGAGCATGGGACAATCAAAAGGGCCACCCCCTTCCTGAAAACCAAGGCAATTCCCAGGCTCCCTGTTGGGGTAGATCTTCCAGCTCTACAGGAAGTGAGGTTGGAGGTCAAAGCACTGGAAGCAACCATAAAGCAGGAAGTAGTGACAGTCACAATTCTGGACGTCGATCATATAGGCCTACACATCCTGATTGCCAAGCAGTCTTGCAAACTTTGTTGAGCAGGACTGATTTGGATCCCCGAGTGCTTTCAAATACTGGCTGGGGTCAAACTCAAATCAAGCAAGATACTGTTTGGGACATAGAAGAGATGCCAAGGGCAGAGGGAAAGACTGATAAAGGAACTGAGGGGTGGGAGAGTTCTGCCATTCAGACAAAGAGCTCAGGGGGCTGGGGAGATGCACCCAGCCAAAGCAATCAAATCAAGTCTGGATGGGGTGAACTCTCTACTCCGACAGAGTGGAAAGAGCCCAAAAACACTGGAGGATGGAATGATTTCAAGAACAATTGTTCTAATTGGGGAGGAGGAAGACAAGAAGAAAAGGTGACAACATCTTGGAATGAGAATTCCAACAAAGACCCCGGGTGGAATGGACGGCCACCTAATCAAGGGTGGTCTTCTGGAAAGAATGGCTGGGGAGAGGAAGTTGACCAAACAAAAAATAGTAACTGGGAAAGTTCAGGAAACAAGTCGATGTCAGGCTGGGGTGAAGCTGGTCAAAATGAGATTGGGACTTGGGGTAATGGTGCAAATACAAACTGTTCCTCAAAAGGAGGGTGGGATAATAATAAAAGAACTCCAGCATGGAATGATTCTGGTAGGCAAGCCAATTCCTGGAATAATCAGCAACAGCAGCACCATCCGCAGTCAGAAGCACCTGGCTCCTGGGGCCCACCACCACCACAGCCTCCAGGAAATGGGAGGTCACCCAATCCTAACTGGAACAGTGGGCCACAGCCAACTGCCTCAAAGGATGAGGAACCCAGTGGCTGGGAAGAACCATCCCCCCAATCAATTAGTCGAAAAATGGATATTGATGATGGCACCTCAGCGTGGGGAGATCCCAGCAGTTACAACTACAAGAATGTGAACCTGTGGGACAAGAACTCACAAGGTGGGCAAGCTTCACGAGAACAGAATCTGCCAACTCCAAGGCCCAGCAAAGTAGCACCCTCAGGTATTCCTTTTATTTGCCTTCTTCATTGTAATGCAAACTAGTAAATGCAGATCTAAATATGGTGAGAGGGTACCTGTATTCTGTAGCTAGGTCTGTGTCATTTGAAATTTTGGAGACACGACTTCATATATCAAAGAGGTGTCTGTTTAATTATGGCTTCATGTGAAATGTTCACTGTTCACAAGTAAGGCTGTTTGCTGTGTCAGGGAACTGGGAGAGGGGAGCCCCAATGTGTTTAACTTGTGAAAGGGGGAATAGTGTTAACACAGAACAATCTGCAGCCAGTGGTGCTTGAAACTTCATCTGTATGTCACCACAAGGATCCCATCCATGTGCAGTCTAGATCCTATTACAAGCTGAATGTATGTGTATATGTGCAAATACACCTGCTGAAGCTATGCCCTAAAAGGGTGTTTTTGCAAGCTACCAGCTTACTGTCACTAAAATTTTGAATTAAGACATCCACTTGTTACTATCAAGGGGATCTGTGAACAGTAGAAGGCTTCTACAGGGTGAGTCCTTTAAAAGAGGACCTGTGGATACAGAGTACACAAGTTCCACAGGGCCTCTTTTAAAAGACTCAACCTGTATATGTGTATTTCCTGCTGAACCAGGAACTTTGTGCATGATTCCCATAGCTGGATCCCATTGTTTAACCTCCAGGACCACATGTACTATTCTAGTGCTGAATTGGGGCCTCATCCTGATCACTGTCTTGGGGAATGGTGGTGAAGGGTCTGTGGGTATTGAATTCAGCTCTCTTATCCAGCTGGTGATTGGTGCTTTCAAAGCTGACTGGTATATGCAGTCTGTTGCTGTACACTATTATCTTTGGATTGTGGGTAAGGGGACTTGTCTCTCAAGATGCATCATTACCAGTAATGGTGGTTTTTGTGAGTCAGTTTGCATCCTTGTTTCTTCAGTAGAAATATATAGCTTCATCTACAGGCAGCATTGGGCCAGCAGTTAATTTATGGTAGGGGTAGGGAATCTTTGGCCCGCATGCCAAATTTGACTTGCCCTATCTCTCCATTTGGCCCACCAGGATGTTTTATCCAAGCCATACCCAACTACCCCACCAGTGGGGCAGATAATTATGGGACTTTGTCAGAGGGGGCTGTTGCAAAGTGCTTGGGAGGCGCTGAACACAGAAATTGCAAAACTCTTCACATAGCACTTCCAAAACATTCAACGATCACCTGGTTATGATGTCAGATGATTTACCAGTGGATGGTCTTGCTTACCTGTCAAAGTTGGACTTGGGGGAGATCAAGATTTGGCCTGCCAGGGCAAACATATTCCCTACCTCTGTTTTAAAGTAACAAATAGGATTAGTTAATGATTCAAATTATCCAATTTTTCTTGAATTACTTTGCTTTCCCTAGAAGTGACAATGTAATTCAGCAGCATTATGTAAAAAGCCATTTTTTTTGTTGAATGTTCAACTGAAGTTAGGTGTAGCAAAGCACCCAGGCCCCCTTCTGTGTTGGGAAGGGTGATGTGCATCACAAAATCAAAGGGAGTGCTTATCCTTCCTTGCCAGTCACCTCCCCTCACCCAGTTTCTCTTACTTTCAACTATTGCAGACCCTAGCAAACGGCAGATGTCTGCATATACAGTTTGTTACATTGCAATGTAACGTGATTTTCCTCTTATATTATCGTTTTTCTGACCTCATTCAGGTATATTTTAAAAACATTTGCTTAAAGTCTTTGCCTTCGCATATAGAACATCTAATTATTGACAGAGCTTGTTTTGCGGATAGGGTCAGACTCTCATTTTAGTACAATAATACTACATTATCACACTGTTTGTGTGTTTTTCTTTTACACTAAGAATCATGTGGTGTAAGAGTCAGAACAAACACTAAAGTATGACAGAATGGGGTCAGCAGTATAGAAATATGTAGATTTTTCTCAGTTGATGCTGTGCTAAATGTCAGAAAGCAACTTCAATTCATTAAAAGTGCATAATGAAAACTCTTTCTATATGAAGTCTGGAACAAAAGCACACCTCCTGCTCCAGATAATGGTACAGCTGCTTGGGGTGAACCAAATGAAACCAGCCCTGGATGGGGTGAAGCTGATGATACAGGGGCTTCTACAGGTTGGGGAAATGGACCCTCCACTGCACCAAATGCCATAAAACCTAGTGAGTACTTGCCAGTTGCCATTTCTGTAACAATTTTATGTACTTTTAGATAAAAAAACAAATAGGTTTCTGAATGAGGGTATGGTGCTTCGCCCATGTCTGGTGTTTATTTCAGCCCTAGCATGGTAATAGAGGAAATTTTTACACACCTGATTGGATTAGTACTATATCTTGGGCAAAGATGGCATGGTAGGCAAGGAAGCAATGGAGGACCCCCCCCCCTTTGTCAATCTAACACAAGGTAATTAGTCACTAATTGAAACTCCCTGGTCCCTTGTAAGGTAGATAACAGAGGTAAGGTAAAATATCAGTATTCATCAGAGTGGACTAGGCTGTTTGCGTCATTAAATGGTCAAGAAGCATGTAGTGCAGGGGTGGGAATCTGGACCTCCAGATTTCAGTTAGACTCCCATCAGCCCCAGCCATCATGATGACTAACAGTCATTGATGATGGGAGTTGTAGTCTAGCAGTATCTGGAGGATCACAGATTCCCCATTTCTGATGTAGGCAGTCTGTTCTTCTGCTGTGAATCTTACATGTGTTTGATAATAATTACCATTCCGATATAGCAAAGTCTAATATACTTACTCCATGTTAATACTTTTATCTGCCTGGTCAGATTATTGAAAATAGCACAGTAATAATTCTGTTGGAGGGTTATGTGGTTAGGAATTGGAAAATGGCAGTAATCCAGGTGTATCTCTAAACCAAAGCAACTACTTCGGATTACCGTATTGGCCTGAATATAAGCCTCACTTTCCGCCCAAATTCCGACCGTGAAAAGTTAAAGTGTGGCTTATATTCTCAACCTTATGATATGCAGCCAGGAGCATGGGGCACCCAGCACCAGGGGCGCAGCAAAGCAGCACCCGCCCCGTGCATAGTCCCCTGTCCTCTCCCCCAAGGCTGGGAAGGGAGAGAGCAAGGAAGGGGAAGGGCCACCAGGAACGCAGCATGGCTCCCCTCCCCAAAGTATGCAACCAGGAGAAGTGAGGAATGGAGCAGCTTATAGTTAGCTATCCCCCCCCCCCATTATAAAGATGCGGCTTATTTTGGGTGCGGCTTATATTCAGGCCAATACAGTAGTTATTAATATAGGTGGCCTCACTCCTACTAATTTATAGTGTACAGGTATAAAATTATTTACTACGTTAGAATTACTGGATTGAATTCAACGTAGCACTAAGGATATCGTTTCATTAACACAATCATTTTTGCCTGCCTGAAGGAACGGTCTCCCCTCCATGCTCAGTGTTCTGGGGATTCACCCAACCCTCCAGAGGCGGAATTGAAGGAGGCATGGGGAGGAGATGGCGGGGGGGAAAGACCCTTTGCACTAGCAAGAGTCCTTGTGCTGGCTTCTGCTAGCATGGTGGGGTAGTTGAAACCTATCATTCTAATGCACTTTGTTAGTGACCTTAGTGTACCAGCATTAGGGAAGGGGTAAAAGATATTTAGATCCTTTCATTAGCAAACCAGTTGCAGAAAACGCATTTGGTTTAGAGTTGATACATTTACTTACCAGGAGGAGTGTTTGCATGTTTTTTACCATCTTAGATAAAAGTTCTATCTGGACAGTGGTAGGTCAGATTGAAACATGATTGACTATCTTCTTCCTTCAGTTCTAAAACTCCATGCTCTTCAACAACTAAAACTACAATCTTAACCCCAGGGAGAAACCCCTGTTGAATTAAATGGGACTTTTAGGCAACTAGAATTGTTGCCTAAATATGCTTTTCTACAAAAGTCATATTGGTTGATAGAACAAAGTTTTCAACAAAATACAGATCTCGCTAAAACAGAGTCTAAAGGCTATATTGTTAAATGTGAGAAAGTGAAGGGAGCAAACCAACTACTCCTTTATGGTTTCTTGAAAAGTAATGCCCTTGGTGGTCAGAAGTTACAAATTTTATTTTGTGCATATATATAGGTGAGTTTTTCCAACTCTAGGAAGCTGAACTTTTAGTGTTACGTATCAGCTTAGTGTTGTATTTCAAGTTTGCTGTTAAAGGGCATCTTACAGAATTTTGAATCCACATTAGTGCATTAAATGGAACACAAAAGTTTAAGCTTTAAGACAAGTGTAGTATAAAAGAAATCTCTAGTGGATGAAACTATTAATACAGTAATACTATTGGGGGCTTTTAAAAGTTACAGTGCCAGTATCGTACCCCTGTACTTGCATGACATTAAGCAGAATTAGACTGCAAATTAGCCATTACCTTGATATCTAGTCACTAGTAGTAAGGGCAGTTTTCTAGTGCAGATGCAGGCAACATGGTGCTGTTCAGATATTATTGGATTTCCAAGCAGTATCTGGAGGGAACCATGTTGTTCACCCCCGTTCTAGGGTTTCTTTGTGGCTACTTGCCAGCTTCTGACCATTCTCCTTTCATGTAGTATTACATTTCTGTAGAAAAGAGGTTCCCCTTGATAATACAGCTAAAGGAATATTTTACTTGGGGGAAAAAAGCACAGTTTTTATAATTCCTGCTGTAGAATATGAACTGAAAACTATTTCTGTTCATTAACACCCAAACCTATGTCTTGTGATATTTGGTGTCTTTTTGTTCATCTCCTTCATTCCAAATCAGAAAACATTAAGGCTATTACCCTATGCACACATCTTTGAATTAACTCGTTGAATACAAGGAGACTTAACTTCTCAGCAAATACTGAAGTAGGGGAAATAACTTTGCTGTTTCCATTGTGGCTCCCATGGGCTCACTAAGGCTACCTGCCCTTCACAATCTTCTGATTTTTTTGCCTTTTTTGAGGGCATTGCCCGTATGTTCATGTTTTGTTTTGTGGTGTGTAGGTGTTCTTCCTATTTGGGGAGTAAGGTTCTGACCATTATCATTTCTTCTTCTATAACATAGGCATTTTTTGTGTTGACAGCAGTTTCTTAAACTTGCAAATGTTCCCCAGGGCCATAAAGGTTGAGGTTCTCTGCTGTAACCCCTTGATTTTGCCATGTGGTATAATAAAGTCAAGCGAGTTGATAATTGTGATTAGCTTTTGACAATGTTTTCCTCCCCATCGAAGGTTCCAAACCACCTCAAGATGGTTGGGGGGATAATGATGGGCCAGTATCAGGAACAAGGCATTCCAGCTGGGAAGAAGAGGAGGAAGGAGGAGTCTGGAACACAGCAGGCTCTCAGGGAAGCAGTTCCTCCCATAATTCAACAAGCTGGGGACAAGGAGGAAAGAAACCACAGATTAAGGTGAGAAAATGCTTATCTGGTGCAATATTTCACTAGATACATGAAACATCAAACCTTTTAGCGTAACCGCTAGCAATAAATAATCTTAGTTATGTGCATCTGTTGGTATTGAATGATGGCACGTGTAATGACTGCTTAACTTAAGAATAGCCCTGCTGAATCAAGTCATCTAGTTCAGCATCCTGTTCTCACAGTGGCTAAGCAGATGCTCTTGGGAAGCCCATGGCTTTACTACTGAATGCAGTTTCACTGGTTTTACTGTTGAATACAACACATCATTGTTTGTATCTTTTGGGGTTTGCAAAAGTCTTCAGGCATGGATACTTTTCAATCAGTGTGCGCATTTTGGCAGAAAATGCCCTATGTTGTTTATTTCACTTGCTGACATCAGTCATGCAGCATTTTTTTTTTTTTATTACCAAGGAAGGTGAAGTATGTCTGGAGTAAGATGGGGAGTTAAGTGTGTTGACATCCTTAATGGGTTGCCCAACTAAAAACTAGTTTCGGTGCAGTACAGCCTTCTCTAGTCTAATACCTTCAGATGCTTGGAACTGCACCTCCCATCAGTGTCAACCACAAAGCCCAGTGGTAAGGGGAATAGAGTGACAGTCCAAAGGATCTGGATGGCATCATGTTGGGGAAGGCTGGTATAGTATTAATTACATGCATCACCTGGGAACATTTGTTTCTTCAGCTGTAAGTAACTGAAAGCTTAAAATCAGAGATAATTTCAGTGGCAAAAACACTCTTATCACTTTTTAGCAAAAGCATAAAACAATGGACATATCAAGGACAAAAACTAGCCCAATTCTCCCCTGCATGTCTTAGTTCACTTTCAGAAGGTACCAGAAATAGACACCTACAAAGCTGAAAGAGCTACCTAACAACTTTTTAAAGTAAGAAAATAATGAAATTGTAGCTTTTTAAAGAAGATAAGCTGAATTTATTTTGAGTTTCTTCAAATGTGATGAATTTCCTACATTAGGAAACATGTGGAAATTGCTGTAGGCAACTCTCCCTTTTTTTACTGCATGGAGATTGGAGATTGCAGTTGTTTCACTACACAAGTTAATACCCCAGGGCATGATCTGAGGGCACATTTTGCAGCCACCTTGCTGAAACTTAAGCAGCTCTGTGTCTGGTCAGCTACTGAACCCCTTGTACACTGTATTCAGTTCCATGATGGTAGAAAGGCAGGATAAGTGTACTAAATAAATAAATAAATACATACATACATAATAAATTTTATGTTGTTAGACAGATATGTTCATCTTTGAATATGAGGGGTTGGATCCAATGCTGCAGCTCTACTTATGCCACAGACTTCTGTGTGCACAATTGTGCTTCTTTTTCCTCTCCTGTCCCTTCAGCCCCTCATGTGACCTCAAAATCAGCTCTGCAGGCTTGGGGGACCCTCAGTAGATTTTGATGATGTTGAAGAGAGGAAGCAGAAGTCCTGTTGTATAGGTGGAGCTGTGCTTGCACAGCATTGGATACAACCCTAAGTGTACTGTTCAGCTGATAGATGGTTTATGGGCCTGACTAGTGTGATATTCTATGTTTCAGTGCTAAAGTTAAAGGAATCATACCAACCAGTAAATGCAGGGATTGCTGTCTTTTTGTTTCCTTCCTTGGGGTTTTAAATTGTTCTAATCCTTTAAGTTTGTATTTCATGGAGTTATTTCTTAGTGAATTACTTCAAATAATGGGTTCTGATATTTCTTTGGCTCTGCTGACATTATGCTAACAGAATAAACCTGTTAAAGAGATTGAAGAGCTTGCAGCAATTTATCATCTGTTCCATTTCCTAAATTCTGTATACCTTAAGTTTCCAAGGAATAACAGTAACAGTATTTGGTAAATCTGCTTAGTATTTCAATAAACCTTCCTAACCAGCCCCCACTGTAAGGTAGGCCCTTGCACTAAAGAAGAGAGAACCAAGGCTTGAGCAGCATGTCTAAAGCTTACTGGGTTTATTTATGACATTTGATACTTGAACCAGGGAATTGCTTTTTTAAGCTTTCATTCTTAGTCACTACATGGTGAAATAAACCGATAAATTGTTTCTTTGCTTTAGTGTTCGTTAAAAGGAGGAAGCAGTGATTCGTGGATGAATTCTTTATCTGATCAGATGTCAAATATGGGATTGCTAGTAAGGCTTTTAAAATGTCATAATTATGTTTTATATAAACTGTTTACTGACCCGTATTTAACAGACTACAAACAGCTATCTGTCCTAGGCACCTCCATGAATAAGTATTGTCTACAGGTGACCAAGCTGGGAAGCTTTTGCCTTCTGGATGAGATACAGGGTGGAATTCAATAAAACACTAAGGAGATAGTTCTGTTGGGCAAGCGGAAATGCTTGCACTGATGGAGCGATATCCTTTCTCCACCTATGGGCTTCTCCGGGACATTGCTCAACCCTCCAGAAAGGATTTGTGGGAACCTTTGCACTGGCTTCCGCTAGTGAAATCGGATAGTTAAATTTGGCCCGAGATCCTCAATTATTTATTTAGTTATTTAGATAGTGTTTTATAGGTGCAATCCAGTTGAAAGCAGTGTGTAATATAAATTTAGCTCAAACACTGAGTGTATTATGTATACATTCTAAACTACTGTAAGTGTCTGAGGAGAGCACAGTCATGTTTCTGTGCTGGACTTTATGGGCGGGGGGGGGATTAGAGAACACACTGCTTGGCATATGGCATATTTTTTTTAATAGCCAATTAGGGGGGAAGGTATTGTAGTGCTGTGATAATGCTTACGTTACTCCTGAGAGTCACCCAGGGTTTGGTAGCAAATACCATGTCAATCCAAACTCCAGCTCACTGGGTTGAATAGTTGCACCTTTCCAGCGTTACGGGAACATCCTGTCCTACACTGCCAACACAAGAATTACTTGGCAGCACATTTTAAGACTAGATGCATCTTGAGGATGAAGTAACATTCTGGCTGCTGTTCTCAGAATATAATCCCTTGACCACAGAAATGTCAGGATAGAGAGGTTTGTGTCGAGAGCAGCTGTCCAGCTATTTTTCTCTCTGTTTTTCTGTGCTATTGGTTCATACATTTCTGGCTGTATTTTTGGACACACATAACCATCAGCATTTAGAAAAGGCTATGCTCAAGGTTAGTTCAGTATGCTATTTTTAAGCCTGCCAAGTCACCTCTTTAATTTATAAAATGCATGCCCCCCCCAAAAAAAATACTGGATTTTATATTGAACAACATAATACTTTCTAGTGTTTTTTCTCTTTCTTTTCCAGAATCAAACTGAAGACACTCCGGGCAGTAAAATGGACTTATCAGTAGGTGTGTACCTAATATGGCAATAAGAAAAACTGATTTGGTTCATGAGGCTGAAGTGCTTGGCTTTGAAAACAGTATAATAAAGCAGTATGTGGCCTTTTGCAAAATGATTTTAGAACAGCTTAAGGACCTTTTATATAATTTGGTGTGTAGCTGATGACAATGAAAGAATGAAAGTTTGAGCTAGGATAATGAGAAGGGTCTAAGTCTGGTTACTGAGTGCATTAATAAACAGACCGTCCTTGCACAAAGTCCGTTTGTGATAACTGGGTTTCATTCTGTTGAATAGTACATAATGATTCATGGACTTCTAGAGAAAATGTCAAAGACCTACTGTGGAGAGAGAAAAACAGATTTGCTTAGTGGTAGTATGAAGGGAGGTTTTTTGGTGTGTGGTTTTTTACAGTATTTATAGCCCACTCTTCATTGAATGTTTTCATTACCAGAGTGGTGAGCAAATGAAAATAAACAGAAAAACAATATAAACAATTTGTATATAAATGGGACCCATAAAAAACTAAAAAACTCTTATCTTAAGGTAAACAAGCAAAATTACAACAACATAAATTAATATTTCCCATTTAACAAATACAAGCCTCACAGTCAGCTGGGCTGTAAGGCAGTGATGTGCAGTTGGGTTTGCTGGCCTCCCCCATCTACCTTCTCTATACTAGCTAGCACAGACGGTATTCAGGGTCCTCCGGGTCTTGGGAAGAGGGTCTGTGGCCTGAAAGGCAGTCAGTAAACCACGGCTGATGTTTCTCTCCTGCTGAGTACCAGCCTCAAGATCAGCAGCCAGGTAGTGATGCTTTTAGGATGTTGCTTGTGTGAGCGGGTGGAATCATTGTCTTCTTTCTGTCAACAGCTAAACTAAATGAAGCTTCCCCTTCTTAGAGAAGATTGTCATGACAGAGCTCTGTAAAGTTATAAGCACTTGAAGGAGAAACAGACTGATAACTTACCTAAATTGTCAGAACTCATTCTAGAAAGTAGTTATGGAGGACTTATGCATAGCCCCATGCAGGCATTGGGGTCCTGCAAAGTTCCATCTTGCCCCTCATGTGCTTTAATGTCTATTTGTAGCCACTGGGGGACGTATTCAGAAAATGATGTTTCCCAGCATGATTGCAGTGTCAGCAGTATGCTGATGATATCCAGCTCTGTTTCTCATTATCATTTCAAGTCAGGTGAGGCTATATGCTAGACCAGTGTCTAGAGGCAGCAATAGGGGAAAATAAAAGAAGGCTGAATCCTGACAAGATAGAAGCCCTGGTTCTTGGGTCTGGGAATTGGGTAGGTGAACGCACCTACAAACAGCAAGTACAGTGGTACCTCGCAAGACGAATGCCTCGCAAGACAAAAAACTCGCTAGACAAAAGGGTTTTTTGTTTTTTGAGCTGCTTCGCAAGACAATTTTCCCTATGGGCTTGCTTCGCAAGACGGAAACGTCTTGCACGTTTGTTTCCTTTTTCTTAACACCGTTAATACAGTTGCGACTTGACTTCGAGGAGCAACTCATAGAACTCGGTGTGGTAGCCTTTTTTGAGGTTTTTAAAGACTTTGGTGATTTTTGAAGCTTTTCCAAAACTTTCCCGACACCGTGCTTCGCAAGACGAAAAAAATCGCAAGACGACAAAACTCGCGGAACGAATTAATTTCGTCTTGCGAGGCACCACTGTACGTAGTTAAGTGTGTGTGTATGTCAGGATTCAGGCTTCTTTTATTTGCCCCCATTGCTGCCTCTAGACATTGGTCTAGTACATTTTGTGCCCCTCAAGTCCTTGGGCCTGCAGTGTGCGAGTGCCTTTTTTTACTCTTGCTGGTTTGCCAGCTATGTCTGTTTCTGGACAGATATCCTACCAGGGTTACCCACCCCCTAGTAATATTCCATTTAGATTCTAATACGCTGTACATGGGCACACCTTTGAAGATGGTCTGGAAGTGACAGTAATGCAGAATACATTCTGTCAGAATGTTAGCTCATATCACATAAACTCTGATTCTGAAAGATCTGCATTGGCTGCCTGTATGCTTCCAGGTGGAATTTAAGGTACCATTATTCACCTACAAAGCCCTAAATGACTTGAGACCCAAATATCTGAAATGCCGTATTTACTTGAGTCTAATATGCCATTGAATCTAATGTGCACCTCAATTTTCAAAACCTTGAAACCAAAAAAAGGATTTTCTGGCAAATGTAAATGTTCCATCAAATCTAATGTGCACTTTAATTTTTGCAACGTAATTTGGCCAAAAAAGTGAGCATTAGATTCGAGTAAATACAGTAATCATTGTCCCTTTATCTAGGAACTAGGCCCTCCCTGCACATCCCACCATCAGGAAAAGTATATTCTGTGGTCCCGCCCCCCCCCGGTTATGGAATGCCATTGCCTTGGAAGTATAACTGGCACCAATATGTCTGGTGTTTCAGCAGCAGGTAAAGGCCTACTTGTTTGCCTGGGTCTTTGCAAAGACATAATCTGTGCTTACCTGCTCCTTTGATTTTATAGGAATTCTTATAGCTGAACATTAGATCATATGATGAAGGGTAGGCTAAAATGTATTTAATACATTTATAATAAGACCGCTAAGGAATTTTTGTAGTTATTGTAGTATATGAGTATAAGTGGAAAATACTTCATTTAGTAATTTATGAAGTATTGCTTCAAAGTTATAACAGCCACTCGTATGAATGCTTCCACTTTCCACTTTTTCCTTACAGGTGGTCTCCAAGATAAGAAATTTGATGTGGATAAACGAGGGATGAATCTCGGGGATTTTAATGACATTATGAGAAAAAGTCGGCCAGGTTTTCGTCCTCCTAATTCCAAAGACATGGGAGCCCCAGATAGTGGGCCTTACTTTGAAAAGGTGAGACACATTTTGCTTGTAAAAATCTGCCGCTTATTCCAGATGTAATTTTAACATCCCATCAGATTTCAGCATTGCAACTTAAAGACATTGTTTTATTATGAGACTTTGAGGAGAAAAAAATGCTTGTTTGGGGCAAATGAGAAGAAATGGGGTGAACTGAACACATGGGTGATCTTTGGAGTAATTATTACTGTTCTGGAAAACCACTTCAGGAGATTCCTCACTCATGTGTTTGTATGAAAAAAACATTATTTTTTTATTCTGAATGTATTGTACATTTCCAACATTTGCCCCTAAAAGTTACTGGATGGTTTTGCTAAGACTTGAGTGCCAAATTAAAAAGTACAACCATGATGAGACAATACTTTTAATACATGCAAGAGCCCTTTCCTCAAAAAATAGTTGGTTCCCAAAGGCCTGTTGAAATAGAACTGTCTTCACCTGCCAGCAGAAGGACAGCAAGGGGGAAGTCAGCCTCACTTCTCTAGGAAGGGAGCTCAGGAGTCTGGGATAAGCGACTGAGAAGGCCCTTTCCTTCATTCCCACAAAGCATGCTTGTGAGGGTGACACAGGGCTGAAATCTTAATGGCGAGCCCCATCAGGTTCATATGAGGCAATATGGTCTTTCAGATAGCTTGAACCTAAGCTGCCAAACACTGAGTCAACCTCTTCATCCTGCTATCCACTATGATCCTAAGGTCTCATTCCTAGCCAGTCATTCCCATTTCAGACCCCAAGGGTGTGTATGTGAAATTAAGGTTTTCACCCAACATGCATCACTTTATACTTGTAAACACAGAATTGCATTTGCTTTTTTACAGTCCGTTCACTCAGCTCGTAGAGGTCCTTTTTGTCTTTTTAATGACCCTGAACAATTTAGTATCTTCTGCCAATGTGGCCACACCATTGATTACCCCTAACTCGAGATCATTTATGAACAGGGCAAAAAGCGCAGGTCCCAATATTGATCCACTTCCTGCATTTCTTAATTTGAAGAACTGTCCATTTATTCCCATTCTGCTTCCTGCTACTTAAACAATTCCTGATCCAAATGAGGACCTCTCTTATTCCATGACTGCTAAGCTTACTCAGGAGTCTTAGATGAGGTACCTTTTCAGGGAAAAATTGAAAGTCCAAGTGCACGGCCAGCTGGATCACCTCTGTCTATATGTTTGTTGACATGCTCAAAACATTCTAATAGTTTTGTGAGAAAGGACTTGGTGTTCCAGAAACTATGCTTATTCAACTTCAACAAGACTTATTATTCCATATTCTTGATTATTTTATGTTTAACAATTCTTTCCACCAGTTTTTCTGGGACATAGTTAAGATAACTGGCCTGTAATTTCCAGGATTGGTGTTAAATTAGTTACTTTCCAGTCCTCTGGTATGAAAACTTATCTGAGGAATAAGTTACATATTTTTGTTAGATCTGCAATTTCCCATTTGAGTTATTTGAGAACTCTCAGGTGGATGCCATGTGGATCCAGTGATTTGTCAGTTTTTATTTTGTCTATTAGGCCTACAATTTCATCTCTCATCACCACTATCTGCCTAAGTTCCTCAGACTTTCCTCCTGCAAAAGTTAGTTGCAGCACTGGACTCTGTCCTGTATCTTCCATTGTGAAGACAGATGCAAATAATTCATTTAACTTTGCCACAATATTCTCATCCTGCTTTTGCACACATTTGACTCTCTTGTCATCCAAGGGTCCAACCATCTCTTTAGAGATGATCTCCTGCTACTAATGTATTTAAAGAACTTATTGTTGTTTGTCTTTGTACTTTTAACATAGTGCTCCTCAAATTCTTTTTTACCATCTCTTTATTGTCTGTTTGCCAAAGTTTGTGTTCCTTTTTGTTCTCTACTTTTGGGTAAGACCTCCATTTTTTGAAGGCAGTCTTATCTTCAATAGTTCATGTTATGAGGAAGCAGATTCCACAGGACACATAAATCAGTAATCTGAAGATGATGGAGACAGCAGGTCAGGTAGAGTCCCAACCTGTGATCAAGATCTAAGAGCATAAACATTGGGAAGTAAAAGGCACTACAAGGCAGGCATTAAGCATACATGGAGATCAACAATAACAGCAATAAGATGCAGAGTTGTCAGGATCCTGCTCAAGTCACTGATCGCTTGTTCTCATGGAGTCTCAGTTTTAACCAAGCCCTCACATATATATCCTGGCCCTGATTACCCCTCCTAGGCGCTACCTACTTGGCAGAGGACTGGAGAGCCTTATAGAGGCAGCCCTTGAGCCAAGCACCCCATCACCCCTCCATATGCTCCCATCAGATGTTCTGCTTGTGTTGGTCTGAAAGACTGGTTTTCAAACAGTGCGCCATGGCACCCTGGGATGCCTCAAATGTTGGTCAGGGGTGCCGCGGGCAACACAGGCTTCTGTCCCTCTTTCCTTCCTTCCCTCCCTCCCTCCCTCTGAAGCCCTCTTGCATCTCTGCCTCCCAAAGGCTTGCACAGCTGTTTGTTGCAGCAGCCCTGGCTACAAGCATCCCAGGCAAATGGTGCTGCTGGGTTGGCCAGGGGGTGCTGGTTACCAGGAGCTGAAGTGCCTCACAGACCAGGGGTGGCTGCGGCTACCTGGAGGATTCCCAAGAAGAATGGAGAGGAGAGGAAGCTAAGAGAACACTCCACAAAGGAGAGTGTTTGAAAAAGGGTGAGAGGCTGCCAGCTCTTCAGGCAAGGGGTGACATAACTGCGTTCCTGAGCCCCACAGGGGTGCCGCAGAAAGAATGTAGTTGGTCAAGGGAGCTGTGGACTCAAAAAGGTTGAAAACCTCTGGACTAAGGAGAATGAGTCAGGCCCTGGTTCCTCTGGGGACTGCAGCTTGGGGCTGCTCTTTCCATTTCCAGCTCAAGGACCTTGTATTCCAGAGTTTCCTGGCTGTCAGATTCAGGCTTGCCATTGAGATTTCAGCTCATTTCCTGTACCACTAGTTTGCTCAACCTGGCTGGTACCTTTTATCTCCGTCAGAATTCTGGCTGCTGTTCCAGGTCTAGGCCATGACCTCAACTATGGTTCCTTTGTCTGTTTTTACCCTGTTGGAATTCACAATGCAGTATACGCCTATTTCCTGGGACCCTGAACTTAGTGAATTAGAGGAGAATCAACTTGCATATTCTCAAAGAAGTTCCATCCAAATTTCAGCTTCATTTTGGTGACAGATTTGAGGGTCAGACACTCATTGCTACAACCATACCCTCAGTGCACAGTGAGTTAGAAAAAACACAGTATGGATTTATTTGGAACCTGGACTGCTGGTCAATATATTCCCCTAAAGATTCATTAGAATCATAGAATTGTAGAGTTGGAAGGGACCACAAGGGTCATCTAATCCAGCCTCCTGCAAAGCAGGAATATTTTGCCCAACTTGGGGCTGAACCCATGACCCTATAAGAGTCTCACACTCTACAAACTGAGCCATCTCATACTGGGACAGAGTTAAACTTTTAAAAAGTCCTGCTTCCAATTCCTCTGAATTAAGACATGTGTCATTTGGAATCAAGAAACATACTTCTAGTCAACACAAGTAAGAAACTTCAGAGCCATCAAATTATTTCAGAACTTGGTTATTTTTGTAACCATTTGCAATGGACCCCTCCACCCAAGGTATCTGCTCTGCTTTTTAATGCCAGGAGATGTATCTCATTTACTTAACAATCACTTATGGGAGTGATTTCAAACTGGGTCATTTCTTAATACTACAAGAAATAATCAACCCAGCATTGTAATACACTTTTTACCAGTGCCAGATCCTCAAGTTGGTGATGGTACCTAGTGTTGTTCTTTTCTGGCTTCTGGTAGGTTTGGTCCTGACATAACAAAACCATAATGCCCTCTGTTTAATTACTTAAAAGAAGAGAAGATATCAGACCTCTGTTTCTTTGACATCACCTAAAGCTAGGAATTTACCCACAGAAAGAAGGTACCTGATCCATTTCCTTTTGATAGGATTCCAACCAAAATTGCAGTTGCCATAGAACCAGTGTATCAGGTTATTAATGCTGAAGGACCCTTCAAAATTCTATCCCTATACAATTTTACACAAAATAAATTTGCTCAGAGTCATCCCTAAAGTCTTATAGTGTGAGCAGGCAAGAATTTCAGTGTTCAAGTATTGCATCAGGTATACAACTTTAAAAACTTGGAGCACCCTTGTAGACTACTTTTCTTGGTTTTTGTCTGCTGTTTGGCCTGGTCTATGGCTGTTGAAATAGTGGGGGGGTTTTCTGTACCTAGCCGTGCTTGTAAAGAACACAGCCAAATTCAGAAGCCCTGTTTGTCACCACTAAGTTTCTGTATTATTTGTTTTTTGGAGAATGACAAAGCCAATGGCTATTATAGAGGTAGCTGAAGCAGAATATCTCAGAAATATAATTTCTAGAAATGAGGAGCATTCAGGGAACCCCACCCCAGAGTTAGGTCTCAAAGAGGGGACTTTGATGGCTATTTCATATTTTTGCATTTACATAAATAGCACTTCCATGAAACAGAAGCTAAGTTAGCCCTAAGCTGTCTTAAATATGGCTTGATTCTCACATAGGCAGTAGGGAATTGTATTGTCCAGAGTAGCCAGTGTCAACCTCAAGCTGAAAACAACAGCGCTTCACCAAAACTGCCTCCATCTTCCTGGGCTGTCAGTCTTTCTCTTCTGATCAGGGAGTGAGGAATTTCAGCATTCTACACTGACCTTGCTGGCTGACACTGTGCACCAGAGACAGATAAGGACGTTAACCTGAGAAAATGAATCAGTCAGTGTTTATTTTTTGTGTTTGGTTCTAAAGAGCTTTTGGTAACAAAATACTCCATGCGAGGATGTTCATTCTCTTGCTTTGTAAGAAAGATGGACATACTAGTGTCAGTCGAGTAGTGCTTATAATAATGTACTGGATGGAAGATCTTTAAATTGCCCAAGAACCGAGATATTATTCTGATGAGATTTCTTTATTCTTCACCTGCCTGAATTCTTCTGCTTGCCTCATCTGCTCTAGGTGTTACTCAGTTTTAGATCTCCTGAAAAGAAATAAAATTTTGTCAGCAAATAGAAATATTGCATCTCTTTTATTGAAGATTATCACTTCCACAAGCAGGGCAGCATTAGCTATGGGTAAAGGTTTTTAAGTATTGAATTGATTGTTCTGACTTGTCTCCTTTTAGTCCATATTTCCAAAGTAAGTAGTGTACTTTGTTGGAACATATCCTTTTAATGGTTAAAATCATACTAATTTTGCATAATCTTGGTCATTCATGGTCACTCTCTCTCTTCTTGCATTCTGTTGCTTCACTAACCAACTCCTGCTGATTGGCTACTTATTTCTTCAGCTGACTTTGCCTTTCTCCAATCAAGATGGGTGCCTTGGGGATGAGGCTCCCTGCTCTCCCTTCTCCCCTTCTCCCAACTACAAGCTTTCTCCCTCTGGTTCCACACTACCCGTCTGCCTTGGGGCAATCGGCTCAGGGCTCAACCCCCAAAACTTCGCTGCTAGACAAGTAAGGAGGTCACATTCTTGCTTATATTACTTCTTGGCTGCATCCTATAGTTAATCCTTGTCAGCTTGGTTTTTGCACCCGTTTTTGAAATGTTTTTTTCATGGAAAATGTAGTAAGATAAATCTCAAATTCAGGAACCCACCAGTCTTTATTGCTTCCTTCCAGACATTCAATATGTTGCTTATGTCTGTTACTTTGATCCCTTACTAATACCTCACAACAGTCTGTGAGTTTACTTTCTCAAAGAAAGTAATTAAAAGTCGGGGAATAAACATTTTGGAACCCAGTGCAAGAATAAACACTTTCCCCCTTGTTCTAAAAAAAATATTTGGCACTAAAGCTTCATACTACATTTATGCAGTAGTTACTCTGTTTAAATTTGTATGTGTGTTTGCTCTTAACTTATCCTAGAGCAGTTTTGAAACCGAAGAAGAGACTAACAATTCTATCCGTTTGGAAATCTCTAGGAATAACAACACAAGCTATAACCACATCTACAAATGTTTTTCTAAGGTTAATATGTATCGTGGATGTATCCCTGCAAAGGGACTAGGTCACTTCTACTGGAATTTGTTTTCAAATTGAATATGCAAGAGACACCTGGCACAAAACGTTGCAGTGTGCTGTGTTCCCTGTTCTGAATTCCAGACACCAGTCTACCTCACCACCACCCCACGCCTGTTTTAGAGTCGATTCCCCACACCCCCAAACAGTCTGCATTACACGGCCTCTGAGCATGCTCAGATCCCATTGGGCTGTTTTGGGGTTTCCCTTCTCCTGAGTCTGCTGATACCTCTCTTTTGTATATGATGGTGCTGTTTTGACTGTGTAAGCAGTGGCGCGTTCTCTCTTAGAATATTGGAATTGCTTTACTGTGTATGATGAAATGCAGTTTGAGGACTGCTTAAGACCTTTGAGTAACTTTCCATATTAAATAAAGAAGCAGCTAAAAACAATGAAGTCCATTATATTAGGTAGTTCTTAATATTTTCTTCTGCTATATGTAATAAGTAATAAATACTGCTATCTACAGTATTCAAACACAAAAGACAAATCCCTTTAAATATAAACATTGCTTATCTTTTCTCTGCACCTTCTTTTCTCCTCTTTAAAATGTGTACAATCAAACCTCTTAGAAGGGAATGTGTTTGAAAAAAATGCCAGGCAAATGAATCAAGATGAAATAAGGATGACTATCATTGGCATGTTACAAATTCTCATAGTTATATTAACCCCAGGCTCCAGCTAACCTATATAAACAACTATACTCACAACCTGATTTGACTTTCTTTCATTCATTCATTTTTAGGGTGGCAATCAAGGTCTGTTTGGAAACAGCACAGCACAATCGAGAGGAATGCACCCACCAGTGCAACCGCTAAACCCTTCACCTAATATCCGGGCACAAGTGCCTCCCCAGTTTCTTTCTCCCCAGGTAAACAATTTTTAAAAGTTTCTTTGTAGATGGTTTGTTATAGTCTCTTCTGTTGTTCCACATATGGAGTTGGATTTGAGGACATCTGGTGGAGGGAAGAGGCTTTAGTCCGTTTCCCAAAGCTACATATTTTGTATGGCTCATCAGGAGCTAAAGAGCAGGTACAGTGTCTTTTTGCAGTCTTCTTTCTAATAGCATAAGCTTTTTCTTCATCTGCATTCGTTGTTTTCTGCTGTTGACTTTTTGATGTTAGAAGTATTTGGTTTCAGTTTGAAACTTGTGACAAGGGAATCCAGATGTGCCATACAAGAGTGAAAGTGCCACCCACTTCCAGTTTGTTTTAATTGGTATTTATGAGAGTGCAGTGGGGGCATGAGATTGATGGGTGCTCTTTGATGAGAGGGAGAAGTCCTTGTAGAGGGGATGTGTGACTTTGAACCTAAGTAAGGGAGAGAGCCTAGTTGGGTGTGGATTGCTATCTTAGAAAGTTTTCTAATAGGTGGGTAGGTGAGCTTTGTTTAGACAAACAAGCAGTGTGCTGGTGCATGCTTCTCAAAGGTCTCTGCTTAGCTCCTCTCCTGCTTCATGTTGGGAGCAACAAACTATGATTGGTAGCCAAGATTTGGTTTTGGGGTACCACTTATAGTTCCCTTGAAGAAAACAAACCATGAGCCCAAGTCTGCATAACAACAAGCCAAAACATGCATTTTGTTATTTCTGATGCTGCTAATTCATGTTAAATCCATAGGTAAACATCAACTGTGTTTTAACATTATGTATACTGAACCAATGGTGCCCCCACTCCTTAGTTCATCCTAAAGTGTAAAAAGGATGTAGCTGAGGAGAAGAGGGGCTAGCAAGAACCTCACTCTGTCAGAGCTCTATATCATGTTGTTGCACATTCAGAAAAAGCTCATCTTCCTCAGAGGAACAAGTTGCTCCTTCCTCCTCCTCCTCCTCCTTTGTGCATTGCAGTCTCTGTTATTCTCTTCTCCTTGCACCCCATTTCAAATGGTGTGGGTGGGTGTGTACATATACATGCACACATTTCTGTATGATGTACTGTTAAAGCTACTCATCCACCAGGGCCCTGCCACAAACTGAAATAGAATATGTTAACTCCAGAATCATGTTCCATATTAAGCTCAAGCTCTTTTCTTTAAATGTACAAAATGTTTGTGCATTGTTCAAATTTCAGCCAAACAAAAGCTAGCCAACTCAAGTAATTGATTCCTTTCTGTACTCACATATTGCTATATGTGTTTGTACCATATTCTTTATGTTCACTTTTCCTTTGTTGCATTATTTGTTGATGTTCAATTTCATTATGATTAAGATCACACACTTTCTGTTTTCAACAGAGACATCTTGCTTTTGCATACAGACCTGCTACAAATGTCTTTGTTGTTCTGTCAGTTTCTGGTTTGACTTGTGTATGCCTTTGCACTTTTTATTAAGGTTTCTGCCTCCATGCTCAAGCAATTTCCTAACAGTGGTCTGAACCCAGGTCTTTTCAACATGAATCCCCAGCTTTCTCCTCAACAGATTGCTATGTTGAGCCAACTTCCGCAGATCCCCCAATTTCAGCTTGTAAGTAACTATCCTACTACAGTAGCTGACTGAATTTTGCATACTCCTGTGACTGTTTTTGCAGCTTTAATCTTTTTGGGAAAATGTTGTACTTCAGATCTGTGGAAATATATATTTAGTTGTTGAAAAGGCACATATAAGTCATGTGCAGTTGTGGGGAGGGGACACTTTCTAGCAATGACTTGTACCTTTACAGTAAATCAAGCTTCATACTAGAAGTACTGGGCAGAGGCACGCCATACATTTAAACCACATGACTTTCCCAAAGTATCCTGGGAACTGTCATTTGTTTAGGGTGCTGGGGACCATAGCTCTGTGAGGGGAAAACTGCAGTTCCCAGGACTCTTTTGGCAGGTGAGTCATATGCATTAAATGTGCATTAGATGTCCTTTAAGTGCTTGGTGTGGATCATCCCACTATTTCTAATTAGATGTAAAAGGGAAGGCACTGCGCTCATCCATAGGCTAAAACGTTCATGGTAAGTTTCTTTTATTATAAAAAACTTACAGTGCTAGTCATATCTGCTGAACAGTGCTCATTTGCCAGCAGTTAATGCCTATAAATAAAGTCCTTCATTACCTCCTCTACTTGCCTTCCAGGCTTGTCAACTCATCCTCCAGCAACAGCAGCAGCAGCAACAACAACAACAACAGCAACAACTGTTACAGAGTCAAAGAAAGATTTCCCAAGTAGTACGACAACAGCAAGAACAGCAGGTACAATATTTAATCAGCAATGTGTGCATGAGGTGTACAATAAAGCCTAGCAATATACCAAGAAGATGTTATTAAAGCTTTATTATTGCTTGAAACTAATGCACTGTTCAAAATATAATCACTTGTTTGTACTAAGATAAACAAATTCTTCTTTATTTCATTAACTGCAGATTGCCCGTATGGTGAATGCCTTTCAGCCACAACAGAGGCAGCCTGGCATGAAACATTCTCCATCCCATCCAGTTGGGCCTAAACATTTAGACAGCATAGTACCTGGTGGTCTGAATGTGAGTCTCTCAGATATACCAACCAAAGGGCAAATTCCTGGATATAGTTCAGGTAAGCACTGTAAATAACTAAAACCCTGTGATCTGCTTTGATTTCTTAAGCGCTAAGAATCTGTGTACCAAACGCAAATACTGGATTTGTTGTTTGTGTCAGTTGGATTGCTGAATCAGTCTTGCTACATAGAACTCTAGCTTCCGTTCTTCTCTGCAGAGTGTACTTCAGTGTTATGTTGACTCACTAGCTTTATTTTCAAACAGCCTTGCTTATTGCAGGATATCATGTTACAAAAAGTATTTGTACAAAGGCATAAGACAGCCTTGTAGTGATGAGCATTTGCATCATCTCAGCCATCTATATGGTTTAAAAACATAATTATAAAGCAATTTAGCTTAAAACAAGGGTGGGAAATCCTTGGCCCTCAAGTTGTCATTGGTTTTTCACAGGTTTTGGTTCGAGTGGCATGGATTATGGCATGGTAGGAGGGAAAGAAACTGGAACAGAATCTCGCTTTAAACAATGGACTTCTATGATGGATGGATTGCCATCTGTAGCTTCCCAAGATGCCAATATGCACAAAAATGGTGAGAGATTCCAGCTTACGTTATCAAAAATGATTTTACAGGGTATATTTATATTGCCACTTTTTGCCTCTAGTGAAAACTAGGACAGCAGCTTCTCCTGTATTGTTGTTTTGCTGTGAGATTGTTGTATTTTGATTGTTCTAAGCCACTGTTAGCAATGCAAATGCCTTTGGAAAGGTAATATATAAATCTGAACAAATCATAATGGGCTTTTTGTTCTGCTAACCTTTTTATAAAAAGGCCCCTAATTTTGTATCTTGTTTTTCTTACATTATATATATGCTATTTTCTCTCTTACTCTAGTGCAGGGGTTGCCAATGTGGTGCCCTCGGGCACCAGTTGGCTTTATTGTTACAGTGAAACGGGTATGAATTGCCATTCTGCTTTTATGTTAGGTTTGAGCCCTGTTTTAGCTGCTACCATGATGTCCTTTTGTCAAAATTATATTTTTCTTCTGCTTTCCAGGGACGATTGTGCCCCCTGGAAAAGTACGAGGGGCATCGCCCTATAACCAATTTGATATAATCCCTGGCGACCCACTGGGCAGCCACACAGGTCCTGCTGGAGATAGTTGGTTACCTGCCAAATCTCCACCAACAAGTAAGATTGGAAGCAAATCCAGCAATGCCAGTTGGCCTCCAGGTAATTTCAGTGTCCTTGAAAACTGTTCATAAATGTTACATCCCAGCTTATAAAATAATATTTGTTACTGCTATCAATGTGTCACCGCTGTCAGTGGCTTTCCAAGCACAGCAGACTGGTGCTGTGCAAACATGCATTGTAAGATTTGTAAGATGCATTTCAGATTTTGGACCGTTTGCCTGTATGAGGTTGTGTAAAACTTGTTTCAGAGGTGTAAACTCCATTTTAAAGAAACCAAACTTCTTTGGTCTGTATAAATGACATGAACTAAGCACTTTTTTATTTTGTGGAATTTATTTCTTGGGAAGGTTTAGGGTTAGGATAAAGTTGTTACACTGAACAGTAATGCCCTACTCTTGACCACTGGGAATGTTATACAGTAATACCTCTTACGTACGTCCGCCTTGTCTAGTGTCCATTCCGGCGAACGTCTGCGGCAAATCTGGAAGTACCGGAATGGGTTACTTCCGGGTTTGCCGCATGCGCAGAAGCGCAAACCGCTCCGTACGCAGATGCAGCGCTTTGCCCTGCGTCCTTTTTGGCTAGCAGCTGGGGCTCTGGAATGGATCCCGGCTGCAAAACAAGGTACGACTGTACAGAGTTTATTTATTTCTGAGACTTCACCAAGCATTGTCTCTCTCCCATTATTATTATTATTATTATTATTATTATTATTATTATTATTATCATCATCATCATCATCATCACCACCACCACCACCACCACCACCACCACCACCACCACCCTAAATTTTGAAAATAGGTGTGTTTTAAGCCTACTCTTGAATTGGCATCTTTATTTTTTGTGATTTATATTGTAATGGCAATTGGCTACAGACAATAAAAATGTGACTGATTGACTACATACACACATATAGTAGCAATATTAATTTGTATGCTTTTCAATCAGAATGTAGAATAACATTTTAATTACTATTTTTGAAAGGGTAGGAAGGAATGGAAGAGCTAATAAGGGACTAGGAAACACATGTATGCCTTTACATTTGTAATTAGATTCCTCTAATAACATCTGCACGGGACGCGGATGGCACTGTGGGTAAAACCTCAGCGCCTAGGACTTGCTGATCGCATGGTCGGTGGTTCGAATCCCCGCGGCGGGGTGCGCTCCCGTCGTTTGGTCCCAGCGCCTGCCAACCTAGCAGTTCGAAAGCACCCCGGGTGCAAGTAGATAAATAGGGACCGCTTTCTAGCGGGAAGGTAAACGGCGTTTCCGTGTGCGGCTCTGGCTCGCCAGAGCTGCGATGTCACGCTGGCCACATGACCCGGAAGTGTCTCCGGACAGCGCTGGCTCCCGGCCTCTAGAGTGAGATGAGCGCACAACCCTAGAGTCTGTCAAGACTGGCCCGTACGGGCAGGGGTACCTTTACCTTTACCTTTAATAACATCTGCACTCTCAAACTGATCTCCCAAGACCCCAGAACTAGAAACTTGGCACCACACATTCTTGGACACCTCATATTTGTTGGAAGAATTTAAGAACTTTAAGTCTTGAATATTTCATTTGAAATACTGTATGATTATTGTTATGTTTCAGAGTTTCAGCCAGGAGTGCCATGGAAAGGTATTCCAAACATTGACCCTGAATCTGATCCCTATGTGACCCCAGGAAGTGTGCTGGGGGGTACAGCCACATCCCCCATTGTAGATACTGATCACCAACTTCTGCGGGACAACACCACAGGTATATTTTATTACATAATACAATTTCTGTTTACCTTGCAACTATTATAACTGGAATAACAAGTTGGATCAGCAAATACATGTTTGCTGATTATAAGTTGGGGCAGGGATACATTTGCAGGGGAGAATCAGCAAAATTGAGGGTAGTTAATCTCTCTACACAGCCAATTATTTTTCCTTATAACCTCTTCTGCCAGGCCCCTTTCCCCCCCAACCAGTCTTAGTCGCAGTTTTAGACTTAGCTAGAGGGGAAAATAGGAAAATATCTATCTGGAGGGTAAGCATTGGTGAACCAAGAGAATGAATTAAAACCCTGTTTGCACTTAGCAATTTCCCCGTGGAAATGCCCCTGTTGTGTATTAATGGCAGTAGGCAAATACAAACAACCGTATTCTGCTCTGTATTCTATTCTAAAGTTTGAAGATGCAGATGTTACTATGGTTTAATTTATGTTAAGACTAAATACATGGATTTGCAATAGGTTTCTGCCATTCATTGTCATTGCTAGAAATGTCAGTTGTCACGTAAATTCTTTATTAATCTATAATATTTTTCTTTACCTTTCCCTATTATGCCATAGGGTCTAATTCTTCCCTCAACACCTCGCTGCCTTCACCTGGTGCCTGGCCCTACAGTGCCTCTGACAATTCCTTCACAAATGTTCATAGCACTTCAGGTATCTGGTTTCCATTCTCAATGCACCTAGCTCACATTTTATATTGTAGATGGAAAACATTGAGATATTTAAGCATATATAGCAATGCTTTGTACAATAGATAGTTGCCTGGGTTTTTTCCTCAGTGTAACTTTTTTTACGTATTAAATAACTCCCTGGTGAATTTTTTTCAGATCCATGTACTATATTGTTGCAGAAGCGTGTAGCCTGGATCACATGCAAATATACTTCGACAGACTAAAATTATGATGATCTGTGTTATGTGTATTAACTTTCACTAATTGATTGGCTTTTCCTTTCCTCTGTTGTAGCAAAGTTCAGTGATTACAAATCAACATGGTCCCCAGATCCCATAGGACCCAATCCCCCTCATCTCTCCAACAAGTGGAGAAACAATATTTCCTCAAGAAACACTACAGGGCTACCCCGCCCACCTCCTGGTCTGAGTAATCCAAAACCATCCTCTCCCTGGAGCAGCACAGCACCCCGCTCACTCAGGGGGTGGGGGGCACAGGATTCAAGGCTTGCCTCTGGTGAGTAGAATTTCCTAGCATTCAAGTTCCACAGCATTACTAGTCTGGATATGTATGATAAGACCTTTAGGGGAGAGAATGTTATAATTGCTCAGTGAGAGAAAAGAGAATGTTCTATCTCTCTTAAAAGGGCTATGGGATGTTTGTCAGAAATTACTGAGGGAGATACAGGTAGACCCTTCCTGTCAGAAGAGGTCCTTGAAAGTTGACAAGGAACATGTATTGAATAATTTGTGGGTGGGATAATTTGTGGGTGGGGTCTCAAGAAGATGCAGATCCACAGACTTCATCCTCACAAAGCAGCATTTAGCACTTTCTTGAAGGGGTTTAGATGGAAAGCTAACCCCCCAACCCTCAGTGTGCACACTCAAAAAAGGTCAACGTGGCTCCCATTTTTTCTGGTCACTGCAGCAAGAGAAACTTTCACTTACCCCTGAGAGAGCATATGAGCTAGGCCCTTCTTTTCCTTCACTTCATCTTTTTCACCTTTTTTTCTCTACAGTGGATTTTTAAAAAAACAACAACAAAAAACCTTTGGGCTAATTCTGCAACAGTGCATGCCTCACTCTCAAGCGGGTGCTTGTGGTGCAACTGGCACTTTTCAAGAGGTGTTCAGTTTGTGGCAGCAGACTACCTCCTTAACTTGGTGAGGGACCTGTAATGCATATGGTTCCAGCTGTCTGTGTTTCACTAGGCAGACACACAAAATCACTTGTTTCAGGCACAGGGAATGTTGTTGGAGCAGGCTGTCTTTGCTTTCAGTGCCAAGGTCAGAGTCTCCAGAGCAGCATAAGCTACACAACTTTGTTCCACTTCAGTTCTGCTCATGTTGTTGATGGCAGGGACGGTATCCTTGAACCGATAGGTCACTTGTGCTATGGAGGTCTTCCATAGCTTGCTTACTACACTGTCCTCTATGGGAACTGAATTGCCCTTTACATTGACCATGGCTGTTAACCTCTCCAGCCTTCACTTCTGCCTCTGATTCTGGACTGCTCTCTGCCACAGACTCTTTCTTGCTCACTAAGCCCTGTTTCCTCTTCAGCTTCTGACACCTCCTTCCTGTCTGCTCCCTCTGACCACTCATCATCATCCCACCACCAATCCCTGGGCTCTGAGTCTTGGAGGCTCCCCAGCTGGTTCCTCCCACCACTCAACATCCAGTCCATGACACCCAAATGTGTTTTTCTTTTCTAAACTTCAGTCCCTTCTTTTAGAGGAAAATACCAAAATCTTCCTCTGAAAAGAGATAAACTGGTACTCAATGCCTTGTGCATTTAGCATTTTTTTAAGCATTTCGCTATCCCCCAGAAGACTGAGGTCTTTGGCCACTTCTGGACCTTCAGGATGTGTCATAAGTCCAAAGACATGCAGGATGGTAACCCTTGTCAAATTCTTTTAAGTGAAAGCAAGCATCTTTCATGTCAGAGCTTGGTCCACATCCACAGATTTGGAAGATGCTTAGCCTTTCAGCCAAAACTTTGCTGTTTGCCTCACTTTGCTCTGAGTGACTGCAGCTTCTCTATAGGATTGCAAAGTTTTAGAGCTATTTAGAACTGTCACCATTGCACACTTCTGTCAGTAAGGGATTTTGATCTTCCCATAGATAGATGACTGCCTACTTATTGCATCCACTCAGACCAAGTTGCTTTTACACTTTGCGTTCACAGCATCGGGCTTCTGTATCAATGTGGCAAAGTTTCCAATACATCACCCCATGTGCTCTTTTTGATTCTGGTAGAAGTTTATGAATCTCCTGTCCTCTGGCTGAGCTTGAAACCTTATTGCAGGATTGAGGCACCTCAGCCCCAGGGGTTGAATTCTGCACTCCAGGCCTTTCTGTCTTTCCCTTGGAACTTTCCCCAGGCAGTAATCTTCACTGGTTGTGCTTAACACCCCAAATGTTTTTGCCAGGCTTCAATGTGTCCTTGAACTCTGCTAATGTCACTTGAATTTCTGGAGGGAGGATAGACAGAATTGTGTGGGTGTGTGTAGCTCACTGTACAAAAGCTAAAAATTTGCATTTGTTGCTTCATCCACTTTTGCCTCTGGCTTCACCCCCACTGTCATGTGGCCCTTGGAAGATTGCAGAGAAGGAAATGTCCTCCTTTGACTGAAAAAGGTTCTCCACTCCTGCCTTATTTGGGTGGCTGCTGACACAGCAGTTCAACCTAGATTCTGTGGCCAATGGCCTTGAGAACTGTCATCCACCCATCTGAGAATGTGTCCTCTTTAGTGTTGATTTCTGTATGTGTTCCAGCCAGGAGTCAACTCCCAGGCAAAACATCTCATCTTGTCTTCTCAGTTCTGCATTCCTGTCATGGTTTGATCCTCAGCAGCTATAGTTCCACTTGATACTGTAACTGCAAATGTCATTTTGACCTGCTCTCCGTCTCATGTTTCTTTATATAGCTGCCGCAACAGGAAATTGTTGGGAAGGTAGAAGCCATACTCCTTTGAGTGTGCTCTTATCTTTTGAAAGTTCTGAATGTTACTTTGTGCAACTGCAGAATTCATATGTGTAGCTGCACCAGTGACCACTTGAACAACCCTGTCTTTCATGTTAAATGTGGCAAGTGAAATGGTTTATATAAAGCACAGAATTCATTCTGGTTTTCTGTTTAAGATAAATTTTGAAGTAGGTCTCATCCAAATGTATCCTGCTTACTGTTTAATCATTTGCAGCCTCTACCTGGAGTGATGGTGGATCTGTTCGTCCCAGCTACTGGCTGGTTCTTCACAATCTCACTCCGCAGGTATTTCTGTCTTCAGCTTCCTTTTTATTACTGAAACAAGACTATTCTGAATTGTTGATTATTTTAAATAAATATTGTATTTATGTACCAACACAAGCTAACTAGTATGACAGTGTGTTTAGGACATGAGAGACCTACTGTAAACCACATTTTCAGCTTTTTTTTTATTGGATTGTGAATTAATTGCAGTGCTTGTTTTAGTTAGGTAAGTAAGCAATTTTGTGAATGCAAAACATAGTGTTGTCGTTTTTTTACAAAACTCCCAGTCTTCAGGATGCTAGGCAGAATGGTTAGTTTTCTCTCTTATGTTTTCATAGCGAAACCACAGAATGTTTCCAGCACGGCAGCCAAAAACAAAGGCCTGTAAGGTTCCTTCAGCTTTTGTTTGTCTGCTGAGACACCATGCTTTCTCAGTACAGTCATACCTTGTGTTGCATTAGGTTCATGTTGCATCTTTTCAGTTTGCGAACGTGGCAAACCCAGAAGCGCATACTTCCGGGTTTTGCCCCGTGCGCGTGCACAGAAGCATTCTGCACACTTAGCACATGTGCAGAAGCGGCGCTCTAGTTACAGACTTTTCAGGGTGCGAACGGCACCCCAGACCAGATCAAGTCCGTAACTAGAGGTACCACTGTATTTTGAGCTTAGTTTATTTCTCTTGTGGCATTTACAGTAATTGCCTGATATTTTTGGTTTGTATATAGACCATACTATTTCAGATATATTTACAAATGAAAATACTTACCTCCCCCCCATAAACCTGCTGTTTGTCTTTGTTCTTCCAATCTGTTCTTCACAAGATTGATGGGTCAACTTTGAGGACCATCTGCATGCAGCATGGTCCACTGCTGACATTCCATCTCAACCTGACCCAAGGCACCGCCCTTATCCGATACAGCACCAAGCAGGAGGCAGCCAAGGCCCAGACTGCACTGCACATGTGAGTTACACCAACAACCTTTCCTGACCATTTTGCAACCTCATTTTGTCAGTAGATGGAAGTCTTGTGTGCAAGAGGTAGCCCAGCAATGTGTTTTGTTTGCCTAGTGCCCCGATTTGAAATGTTTTTTCCCCCAGGGGCTCATGGAAGGGCAGTGCTTACACTGGGATGGCTCCTCCCATCTGGCTGGACAGGCAGGGTCAGTTAAGGATCCTTGGCTGGGGGAGGCGCCATCCCCACTTTTGCCAGACCGGCCTTGCCTCTCAAGTTGGTCAGACAGGTCTCTAGTGCTGCAAGGCTCCTGACCCAGCACATTTTTTCATTCTCATTTATTTTCTTTTAGCTTGCATTTTTCCATTTCTTATTTAATTTCTTTTTCCTTGTAATTTTCTTTCTTTTAATGCCCTTCCCTCCTCTCCTTTTGCCTCCCTGGCCAAGGAGGCAGACTCTGCCAGCTCTGAGGAAGAGCTCCGTATTTTTCATGAGGAGGCCCTCCCCCAGAGCCCACAGGAAGGCACCCAGGTGGCTTCTGCTGCCCCAAAGAGCTCAAACGCTCTACGCAGTGAAATAGAGGCTGGACAACTGATTTGTGCAGTAGTGCAACAGCAACAGTTCCCTGTTTCACAGTTGACTTGTGCCGCAGCAAAAGGAGCTTGTGTGTACCATTTCTGGCTGGCACTGGAGTTTCTCCTTTAGTCTTCACCTTTCCCTGGACAGGGGAGCCCAGGGGAGAAGCACGGACACCAGGTATGCTAGACTAGACGGTCCGTTCTCTGATCCAACAGGGCTCTTACGCAGTATCTAGAAGGTACAGGCATATTCTGTTATCTGGCTGAACTGTTCTCACCTCCAGGCAAAGTCCATTTTGTGGCCTTCCACTAGATTGGGAAACTAAAAAAAGCAAACAAAAATATTTCAGGTAATGGTGTGCCTCTTTTTAAAAGCTAAATTAGTATTCTCTTTAAAAGCTTTTGAAATATTTCTGTTAACTTAAAATATTTTAATATGGATCTCAAAAGGATGTTCAATTATTATTCTCATTACTGTATCCAATTACATTTCAGTTTGGTTAACTATTTGAGTGAGAATAGAGAAGAGATTAGATAAGTCAAAGCTTTGATTATGACCTGATTGAGGCATGGAAAAGCATAGTTTGTTGTTACTTACTTGAACTACAGCAAGCCTCAGATTTATATGCTCCCTCTGCTCTTCCTTCTCTCTACTTTGAATGGGAAGGGGCAAGGGAAATTTAAAGCTCTGTCACTTTTTGCAAAAACTGCAGCTTCCTTTTCCATCTGAATACAGGAAATTGGTTTATTTAACCGTAGTTAATTAATTAATAAACTAGTATATCAAAGCACCATTTGATCCTGGTTTGATAAAATCAAATCTTGGTTTCCCATATGTAAATAAAAAGGGAAGCATTTGGAAGAGGCATGGTTGTAGTTTAGTTCAGTTACCCCAGGTGGATGAGATCTGGCTATACACCTCTGAAGTTTCACGTTTGCACTTCATCTATTCTGGGCAGACATGTTCTTTACTAGCTTTTCCTTGTCTTCTGTGCTCTTTTGCCCTGTGCTCATGAGTTTCAGCTTAATTTGTTTCTTCTCCCCTCCCTCTGGGGAAGAGGGCTGTCTGCTGGGGTAGGGGCCACCACTGGCAGCTGGATGGTAACAGCTCAACAGGATGCTTGCGCTGCCTCTCCCCTCAGGGAGTTTTAAAGGATTATGTGAGAAGCATGAAATTTATGTTTCTTGCATGTAAGTGGCTTTCTTAACCAAAAATTGTGGATAGTGTATCCATTCTTGTATTCATCCTGAAAGAAGAAATATTTTTGGCGCATGTTTCATGCCAGCATTTACATTTGGCAGTATTTTTGTACACGAAGAACATGCAAATTTTGTTGCTGCCATAAGTTTGTGGGCTCTTGGGGAAAGCAGTGGACTTGCACATTTGTGAGGTGACCATGACTTTGCTTGCAATGGGCTACAAACTGGGTCTTACTTGCCTTGCAAAAGTACACTGATATTTGGACAAATGTTAGGGTCCCAGTATGAATATTTGCAACTCTTACCACTATTCTCAGGAATCTCGTTTGTATATCAGATTCCAAATTTAGAAAAACTTTTGTAAAAATATGCATACATGCTTAAACCATTTTTTTTCTTTTAAAGTAAAAGAAAACAATATTAATTCTGGAAAACAAATGTAGTAAGGATGAGGGCACTATATAAATATTGTTCTGCTGCTCACATTAATTTTCTTTGTTGAACACTCTCTATATATATATTTGCAATGTTAAACTGTGAATTTGGCTCGATTCTGGGATATTTTTTCCTGTTAACTTTTGTTTCTGTTCATTCTACCCTATTTTTTTAGGTGTGTTTTGGGAAACACTACCATCTTGGCTGAGTTTGCCACAGACGAGGAGGTTAGTCGCTTTCTGGCACAAGCTCAGCCTTCTACACCTGCAGCAACACCCAGCACACCTGCAGCAGGCTGGCAGTCTCTAGAGACAGGACAGAATCAGACAGATCCAGTGGGACCTGCTTTGAATCTTTTTGGTGGGTCAACAGGGCTTGGGCAGTGGAGCAGCGGTGGTGGCAGCAGCAGTGGGGGTGACCTTGCTGGTGCTTCATTATGGGCCTCCCCAAATTACTCTTCAAGCTTGTGGGGGGTTCAGAGTGTAGAAGATCCCCACAGGATGGGAAGCCCTGCTCCCTTACTACCTGGAGACCTTCTAGGCGGAGGGTCGGATTCAATCTGAACTTAAAACTTTCAACTCTGACCTCGTGACCTTTTTTGGAACAGCAGCAGCACTAACTTGACCTTTTCTTTTTTTTCAACTTGCAATAAATACATTTTAAAAGGAAAAAAGAAAATGGAGAGAGAAAAAAAGGTGGGTCATTGACAGGACTGTCTGAGCACATAGTTGCCTCCCTTATAACTTCAGTTTTTTCGTTTGGAATATGAATCCAAAAAGAGAACATATCACTCTTGAAATACTTGAATCATGAACGCCAACTTAGAAAGACAATGTGAAGCAAGTACACATACCATTCAAATCTAAACACAAAAATTTAAAAAAAATTAGTTTCTAGTTTTTCACTTTTTCATGTTATACGGAAGTTGTTGCTACGAAACATATATACTGAAAAATAGCTTTTTAACTTTGTTTGCACTGGGTGTGTTTCCGTCCTTAGGTCTACTATGTCGGGAAGGGGCAGGGTTCAAAAGAATTGGGGGTGGGGTGGGAGGGGAAGACTTGACGGAGCCTCACTTTAAAAAACAAAAAAGGAAAAAAAAACACTTTGTGATTGGCTGGTTGATATATACCAGTATGTTCTGGCACATGTAACTGCCCCGTGTGTGTGTTTCTGTGAGAGCGTGTATGTGAGCATGGTTGTGTGCGTGTGTGCGCATTTTTGTCTTGGAAAGCTGCATTGCTGTTGGTCAGCAACCTACCTGGCTAGACTCTTAAACTGAATAATGATGGTGCCTGTGACTGGTGCAAAATCAAATTGACCTGTGTTAAAATCTGTCGGTGGTATTTTTATTTTAGCAGGGTATTCAGCGCAGTACAGATCTTGTTCTGACCCTGTCATAGAGCAAAACACTGCCATATCCTAAGGATTTGGTGAGAGGGGTGCCAGTGTGGGAGTTCAGGGTTTTGAGGGTGGGGAGGGGGGTGATCTGTTTTGCCTAGAAGTGTATTTGTGTCTCTAATGAGACTTTTTGAGTGAACCCAAGCTTACTTTTTATGACAAGGCCTTTCACCTTTTGGGGGACACCAGGGGGTAATGGGCATCACATTTCTTTGTGACAAAGACCTATGTAATAGTTGAAGCTTCTGCAGTCCTTAAGAACCAAATCCTGTAGCTATTCCTCAAGTCTGCATACTAAGGTTCTTATCCTTTCATGGAAAATCCACCAAAATTCAGGCCTAACTGTATTTTCTTAAGTGGTCTGCTGTTTGTGACAAAACTAAAATGTCAGTAGTTTGCTGGCCTATCTTGTATTGTGAAAGCACATGCAGCAACTTTTGTTCTCCTTTCTCCATAGTGAGCGTTACCTGTGCCAGGCCTAGGTGTATTACAGCACCAGACCATCACTGACAGAAACGTTTACTTACGAATGTTCTTAAACCAGTGTGTACTTTGAGCATTTTTTCTCTGTGTATTTCCTGTGTATGTCTTGCTTAGGCTTTGCTTAGGCAGGCATATAACTAGCAAAGACTTCTTTTGTTTATAAAGTATTGCACCTTTATTATTTTTACTTTTCCCTGTACTGTTGCTTTTTATTGTCGGTATTTAAAGAAAGGTTGTATGTTGTTGATGTTGTTGTTGATGTTGTTGTTGTTTTATTTTTTTAAACAACAGTGTAGTAGTACTCTGGGCAGGATAGGGGAGACCTATACTTAATTCAGAAGATAGCCAGTGTGTGCACTGGGACAGAATTGCTTGTTGTGAAGAAAGCCGTAGCAAACATTGCCTTTACACAAAGCAATTTTGAAGATGGGCAGACAGGATAAGAACAGGGAGAAGGAGGCATTATTCTTTGAAGTGTTAGAACTTAGCTCTGGATTTTTGCTAGCTCTGCATTATACTGAATAACAAAAGTGCTGCAATATTCTGTACCAGCAAATACCTACATAACTCCGGTACTTGGAAGTAGCAGATCATAATGTACAGGATCACAACAGAAGATTCTTTCTCCTTCAGCAGTTTCATTTTTAAAAAAAAATCAGTGGTGTCTGCTATATAAGTATTGATAGCAAAATTAAAGCAAAAAAATTCCTCACATTTATGTAGAAAGGGAGGAGTTGTGAATTCTGTACATGAACTCGGTTTCACAGGAAGACTAAATAAGGGGATTACTGCATTTACATCTGCCTGTTATTTTGCTGTGAAGTTGAGTGGTAAACATAGACAGGTGTTGCGTATTTAACCTTCAGAATCTGCAGCATATGTGGATCTTTTAAGTGTTTCCCTATTTCTCCCTTTGTCATTGTATCTTGTAAGTTGAAGCAAAATGTCCCCCCCCCCATTCCTGCCAGTTAAGTTTCCCTTGCAGCCCCTACACATGCCTGCTCCTAAAACAGCTGTATTTGTCTCTGGGGCCTCAGTGTTGAAAGCATGCAGGACAAACTATTAAAAAAAAAAAGCTCTGAGCTGGGAGGACATCGGAATACTGCACCTCATGGCCTAGAAAACAGCTATGTGCTCCAATATGTGACTTGACACACAAGCAGGTTCACTACTGTGTTATCAACTCTCTCCCAACCTGCCCTACGGTCCCTTTGCCTGCACTTTGGATTTGTTGAGTTCATTACGATACTACGGTGAAAGCCGGGTGCTAGAGCCCCTCTTGTTTACAAGACATAATGAGGGATATGACATATTTAAAAAATGAAAAGCTAAAATGTTCTTCCATCACAAGCTTAAAGGGAAAAAATTAAAAACTTTTTAAAAAAAGACCAAAAAGTGCGTGTGCATATATAAATATATATATATATATAAGATGAAGACTAACTCTGGGAGCATTTAACAGTGTTTTTGTGTTTTAACATTTATTTTCCTGCTTTAAATTTGCAAGCATTCTCAGGAATTCTAGGGTAGGAAGCCAGTTTTCGAAGATGGTTTATTTAACCTTTACCTTATCCTAGATAGATGGTTGTTTCTTTCGTAAACTTTTACAAGTTCCTGAATCTTCAAAAAGTTTAAAAGTTTTTTTTCTTTACAAAAAGCAAAAAATTTGAAAAACAAAATCTTAACTAATACAAACTCCAATTGTCAGAACTGGGGATCAAAAAAAATTTAAAGTACAAATTGATTACAAAAGAATTCTCAGTAGCAGCAACACAAATTCATTGTATTCTTAAAAGTCCAAGTTGTGAAAAGATTTATACTTTTAGAGCTTAGTCTCAAGTGGAAGCGCGTGTGCAGATGAGTGGGGGAGAGGATTGCGTATGAATGAAAGTATAATCATCTAGTTGTTTCACAGTGAGCATAAAATCTTCCTCCAAGCACCTTTTTAAAATAAACAGTTAAAAAAGAGTAAAAAAATGCATTTTGATTTGACTAAATCAGTCAACCACAGTTAAGAAGAATTGCTGGGAGTACAGGATGGTGCTTCTTGAAACCACTTTTAGATTGACAGTGCTTCAGAGAAGCAGAATCTTTATTGTGACCCAGTAATGGAGCTGTTTTAACTTTTACTAATTTTAAAACAGAAAATAGGGAAAGAAGAATGTGGGAGAAATCAGTGAAGTGTATCTGGGGAAAAAGGGCTTGGTGTATTTTAATCATTTTGAAGATTTTTTTTTTGTTTGCTTTTTCCATTTATCAACCAGAGATGTGTAAGTGAGAAATTTTGGGAAGTGGGTTGGAGGTAAGATATATTAACTGCTGCTGCCAGCTACTGGGACTCCCATTCTTAAGAACCAGTTTACTGCAGCTTTTTCCTGGGATGGATAGCTCAGAGCTTCCAGCACAAAGAGAGAAGGACTTGATGTGCTTGAAGCATTTTTGTTAGAATGAAAATAACAAGCCGCTTTAGTGCCTTTGTAATACATCCTTGCATCCTACAAAAGACATATGCAGTCTAGTCACTCCAAGGAAACAAATGAACCCATTTTTCTAAAACAAAAAGCATTTCTCTGAGCATGCTGAATAGAAGCCTCAAAGGCCTGCCGTGCAAAGAGTTACATATAAAATACATGTAAACATTTTTCTTTGAAATCTAAGGGCAATTTTCATGCATTACTACTTTCTTGTTTTGAACTACTCTTCAAATAGAAGTGTGAAGTAATGCCTGGTTTTCTGTGACATCCATTGTGTGTTCTTTAGTTGTGTGTTGCATTGTTTCCCAAATTGCACCTTGAAAAAAAATGCATCAACTGATTCCTAGTGTGATAGGCCAGTGAGAGGAGCCCCCTTTTGTTTTTTTAAAGGAAGTTATTTATCTGAACGCTTTATCAGAGGCTTTGACTTATTTCCCCCTATAATTTTTTTTAAGTCGAAAATTACAAAAGCCTGTTACTTGGCTGACAACTGCTGAAGAAGGTATAAAGGTAACTGTGTAACTCTGTCATATTTAAAGCATCCTTTACCTCTCAACATTTCAACCTATGCATATTGAAGTTTGTCATATTTTTGAAGAAGTGAACTAAAATATCAATCTTGGCAACCTTCCATCCCTGATGAATACCTGGAATGTTTAATCAGCCCTTTGGACCATAGCAATACAGGTTTCCAAACACCTTTTCTGTTTTGAATCTGCTATGTTCTCTGGCCAGTGAGGATGATACTTTTGGGAACTAAGCACTAAACTATACTTGAGAAAATGTTTTCTGCAGCTGTTTTGTGGGTGGTGTTACTATATTTTCATGTATGTTCTACACACACACACACAAAAAGGCAATAGGTCTCATGGGGTGTTGGAGACCTCTTCAGATTGCCAGAGCACCCTGCGCAGCTTGAAGCCACGTGTCAAATTTTTCGTTTTCTCTTATAAAGTTGCTCCCTCCATGAAAAGGAGAAACAGTCCATATCAATGTTTTGTCCTCCTTTTTAGTTGTATATTTTAAATGCACATGCCCAACTTAAAAAATAGCCCTATTTTGGTTCTATTCACTCTTTTAATATATGGCCTATATGAACCTACTGCCAGAACCAGCATCTAATTGGATGGGTCTTGCGATAACACCTTTCCTATAATAGTACTATTCCCAGAAAGCTGCTTATTACGCCATGCTGAACCATTCTGGGAAGGTTGCAGTCTTTTCCAGTGCACCCGTATAAAGTGGATAGAGTGAGCTTTTCCTTCACTCTTGGGTTCCCTTTGTAAAGGAATATGTTAAAAGCATGTTTTTACTCTGCCACTTAGCCAAAGCAAAACTCTTCACCTTATCTTTGAAAATTTTTAAAATAAATTAGTGAATATAAACAGACAGACATTTCCTGTTTGATTTTCAATGCAGGCATTTGAACTGGCAAGTGTAACAAGTATTAACGCCTCTTTCTATTCTGTCCTCCACTGCCATGGCAAATGTTACCCGATCTTCACTGTCATCCAAATAGTAGTGTTCGAATCACTCACCTTTATTTTTTTATAGTATTGGCTAATTGAGATACTCTGTTCTCCCCTGAGATGGTTCTGTTTAGTTTAGCTGTATTGTTCCTTCATTATAAATATGCAACAGCAAAAACACTCTGCATATAATACAAATGCTACCCAAAATGCAGTTAAAATGATGCATTCTGAAATGAATACATGCTTTCCAAGGCATGCATTGATTGGAGCGATACTGACTGAAGGAAGATGGATAAAATCTATATTACTGGTTTCCCTAATTTTCCACAAAGCTACAGCTGTTCATTTGAATGCTGATTAGTCTCCATGTTATGATATGCTAATGATATTGGGAGCATTATGTAGATGGATGATTTGGTAGTAACAGTTACACCTGTTGAATACAAGGCTTAATCAGCAAAGATGTAATGTTGTTTATTCTTTATTCCAATAATATTTTGGCAGATTTTCCTACTGTAGCAATCCCTCTCAAAGGTTTAAAACTTTGCTGGTTTTTTAAAAGTATATATTGACTCTGATCCATACAATTTGGTCATACAGTTTTGATCAGTTATGAATTAGTAAATTTCTAAGAAAATTCTGTAGTGCTCTTAAGGATGGGTGAAAGGAGTAAAATAAACAAATTTTGTGCTGAAGATAGCTTTTATCCTCCTTCAGAACATTGCTAAAATGTATATAAACAGTCACCAAATTAAAAGGATTATTCCCCTCTTATGCTACAATAGGGAACAAAATTCTAACCTGATCTTCTGGCTGTCAGGCTTCATCAGATGCTAGCAGTTGTCAGACCAACCTAAGTGCCCTTTAACTGTTCTCCATGGCCATGTCAGATACAGATAAGTAGTTTCACATGGCTGAGAGGATATTTAACAGGCACCATAGACATTACCAAATGTGTGATATGGAACAGTGTCAACATACCTGCTTCTTAAGTTTGTGCAGTATGGCATATATTTACAAATTTCTCAGAGACATGGGCCATAGAAGGATCAAAAGAATCAACCTCAACTAAGAGCCAGTTTCTTCGTGTACTTGGCAGTGGTGATAGCTAGAGTTATATATGCCCTTGTCTTTTTTTTAAATGCATTTTTTTTAGCCATAGAGTTTGAATGTGTTTTTACTTGAGCCTGACAACCATCCATTTAAACACAAATCCAGGTTATTGAAGTTAAAGCATTGTGCCAGGCAGCCTGTGGGTATATTTTGACATATGATTAGCTGTCCATGGAGCAAAATAAAATAAGAATATGGAGAAATGTTCCAGGGATAAACAACACAGTTGGACAGTGTTGAGCAAGAAATGGTGTGTTTTTTTAAGCGCTTAGTGCCTCATCTTAGGTAATAGTATGCCAGTTAATGCATTCAAAGAACTAAAGTTCCTCATTTCTTACCATGTTTTAAATCAGAGAAAATAAATGCATATTGTCTTTCTGTATTAGAAAATGCAGCGGTTAATTGAGTCCTCCTTCTAAAGATTGCTTTGCTTGCTGGATAATAATTTTTGTGGCATGGTTGTGAATATCAAGTGCTTTTCTTCTCCTTCCTTATCCCAGCCAGACTGGCTCACCCTCCTTTTATATTAAGTGCTGAGTGCTTTGAAGTTTGGGTGGGAAGGGGCAGGGCATAAAGGAAATAAAGGGAGCCAAGTTAGAGCAGCCTTACTTTAGGGAGTAGCCTTACAACAGAGCTTTATAGTGAGGGTGTGCTGTATTCCAAATTGTGTAAGCCAAAAATGAAAAAAAAAATCATTTATGCAAAAAGAGGCGTTAACTTCTTAACATAATATGTACCTTCTGAAGGTAGAATAGGGTCTCATGAAGTGATACATTGTGATGCTTCTTGCTGGGTCAGTAGGTATGGGATTTGGGATATAAGCGCTTAACATTCCCTTGTGGGTTTTTTTAGGGTTGTGTTTTGTTTTTAGTTTTGAACAAGCAGTAAGTTAAATGTGGTATCTCTGAATGTGCCTTTGTGAGTATGTGACTGTCGGTCCGAGAAGACTACTTGGGCTTGACAGGGGGAGATGATAGTCAGTTTATTCTCTCTAAAGGTCAAATGCAAAGATTCCAGCCTGCTGGTACCTTTTGACAGTGTCTTTTGGGGCTGGTCTCTAAGCTGCGCAGTATGCAGTTGTGTGTGGCAGATGCATCCAGGTGTGGATGGGTTGTAATTCACATGTTGACATTTTTAGGCTAGTGCTCCGTTGCTGGTTGAATTCGTATATGTATTATGTACCTATTACATTTGTGTATGTGGCTTGCTTTAACTTTTTTTTTTTTTAAGCACTGGAAAATGAAACGCAGTGATGTTTGAGACACATTTATGCATGTAGAGAAGAAGGTATTTTGTAGCTTCTGCCATTCTTGGGTGTAGGCACACTTTTGCCCTCTATCAGTGTCCTGATAATAGAAAAAAGAGAAATCTACCCTATAACTTCTAGCACACTTATTGTTGCCATTTAAATGAACAGGGTATTACACAAGAATATAAGATGTTTTTGAAATGGTGAGGAAGAAGTGTTGTTTTTTAATCAAAACGTAATTCTTTGTTTCTTTGAAGCTGTTTGTAGCTAAACATGGGAATCTGCAGTGTCTACTTTCATTTGTTTTTTTCATATATATTCCACCTCTTCTTCTCCCCACCTCAAATGCAAGGTGTACAAAATCAAGAGCTGCTGTAGCACCTCTCAGCAACCTTCCCAAATGAAAGCTCTAGCAGGCTCTCTTCATCTCCATTCAGGAAGACAAAGGGAGGAGAGATGCTGCAGCTTTCTTGCTTCGCTCTCATTCCTCTCTAATGGCCTTGAAATGTATTATTATGCAAATGTGAATTTTGATACTGAACTTTAAGAAGAGGTTGTTTCTTTTTCAAACAAAAAAAGGTCCCATATGTGGTCAGCATTGCTTCTTTTTCTTGTAAGTGAATTGTAAACTATGCATTCAGCAAGAGATGGTTTGGGGGAGGAAAAGAGAGTCCTGCGAAACTGTTGAAAATGTTTCTGTGTCCATTGAATTCCAACACTGATGTAGGAGGAAAGAGGTTCATGTCATGGGAGGACTTAATGGAACCCATCTCTTCTGAGAAGTTGACTTATTTGATTGCCAGGCAGATTTGTTTTTGGAGGGAATTAAAATCAACTTCAGAAATGAAGTAATGTCTGCCTGTTTCACAGGACTGTGCTTTCTTGCCATGCAGTGTTAGACCAGGATCAGCAGCATGACACAAAACAGCCCAAGGAGAGAATTTATCTACATAGCACCTCCTCCATTTGTTCAACCTCAGGAAATGGCACCTCATGCACTGTCTTTAAGGATTTACTCTACAACTTGTTCTCCTTTACAACTGCCCTTGTTCCTCAGGAGAATTACAATGTGGCTTTTCCTTGCATGCATTTCCAAAACTCTGTCCTAAAAGTTTCTACCAATTCCCATTGCAGATGAAACATAAAATAGCAATGCCAGCTTGGAACTGCTGTAGAATATATACTGCACTGGCATTAGTCAATTCCTTGTCTTCTAATGTTCATCAGAACTGTTCAAGGAAGACGGCATGCTAGTCACCATCTGTGACTTCTTTGAGCTAATACTACCACTAATAAAATGGAGGCGAGTGATAGAGACTAGAAGAGGAAATTTATATGGATTCTTTTGCTGGCAAGAAGCTGCTTGGAAAGGAGAAAGATTTCACTTCCTTACTTTCCGAATGTAGAGGCTGCTTCCCATGTTAATGGAGGTGTGTTTCCTTTACAAGTCTCCCTTGGGTGTTGTGAACTGTGGTATCTGCCTCATTTCACCTTGGCATCATCATAGCCAAGAAATTCTCCTACCTATAATTCAGTGTTTTTTTTCTCACACAGCAATTTTTTGTTGGTGTTCACAGTACTGTAATGAATAATAAATAGCCTTGACCGCTCATTCTCACATGCATACTTGCCTTGCAGATGTGATCTTATCAGGATTCTTATCTGGTAGATTGCCTTTTTTGTTGTTGTTTGTTGAAGGGGAAAAGTTTCCAGCTCTTTGTCTCAGAATACCTCGTGGTACATATTTACCTTTAGTGTAACTGGCCTTGTATATTCTCTTTCATACTTAGTGAGATTATACTGTTCCTACATTTGTCCTAGTGGTTTGAAGACTGGATCATGAGGCTGAAACTCCTGAGTTCTAATCCTGGCCTTTACTCTTCCCTCTTTTTGCCTTAGGCAAGAGTCATTTAACCTTTGCCTCAGTTTCCCCATCTGTAAAATGGGGATAATAATACTTACCTACCTCACAGGGGTTTTGTGAGGATTGACTACAGGTTTTTGTGAAGTGCTTCAAAGAAAAAGTACTTTTTATAAGTATTATTATATGGAGGTGTAACTAGCAGGCTACCTCCTTTCCCAGTCTTAGACGTACATCTCAGGGATGTGCAAAGAGGAAATAGGAGAGGAAACAGTGTATTTTATTTTTTACTTGTTAAGCCATCAAATACAACTACTTTTAACAAGAAGGAAGGAGCTAAAGAGCTGAACTATTCACAAATCTCCCTCGAGTTCCACATATAGCATGCAGAAAAGCCAGTCTTTTAACAGACACATTTTAAAAATAAAGTACACTTCCTCTTGAATTGGAATATGTAAAGTTTGCCATCTTTTGTATGTCCCCCTTTTAATTAGACATGGACTTTTTTGTTAGATGGCAGCACATCTGCTGCATTTGGGAAAGGAGACATTGCTGTGTAGTTTATATGAGTTCTGTAAAATGACAATATTTGTCAAGTAGTTGGCTTAAAGATGGGGACACTTGCTTTCCTGTTTGTGTGTTAAACATATGCTGCCTCATTCCCAATATACACAAGCCATTGTATGCCAATAAAACATGGAAACACAGTAATGTTCATTAATAAGAGCTGCTTGTGAATATGCCTTACAGCCTTCTCAAAATCTTTGGGAGGAGGGGTGGAATAAGAGGTTTGGGGTAAATTCCATAGTTAGGGAGTCTTTGCTGCTTCCTTCCTTTTCTGATCTATTATGGACACCATTCTCTCTTCAATCTTAGACGTGCATCTCAGGGATGTGCATATTGAGCCCAGCATTCGGATCTTGGAAAACCTAAGATTTGGTTCCATTCTATATTTGAAGTCTCCATATTGGACACTCCCTTAATCTTTTTCATCCTTTACTCCCCAAGGAGCAGCTCTGTCCACAACTGTTAAGTGATTAAAAGTTCTACGGTGGTCAAATTCAACATGATGCAGGTGTATTTGTATCTGTATCTCTCTGTTTTTGTGTATGCATACATATACAAATGCTCACTCAAGATTCCACCTTCCACTAGTTGGGGCAAGAAAACTGAAGTGCAGATCACCTAACAAAAACAAACAGCAGCTTTGATCTGCTAATACATATGCACTGCTTCCTTTAAAACAAACTTTCTTTCTTTTTTTTGAGGGAGGGATGAAAAAAGCAGTGGAGTTTAGAACTACTTTAGCATCCACTGGTTAGACAGAGACTTGAAATGCTGCTTTAATTTCAGAGCTCCTATGGGGCTATGTTTACAAAGAACTGATCAGGAAAATGACCAATTGTGGATATCCAACTTAGTGAATTATGCTTCATTTCTGGTGAGCAAGCCATGTAGTGGAAAATGTCTTAATGGAAAATGAAAGAAGTTTAACTCCACCTAGCCTTATTTGTGAAGTAAACAATATTTTATGTCCAAAATATCTTGATTAGAAAAGGCAGCTTTTCTACTTTGCACATAAATAGGTAATACGAAGGTACAGCTGAAATGCTATTGCCTGAAACACTGTCCCTTCCCCCAAGCAGGCATAATAGTGGATACATGTATTGAGGCTCTTTGCAAAGATACCTATTAGTATTTTTTCCTTATACTTGAAATAACGTACCCATCTCTATTTGTCAGTTGGGCATCCAAGAATGGTGGAATAGTGGAAAATAGGAAAAGGCACAATATGTTTTCATGCTAGAGTTTGCTTAGTTCTCTCCCCTCCCCCATAGTGCTTTTATTTCAGCTTACTTTCTATCCTAGGAATTCACATGGACACAGAAACACAGCACTTTATGTGCTCTTGCATGGCATGCTGCCCTCCCCTTCTCCCTCTCTTCTCTATTTTTATTTTAGTATAGTGGTACTTAAAATCACTGTTTCACTTAAAAAGACAATAAAATGTTTAAACTCTACTAATGTACAAATAAGCTGAAATGTTGCATTTATGTGTATTTTGCCATAGCAGGTACTGTATTTCTCATGCTGGATTTCAAACCAACAAAAGGGTGATGTTTTATTGGAGTGTGACAAGTTGAGAGTAATAAGGAATTAAGTCGTCGTCATTTCATTGAAATTGAGAGATGGTGTAATACATATTACGTTTTCTGAAGGTTTTTGTTTTTTTGCTTTTAAGCAGCTTTTGTTTTTATTTTGTTTTTGTTTTTTAAGATATGATTGTATTATGTGCAACTCAGTTGCTTACATTATAACTACAAAATATTTTTGGGTTCCTGGAAAAAGAAAGACTAATAAATGTGTTTGGCTGCTAAGCATTTAATCCTGTGACTCCTTGTCAATTTATTTTTGTTTGTTGATTTGGTCTATAAAATGCAGTTGTTAACTATAATTTCTTGGCTGTGCATTTTCCCTTCAGGAATTCATACTCACTATTTACACAGTCTTGCAGCAATAAACTATTGATAGTTTATTATTTTTATCTTTAGTATCTCCTCAGTCATGTAAATAATTGTGTGCACACATTTTTCCTAGGTTTGGAGGCAGCTATTTTTATTGAGAAATGGCATCTTGGCTTATCACAATAGCACATTGTTATTCTGGTATCAGAGAAATTCAAGGGTTCTAGAATCTGATTGAGCTTTACTGGATACCAAGGAAACCAGACAGATGGACAGTTGTCAAACCTACTTGTCAACTCTCAGATATCTGTGCAGGCTGGGCAAACTACAAGCATTATTTAGCAGGAAGATGTGAATCCCCTTGATATCTTTGTTTGTTATATATTGGAGGAGGAGAGCTCAAATCCATACTGGAATCCAAATGAACTGGGAATTCAGCAACACCCAAAATAACTTACTTTAGCTATGTGAGAGCTGCCAAGGTGGCTAGGAAAGCCCCTTCTCCCCCTGTCCATGCCACCCACCCTGAAAATGTTTTGGTTTTTTTTTTTGATGCTACATTATAGTATATTCAGGGTAGCATATGGGTTATCATCTCCCTGGTCCTTCAACACAATACACTTTGAACATGACAATGCTTGTTTCTTCTAACAAAATGATAAAAGGGTTTGTATTTTGAAACACTGCTCCAAGCAAGCTATTATTCACCACTGGGGGAAAGTATGCAAAGCTAGTGTGATGTAGTTGCTAGAGTCCAATATAAATCTGCACTCTGATGTGACACTCATTAGGTACTCCTGAGCAAGTCAGATCTGTGACAGCAAAAATTGTTGCTTTAATCTCCTTGGAGAAACAAAAGGTTACAAATCTTATGATGAATCTGTTGTCGACATAACAAAGTCATATAAGTGATGTCAGTTGTCAAGGAATGGCCACATCATGAACAGCACACTTTCATAGCCCTGGAAACAAAATTACCTAAGATTCAAAATTATAGATACTGTACTGAACTTGCTGAATCCTTGAAAATAACTGGCTTATAAAATCACTGGAATCAAAAGTGCAACAGATTTGCAAAGAGACTGTTACACGATAATTCTTTTCCTGCGTCAAACAAAGGTCTGTCTTGTCTGGGATTTGGTTTCCAGCAGTGACCAACCAGCTGCTTCTGGAAGCTTCCAAGCAAAGTGGGTGATGGGTTATATTTTGTATCTTGTACTCAGAAGCGTAGTGTGTCCACTTGCAGACACTTTCTGTATAGCTATAATGGCAAATAACTGATTTGACCTACACACAAATTGTCTCATTCTGCTTTTAAGCCATCTAAGCTAGTAAAGGTAAAGGACCCCTGACAGTTAAGTCCAGTCGCGCATAACTCTGGGGTTGCGGCGCTCATCTCGCTTTATTGGCCGAGGGAGCCGGCGTACAGCTTCCAGGTCATGTGGCCAGCATGACTAAGCCGCTTCTGGCGAACCAGAGCAGTGCACGGAAATGCCGTTTACCTTCCTGCCAGAGCGGTACCTATTTATCTACTTGCACTTTGACGTGCTTTCGAACTGCTAGGTTGACAGAAGCTGGGACTGAGCTTACCCCGTCGTGGGGATTCAAACCGCCGACCTTCTGATCAGCAAGCCCTAGGCTCAGTGGTTTAGACCACAATGCCACCCGCGTCCCGTCTAAGCTTGTAGTCCTCTCCATAACTCATGGCAGTGAATTCCACATGTTTATTTTGCTATGTGAAGTACTTCCTTTGGCCTTCTGTGAATTTAATGCAAATCTGTTCCTGCAGAGGAATGTCCAAGTTCTACTGTAAGGACATTTCTGTTATCAGTCCATCCACACTACACATGTTAATAAACATATGCAAAGGCAGCTCATACAGATACTACTTAAAATCTAATCTCTCAGGTTTTTGCTTACATGGAAGATTCTCTTATCTCTTGCTGATTTTAGCTATCCCCTTATAAATTACTATTATTTATTTGCAAATGTAACAAGGAAAGGGAAAAAAGATAAAAGCAAACAAGGTAAATTAAAGTTGAAGAAAGAAGAGGAAAAATAGTATACAAATAATACTAATATCAACGGTAGATCACCATTGGTACACAAATCTTAAACATGCAAGTTAATACATAAGTGCTCCAGATATCCACACAAAGTTGGGGCAGTGAGATCTTAAGACCATTTTGTAATAGACCCATGTCTAATTCTTCCAACTCCACCATAAACTGGGGCAAGCAATATTCAAAGCAGGGCCACACCATACCTTATATATTTTTTTAAAAAATATGGAAATGCCAAGCGTTCCCCTCTAGTTCATATAAAGGAATCTATGCATTCATTACAGTATTCCTAACCATCCCTAACACGGAATATGCGTCCCCTAACCCCACTACAGGGATGCAGGTGGCGCTGTGGGTTAAACCACAGAGCCTAGGACTTGCTGATCAGAAGGTCGGCGATTCGAATCCCTGCAACGAGGTGAGCTCCCGTTGCTAGGTCCCTTCTGCCAACCTAGCAGTTCGAAAGCACTTCAAAGTGCAAGTAGATAAATAGGTACCGCTCTGGCGGGAAGGTAAACGGCGTTACCGTGTGCTGCTCTGGTTCGCCAGAAGCGGCTTAGTTATGCTGGCCACACGACCAGGAAGCTTTACGCCGGCTCCCTCGGCCACTAAAGCGAGATGAGCGCCACAACCCCAGAGTCAGTCACGACTGGACCTAATGGTCAGGGGTCCCTTTACCTTTACCTTTTAACCCCACTGCAACAATGGAAGCTATTTTCAGTAAGAAGTTTGCTGAGACCCCTCAGAACTCATTCGGGAGTTGCAGCCAATGGGGACAATAGTATACGTGGAGAGTTAACTCTGAGGGGACCGAAGGCTGCAGCGCAGCCTCCCAAGCAGCAGGGGCCGCTGCGACCCCGACCTTGCCCCAGTCCAGTCGCGGCCGAACCGGAAGGGGGCCGGGGACGCCGGAGGTGAGGTTGAGTTGGGGGCGGGCCTAAGGGCGGGACCTCTCCGCTCCCTTTATTACGGTCCTGGGGCAGCTGCCTCCCTTTCGCCTGCGGGTTGCAGCTGCTTCTCTCGAGGGTGCCGCTTCCCTGCGCGGGACCACGATGGCCGAGGAGGATCCTTTCTGCCGCTACCGCTCCCCTCTCGTCTCGCGCTACGCCAGCCCCGACATGGCTTTTAACTTCAGCGAGAGGAAGAAGTTCAGCACCTGGCGGCGCCTCTGGCTTTACTTGGCCAAGGCTGAGAAGGTGGGCGCGCGCGGGTTCGTGGCTGTGCCAGACAAGCCCATTAAGTGGAGAGGCCCCTGTCCAGTCACACACACCAATGCAATGGGGGTTGGGGCATTTGCAGTTTTACTGACCCTGCCACACACACACACAGCTAACAGACCTCCTTCTGCGCAACAGGTGAAGGGGCAACATGCCTGTTCTGTTTGACGCCACTCTTTGCATACCTACATGTCCTTTATACTTCTCTCTCTCTGTGTGTGCACATCTGCCCAGTTTTGTTAATAATGCACTAGAACTGGAGAGTCATCCACTGAAGCTGAATGGTAGGCAGCCAAAATTAATCCCCACCCCCTGCCCCTACTCAGTACAGTGGCACCTTGGGTTACAGACGCTTCGGGTTACAGACTCCGCTAACTCAGAAGTAGTACCTCGGGTTAAGAACTTTGCTTCAGAATGAGAACAGAAATTGTGCTCTGGCGGGGTGGCGGCAGCAGGAGGCCCCATTAGCTAAAGTTGTACCTCAGGTTAAGAAAAGTCCTCCAGAACGAATTAAGTTACCACTGTACTAGGGAATTTGCTGCCACAAGAAGGTAGTGATGGCTGCCATTTTAGGCGGCTTTAAAAGGGGGTTTTACCCATTGTTGACTTTTACCCATTTACCCAGACATGGCTGTCTGTGTATTCAGGTGATATTGGATGTATTGTGGCCTGAAGGTCCAATCAGATATAGCACAGCTTCGAATATTGATCCCCAGGAAACGAGAGCAAATGTGTTGTTATGCTCGCATCTTGTTTGTAGGCATCCCAAAGACATTGGGTTGGCTTCTCCAAATTGTCGTGTTTTGTTAATAACGCTTTATGTAAGTTTTTGATACTGTTGCACATTTGTAAGGCTATATTGTGCTTAGCAGCAACAGTTGCTCAGAAGCAAAATAAAGGGAGCATCACCACTTAGAGAGAACTGTGATCAAGCAGTATACAAATTGCAGAAGTAAAATCGTTGCACTCGACTTCTAAATTTAATTTTTTTTTTACTTTTGTGCAACACTGTAATGTGTGGTACTTATGTCTAGTAAATGTGCTGTGGTTCTTCATTTCTTATCAGATTCTAGGATCCTATTCACCTGGAAAAGGTATTTGGCTGAGAATTCCAATGTAACTTTTTCATAGGCGTTTGCTCATATTGCAAGTGTCCATTGTTGCATCAGGATCCTTATGCAGAGTTACATTTTTGCTATTCTCATCTGATTACAACAATATGAAAATGGACATTTGCTAAAATGGTTTCTAGAAATGTACTCGGAAACATACTGTCTCTGATCGTGGAGGCAGAACATATTCATTGAGGCTAGCAGCTATTGATAGCCTTTACCTCTATGAATTTGTCTAATCCTCTTTTTAAAGCCACCAAAAAACTCTTCTCTTCTGATTACCATTCTCGAGGTCACTGCAGAGGTGGTATGTTGTAAGTGTGTGCATTTCAATGCAATTTATCAGTCACCAAGGGGATGGAAGCAATATTCCGAACATGTTGGTTGCACAAACCTCTGTACGTCACTCTAAACCATACAGAAGATACAAGGTTGTTTGCTTAGCCGTAGGTAACATTTCATATGCCCCATCATCCCAGAGGGGATTGACCCTGACTATCAAGCAATAGCACTTTATCTCATGTGTATTATACCTCACAAAGTGATTTTGTCAATCAAGAATAAACAAAGTGGATTTTAGCTTCTGATCCAAATGTTAAACTATTACAACTCTTAGTGGGATTCACTTACCCTCAAAAAATCTTTAAATGGTACCATGTGGTCCTTAAAGTATCCTGGATCCAAGTTTTTCTTTCTAGATTTTTTTAATTTTTATTTATTTCTGACAACCCAAAAGTATTAGTAGCAGGGTGCTACATTGTACCATAAAGAAACAAACAAAGAAAAAGAAATTGTAACACACCAGTATACATTGAGGCATCCATGTTTCCCAGGCTAGCATGGGTGGTGACTATCGCATGTACGTTCAAAGCATAAGAAATAAAATCCTGCCAAATGATGTAGAAGTGTTCTGGGTTCTCGCATTACTCTGGAGACACACAATAACCAAAAGTCCATAAGTTCTTATACCACAAAGACCAATGTAGATTTTTTCTAAGCTTTCCATAGCTAGATTATTGAAATCCTAGCACCAGCTAGGATCCATGTCAAAAATTCTTTAGTGTGACAAGCTTTCCTATTATCAGTCCGCAAATTCATTAGTGACAGTTGTGGATAAGCCTGAGCAGATGATTTAATTATTTTAAGTATTTCTTCATAAACTTGGGATCAGAATTATGAGAGCAGAGGGCATTCCCACCAAAGATAGAAAAATATTCCCCGGAGCCCACAGGCCTGCCAGCAATCCTGTATTGATTGTGGTATAATATGAGACATCTGCACAGGTGTACCATTCCATCTGTGCACAACTTTGAGCATTCCTTCACAAATAATGGAACAGATTTGTGAGGCTTAGCTGACCACAGTGATTTCCATTCAAATTCCTCTTTTTGAACATTTAGAGCTTTCTCCTAGTAAAGTATAAAGCGAACCAAGGGACAAGTGGTGTGCTCTGAAAGTTCTGCATAAATAATAGAGACCAGGACTTGTGTTGATATATAATCAGCACAATAACTTTGAACCTGGCCCAGGAACATGTGGGAAGCCAGTGCAGATGTTTTAACAAAGGTTGTCATTTGCTGAAGTACATCATAGTATCTATGAAGTTATGCCATATAAAGTTTTAGAATGTGTGATTTACAACAAAGGGCTCATCTATGCTTCTCTCCACTTTTCTATTTTTTTTTTAATTATTAATTTTGTATACCACCCTTCATCTGTAGATCTCAGGATGGTTCACAACATAAATTATAATATAAAAGACACAAAATACATAATAAAAATAAGAACAAGGAAACCCCCAATATTCCCCCTTTCACAAAAAGAGCATTGGATTTCAAGGCAAAGTTCTCTTTCCAAGTGCTTGCCCCCCCCCATGCCGCTTTCTCTGTGACAACCAAATAGTTATCGCTACATAAGAGCAAACGGCAAATGGGTGAGGGTCTCTAGATCCTTCATCTTATTATTATTTTATTATATAGCAGTGTACATACTGCTTTACCAAGTCACATAAGCAAAAGTCAGTTCTATCTAAACAGAACCATGTTTTCAGAAAGCATGGCAGATGTTGTAACATATCTTGTGCTTTAATGTGAGTTGGGGAGCCTGTTATTTTTATCCGTATGTTCACATTCCTGAGGAGTTACAACTCTGGCCTTGATCTTCAGCTGGAAATGGAGAGACAGACACACAGCACCTGTTCGTTTCAACAGGGTTCTGTCAGATTGCTACTAACAATCCCCAATAGATAAAAAATAAAAAATATTATTATTATTATTAATAGATCTCCCTTCACTCCGACATGGGATATGATTAGATTTCTAGTTGTAGGAGATTCAGTTGTAGTGAAGAGTGTGTAACATTTATGTGTTGTTTGCCTTTGTTTTTATATAAGCAACATTCCTGCTTGTTTTTTAATTTAAATTGCATTCAGTGGGAACAGCAGCAGAAGGTAAACGAGGCGCCTAAGATTCTGCAGGCGGGTTAGGATAATAGATGTGATGTTACATACATACAAATCATGGAAAGGCAAAGCACAACTTTATTTTTCCTCTGAAAAATTGAAAAAGGTGAAAAAAGACAGTTATGAAAACTTTAGTCAATTACAGTAAATTCTGGGTAGTGTTCTCAGACAGCCTAGTAAAGTGCAATGGCTTCCTTTAGAACTCTGAAAAAATCATTTGTACTGTAGTGGCTTTTCATACAACTGGGTTGACATTCAAGTTTGAGGCAACTCCAGTCTTTTTAGTCTGCTGTCTCTTTCCATTTTTAAAGCTATTTGGGACACTTACTATCAGAGACAAAACTGAAGTAACTGCTTGAATATCAAAGGTAGAAAATGAAATAAACTCTACAGTAAATCAGCCAAATTCAAAAAGAGAAATTACACAATTATTTTATGTTTTTATTTAAATCAAATTGTTGTGATCTATAAGAATAAAATTTTGTCTAATATTAATTGCAATGAAGTGTTCCTTTAAAATTAACTCATTCAGAACAGTAATAACCTTAGGACTTTGGATTTTAACCTCAGTAGTTAAAAGCTAATCTTGCATAAACTGGGCTTTGTGTCACCCTTCCCTGATTCTGAAAGTTGCATAAGAATAAGATCCTGGTCGATTGTGTAAATTCAGTGATCTTACTAGTGGGGGTGTCCTTGAATAGGGGGTCATGTGTTAGTTAACTTCAGGTTTTTCCCTCCTTGTAGTCACTGGGTCTACCCATCACAGATGAGCAAATACAGGAAATGGAAGCAAAACTGGACAGCATAGATTTCAAGATGGCAGCTGAGGAGGAGAAGCGGTTACGTCATGATGTAATGGCCCATGTTCATACATTTGCCCACTGTTGTCCAAAGGCTGCAGGAATAATTCACCTTGGAGCAACTTCCTGCTACGTGGGAGATAATACGGTAAAACAGTGCTATGAAATTGTTCTCCATAAGCTGGACTAAATCACTATACAGTGGTACCTCGAGTTACAAACGCCTCAGCTAACCTGGAAGAGTTACCTCGAGTTGAGAATTTTGCCCCAGGATGAGAACAGAAATCGTTTGCCAGCAGCGGAGCAGTAGCAAGAGACCCCATTAGCAAAAGCACAATTCTAGTTAAGAACAGTTTCAGGTTAAGAATGGACCTCCGGAACAAATTAAGTTCGTAACTAGAGGTACCACTGTAATGGTTCTTTTCTATCCCTGCATTAGTATCTGAAATACCAAGCTTCTAAAGTATCAGCATTTTTTTCTTTATTAAAAAGATGAAGATAACTATTGTATAGCTAAAAATTCAAAACCCAGTGAAGTTCTGAGTGAGATAACCACCCCCTCTCGTCTCTTCATTTTCACCCTCTTGGGTGGCACAGAAGTAATGCTGATCCCTTGAGGCACAAGTGAATTTTTGAGTGACCAAAATAAATGCTTGTGCACAGTAGACTACTTGATTCCTTGGTACACAAAGAGAATATTAGTTATACCCATTTGTCTTTATGGAAATTGCAAATTACCCTGAAAGGAGAGTGTAGATAAGCATGTGAGTGTTGAATAAAATTGTGACTGACTGATTGACTGTTTTATTCCTTTTTCTGTTAGGACTTGATAGTTCTCCGGGATGGATTCAACCTGCTTCTTCCCAAGGTAAGACACACAGTTTTTAAGAGGTGGGTGCTATTGATTCCAAGTGGATGTCTGCCAGAGTTAACTAGAAACAATTAGGAGCTGCCAAGACACTGAGAAAAAAGTAGTTATTTTACAAGGCACCTGATCAGTATTGGATTCCAGTTGTGTTCATACAGAGTTAATAATATAACATGAATTGATTTTATGTACTGTATATGCTGTTGTTTTAAACTTTTATATATATATATTTAATTGTTTTCATGTATTTAGTTGTTTTAACTGTTTTATATATGTCCTGTTATAAATCCCTCACTCTGCAAGGGTCACACCTAAATGAAATAACTAATAATAGTAGTAGCAGCAGTAGTAGTAGTAATATAGAGGCATCATATTAAGTTATATATTTTTCTCTCCAAGCATTTTACAATTCTTCTTGGAGAATGATTCAGACTTGACTGTCAGATTCTCTCTCTCTATGGAATGAAGAACCTTGTATTCTGCCCTACCCTTCTTGAAGGGAGAATTGGATAAAAATGTAAATAATTATTTTGTGACTTCCCTCGTGTTTTCCTTCTTTCATTCAATCTTGCTAGCTTGCCAGGGTGATCAGCCGTCTTGCAGACTTTGCTGAGAAGTATGCTGACTTGCCCACCTTGGGCTTCACTCACTACCAGTAAGTAATTCATACAAATACTCATTTAATTCTGTGGATGCTGCTCCCATTTCTACCCCATTTCTTTTATTCACCCTCAGATCAGCAGCCTTTAATTGCTACTGTGCAAGATTAAACTCCAGAAAACTAAATGAATTGTGGCTATAAGATTCTGAAAGAAACTGTGATAGAAATGCTTGCAAAGCTTCAAGTGCAAACACTGTATAGTAACATGAATGAAGCTGTACAGGTTTATTCTTGAGTAATATTCTGTGTTCTTTCAGGCCTGCCCAGCTGACTACTGTGGGTAAACGCTGTTGTCTGTGGATCCAAGATCTCTGCATGGACCTCCACAATCTTGAGCGGGCACGAGATGAGTTGAGATTTCGTGGTGTGAAAGGCACCACTGGTACACAGGCCAGCTTCTTGCAGCTCTTTGAAGGAGATCATGATAAAGTACGTATCCCCAGCAAGTGTCAGTTTTGAATTGCAATTAGTTTGGGAACACTTGACTGTTGTATTATGTAGTGGTAATCACAGGCTGCCATTCAACATAAATTTCCTGAGCAGTAGTGGAAGAAACTATTGAAACAGCATCTAATAACAACAAAATCCCACATCAAAAACAGTAAAAAAAATAGTCCTAAATCAGCAATCAGAATATCCATAAGGTGCACCTTATGCCCCAGTCAAGAAACTAGCAAAGTTGCTTCCTGGGACATTTCACTCTAGGGCTTTTGCCAATATGAGATTTGCATGAGACCTACAGATGAATTTTGATTTCTGTGGGAAGCAGACAGCAGATTGAGCATAGGGCAATATAGTGATTGCATCAGCAAAACACCTATAGTGCTCAGAATGGTGCAAGAGACACAATCATTCCCACTTCAGCCACTGCATTCTGAGTGAGGTTCCTATCATATTTTTCCCCTGAGGTGGAGGAGCTGGACAGGCTGGTGACTGCAATGGCGGGATTTAAGCGGTATGTAAAAAAACAAAAAACCCTCTCCTTCCTTGCCTTTACTGCTTTAAGAACACAGAAATCTGCCTTTATACTAAGTCAGACCATTGGTGTTGTCTTACACTTAGTACTGTCATATCTGGACTAACTGACTGGCAGCATGGTCTTCCAGAGCTTCCAGCCTTACTTGGAGATATCATTGGTTGAAGCTGTGATCTTATATGTGCAAAGCCTGCCGTTAAACTGTGGCCCTTCCGCATTCTTAAGATGAGCACCTCTGGACCTATGTATAAATTTGGATTCTGCTCTGCAATTAACATTCCCGCTGTTGCTGCTAACTGCTAGGACCTATTAGGGGAAAGGTTGTGCTTACATAATCTACTCCATGATGTAGGTTTGTAATGGAACTTCCTCCCATCTTAGTCCTTTGCAGTTTTGCTCTTCTCCATGTGAATGCATGTCCCCCCCCCACTTTCTTTCTTTCTTTCTTTTTTTTTTTTTTGCTACCCTACTGCATGTTAAACTGAATTGTACAGTCACACAAAGAATTTCTCTAGATTGTTTCAAATGAATACTGTACCTTCACTGGATCAGGAAGCAGATATAAAATGAGGGACAAGGAACCAGTTGATGTTGTGTGATATTCATTCCTTGTTGCATGCTCTCTCAATCTCATTTATAGGCTCTGTTAAACTTCATGATGCTTTATCTTTGTGTTTGGTTTCAGTGCTTATATCGTCACAGGGCAGACATACAGTCGCAAAGTGGATATTGAAGTTCTTTCTGTTCTGGCCAGTCTAGGGGCATCTGTACATAAGGTAAGAACTACTTCAAATTCTATATTCAAAGGCACCACTGAGAACTGGGGCTCAATTGGATGCCTTCTTGAATTGCACAGCCACATAAATTATTTCTTTAGAGGTTTCAAGCTTTTAGAAACTGTGGTCACATTCTGATGTTTTGCTTTTCTCCTGTGTTTAACACAGATTTCTGTAGTATACCGGATATCTAGGTGATATCCTAGATCTATTGAATTATAGATGGCTGAAAAAGTGAAAGTGAGCCAGTCCACCATTCCTGCTGCTGCGCCTGCACTGCCTTGCCTCTCTCTGCCAGTAAGCAGAAGCAATGCACAGTGTTCGGAAGTTGGGAGAGTGACTCAGGGGGGCAGACATCTGGGAAAAAAGACTTTGGCAATCCCACCCACCAGTGAACCCAATGTGTTTTCACTACATGTGATTTTGGCTTTATGTGCTATCCCCAGAATGTAACCCCAGCATAAGTTGAGTGTCACTTGTATAATAGGCTTGAATTCAGATTCGTATGTTTTGGGCTGGGGAATATGTTTATATTCAGAATTTCTCCTATTTCCTTTAAAATAAGATGATGAATTTTTTTAATACTATTTCTTTGTATCATAGACTCAGGGCTAATTATGAAATCTTGCATGTAGTACCGTATTTTTCGCTCTATAACACGCACCTGACCATAACACGCACATCGTTTTTAGAGGAGGAAAACAAGGGAAAAAACATTCTGAATGAAACAGTGGATGTATCATTTTTGTGCTTCATGCTGTGGCCACAGACATGTGATCTGATGGTGAATTTGGGGTGACCCAATGCAAAGATCCTGAGAATCCCTGTGGATCCATGCTTTGTAACCACATTTTTGCACCATTGCAGCCCCAGGCAACAGTGGGTGCGTGCTTTTTTTGGTGCAGGCTGTAGCCATGGACATGCTATGTGATCTGATGGTGAATTTGGGGTGACCCAATGCAAAGATCCTGAGGATCCATGTTGATCTATGCTTTGTAACCACATTTTAAGTGGGGAGCGAAGGAAAAACAAAGAAGGGACATGAGAGGGGTGTGCAGAGAAGCAGCTGGCTAAGAATGCTGGAGAGGGATTTGGGGTGGGAGGAAAGAAAGGCAAAAGTTCCCCCCCAAGCCAGCCATCTCTCTCTCTCTCTCTCTCTCTCTCTCTCTCTCTCTCTCTCCCTCCCCCCCTCTCTCTCCCTCTCCCCTCTCTCTCCCTCTCCCTCCCCCCCTCTCCCTCTCCCTCCCCCACTCTCTCTCCCTCTCCCCCAGCAGCATCGGAGCACAGAGAGGAATTAGAAAGAACTACACTCTGCTTGCCTGGAGGGGAGGGGCTTTCCCTGCTCTTTGTTCCGTTTCAGCAATCACAGCAACGAAACAGAGGAGGGTGGGCAGTAAGACCCTGAGGCAGAATGCAGGAAAGCTGCCACTTCCTCTTTTCAGTTTTCCCTTCTCCGTGACTCGCGGTTTGACTTTTGCTTGATTTTTTGGCTCCAGGGACCACACATTCGCTCTATAACACGCACAGACATTTCCCCTTCCTTTTTAGGAGAAAAAATCTGCGTGTTATAGAGCGAAAAATACGGTAAGTCTGTGTCTGCATCTGAAATGAATTAATCTCCTTTTCTCCCCAGTGGTTAGTAAAATGAACCAGCTCCAAGATTTCTGATGGATATTAATGCTGCCCAGAAATAGTGTCTGAACTAATTAGAGTTGTTTTTCTCCAGATATGTACTGATATTCGCCTTCTGGCTAACCTCAAAGAATTAGAGGAACCTTTTGAGAAAGACCAAATTGGTAAGCAATGGCTGTAGAAACAGAATTTTGTTGTTTTTAAATTAACTTGTACTGATCGCCCTTTTGAAGTTGAATTACAGTGGTGCCTCGCAAGACGAAATTAATTCGTTCCGCAAGTTTTTTCTTCTTGCGAGTTTTTCGTCTTGCGATGCACGGTTTCCCATAGGAATGCATTGAAAATCAATTAATGCGTTCCTAGGGAAACCGACTTCAGACCAGGTCCGGGGACAGTCTGTCCCCCGACCTCTTCTGAAGGCTGGGGGGGGGGACAAGGGCTTTTCTTCCCACCCCCAGCATTTGAAAAAAACCCCGGGACAGCGGAGAGCTTCTCCGCTGTCCGGGGCGATCTTAAAATGCTGGCGGGCGGCATTTTAAAATCGCCCCGGGACAGCGGAGGACTTCTCCGCTGTCCGGGGCGATTTAAAAGCCCCTGGGAAGGCAGGCAGGGGGGACAAAGACTTTTGCCCCCCGCCAGCCTTCAGAAGAGGTCCTGGACCTCTTCTGAAGGAGGGCGGGGGGCAAATGTCTTTGTCCCCCCTGCCTGCCTTCCCGGGAGAGCGGAGAAACGCAGCGCGTTTCTCCGCTCTCCCGGGAGGGCTTTTAAAGGCAGGCAGGGGGGACAAAGACTTTCGCCCCCCGCCAGCCTTCAGAAGAGGTCCAGGACCTCTTCTGAAGGCTGGCGGGGGCGAAAGTCTTTGCTCCCCCCCGCCTGCCTTCAAAAGCTGTCCGGCCAAGGCTTCGCGGACATCTCCGCAAGCAGCGGCAGCGCTGCCGCTGCTTGCGGAGAGTTGCTGGCATGCCGAAGCCTGCGCGCACTGAGATCAGCGCGCCCAGGCTTCGCGGACCTCTCCGCAAGCAGCGGCAGCGCTGCCGCTGCTCGCGGAGAGTTGCCGGCATGCCGAAGCCTGCGGGCGCTCAGATCAGCGCGCCCAGGCTTCGCGGACCTCTCCGCAAGCAGCGGCAGCGCTGCCGCTGCTTGCGGAGAGTTGCCGGCATGCCGAAGCCTGTGTGCGCTCAGATCAGCGCGCCCAGGCTTCGCAGACCTCTCCGCAAGCAGCGGCAGCGCTGCCGCTGCTCGCGGACATTTGCCGGCATGCCGAAGCCTGCGGACGCTCAGATCAGCGCGCCCAGGCTTCGCGGACCTCTCCGCAAGCAGTGGCAGCGCTGCTGCTGCTCGCGGAGAGTTCCCGGCATGCCGAAGCTTGCGCGCGCTGAGATCAGTGCGCCCAGGCTTCGCGGACCTCTCCTGCCTTCAAAAGCCGTCCGGGATAGCGGGAAGCGCTTCCCTGCTATCCCGGACTGCTTTTAAAATGCTGGCGGTGGAGATCAAAGCCTTTCGGCCCCCGCCAGCCTTCCTGGACCTCTTCTGAAGGCCGGAGGGGGGGGAAAGGCTTTGCTCCCCACCGCTAGCATTTAAAAGAGGTCCCCGGAGATTTCCCTATGGGCTTTCATCTTGCGAAGCAAGCCCATAGGGAAATTCGTTTTGCGAAGCGCCTCCAAAACGGAAAACCCTTTCGTCTAGCGGGTTTTCTGTCTTGCGAGGCGTTCGTCTTGCGGGGTACCACTGTATTGAAATTAGAATAAAAATGGAATATGTGTAAACATGTCTCAGATTGAATCAGCTGGTACTTTTACATCCCATTTTTATGTACAAGACAGTTAAGGAGTACATGCATGCATACAGATACCAGCAAATTAAATTTCTGAAGCTACAGCTTTGCTAGATATCCAACAAGTTGCTGTAAGGTGTCTGAAGCTGTGATTCCTCTGAGAAAGTGAGATAATGGGCTGCTTTAGATGTAATTCCAAACTATGTCCTAATGCTATAAAACTGAACAGTCGAGGAACCTTGGCCTCACACACTACGCTCTGTCTTTGCATGCAGTGATTCCGCATTGCCTGTTCTGAGGCAAAGTGGAAATCTATATCTTACACTTGTGTTGCAAACAAAGAATTAAAACCATAGTTTGATCCTGGTTTCCAGTCATGGTTTGCAGGCAAAGTACAAGCCACAGTTTATCTCAAGACTTGCTCTCTGGAGGGCCCCAGACTGAAATACTAAGGTCTTTTCAACCCCTTAATGACTTTTCTTTTGTTTCCAATACACCTTTTTTAAAAAATGTGATTAATTTATGTAATATATGGTATAACAGATATAATTTTTCCCACTGGTTACTTTCAGTCTCCATCATGCTTCTGTCTAGTTTGACTGTGCTTTATTGCTTGATTTTTGCCTTGTACTTGGTACTATTTTGTATCACTTTAATAAAAATCCCAATAAAAATTATTGCAACCTCCTCCCAGAAACTACTATTATTTTATTGAATTTATATACTGTCCTATACCTGGAGGTCTCAGGGTGGAAACTATGGTTTATTCAAACCAAAATCAGTGTCAACAAGTCAGATTCAAATGATAGTTTCAGATCCCAATTTGCTAGTTAACCTGGGGTAGAACAAACCACAGGTCCCCAAGTTTGAATATAATGTGAAACTCTGGTTTGTTTTAAAGCGAGAGCATGAGTTTTCACTCTTTTCCCTTCTGTGCAAGAGGGAGTAGTGTGCAGGCCAAAAGTTCACTGCAACCTGTTCCCAGTCTACATTGGGGTAGGGAACCTCTGGGCACCATGATGTTGGTGGACTTCCATCTCCCACCACCCTTGGCCATGCTTAGGTTGATGGGAGTTGCCCAAAACATCTGGAGGGCTATAGACTCCCCATGCCTAGCCTTAAGGATAGTAATTTTGGTACAAAAACAGCTGCTAAATTTAACTAAGAACTTTAGAAGTAGCCTAGCTATGTTGTGCTCTGTCCAACTCACCCCATGGGCCACTAACAGGTAGGAGGCCACCCCTTTTGTCATCTGATGTCACCATGAAGTTATTTCTTTGTGCCCCAACTTGAACACCTGAATCTATACATTTTTGTGTGCAAGCTCTGCTATCTATTCAAAATTATTGTATACAGTGGTAACTCGGGTTACGAACTTAATTCATTCCAGAAGTCCATTCTTAACCCGAAACCGTTCTTAACCTGAGGCACGTTTTTCTAATGGGGCCTCCCGCTGCTGCTGCACCACCAGCATACGATTTCCATTCTCATCCTGGGGCAAAGTTCGCAACCCGAGGCACTACTTCTGGGTTAGTGTAACCCAAAGTGTTTGTAACCCAAAGCATTTGTAACCCGAGGTACCACTGTATTGTTGAGGATTGTGTTTGCTGATAACAGGAGCAACTTTTGTAGACGGTGAGAGAACTTTAGAAAGGCACACTGTGTTTAACATTTAACATGTTTAACATTCTTGTTTTTTATTCTTCCTCCTTCTCATTTGCACACTCTTCCGTCTCCTATTGCCCATTCCCCTCCCTCCTCCCATTGTACAGGTTCAAGTGCTATGGCTTATAAACGGAATCCCATGCGTTCGGAGCGATGTTGCAGTTTAGCTCGTCATCTTATGATTCTGATCCAGGACCCCCTTCAGACAGCATCTGTGCAGTGGTTTGAGCGCACTTTAGATGATAGTGCAAACAGGTACATTCCTGATTCTTGTCGCTAGGTCATGAAGCAGAGAGATTATTTCTTTGTTTTCAAAATACATTTAGAAACTAACAGATCTTTCTATGATATTGTGAACTGCACCCAAAATATTAAACATACTTACTTGGAAGTGAACCTCTGTGATTTCAGTGGAACCTTTTTTAACAAGTATAAAATGTACAAGACCACCACTGAAGGATGTAATTTCTGAAAGCTAAGCTGGAGGTGCAGAGGATTCTTGCTCATTTTGTCCCCATAGGATTCATGTGTGACTCAGAACTTGGATTTGTGGATTATGACACATAATCAATGAACAAATCCATGCCTGCTTCTGTACTGTACTTAGGAGTTTTGACGTTTCTTTAAAACTTGACCAGCTACTTAGAGCAGCCAATATCTCCTCCAAGGCTACACAGTAAAGAATCTGTTTTAAAACACTCCCATAAAGCACCTGTATATCACAACATGCAGAAAAAGAAAAAGATGGCTGTTCCCATGCAATGGAGGAAGTGTTCGGTTCCCCAAGTAGCTGTAAAATGTTGACAAAAGGGGCAGCCCTTGGACCATCTCATAAGCAGTTCTTTCAGTAAAACGGGGCAGATTTTTAAAATTAAAAACATCTATCCATAAACTGGATGGCATGGAGTTAGTTTTGTAAATACACAAAACTGACACAGGACAGAACTGGGATGATCCATCCACCCCAACAAAATGTTCCTTAAAACACTGCCTAGTGTGGAAAATAGGAAGAGTAAGCAAATTAATGAGGAAAGAAAAAATAGTACTGAACTGTTTAAAAAGTCCTTTATGCTGCAACTTCTCCCTCCCTCCAATTCTGGTACTCTTGTGACTTTTTCCACAGGCGCGTGTGTTTACCTGAAGCCTTCCTCACTGCTGACATAATACTTAGCACCCTGCAAAATATCTCTGAGGGTCTTGTGGTATATCCCAAGGTAAGAAGATTCAGAGGAAGTGTGAGCGGTCTCTTTCTCCTGTACTGGCGGTTTTCAAACTGTTTTCGGGGGAAAGCCTGGGGTCCCTTGGAAGCTTTTCAGGGTGTTGTCACCTGAAACACAGCTTGATTCCAGTTATCAGTCTTCCCTTCATAGCCACTGTGAGTTGAATATGTATTTTTAATGCACACTCGGTTAGCACAGGGGTGCCGGCAGTGACCAACAACCCTAGCCGCAACTCCACGTAACTAAGCACCCACCCACACACACACACACACACACACACACACACGGGCTTCCTTCAGAGACATGAGATGAGTACTTTAAAGACAGAAATTTCAAAAACTCTGCCATAAATCAGCACCCACTTCCAGCCCTGGGCATATATAAGGAAGGAGATAGCTCAGCTGGTAGAGCATGAGACTAACCTTGGGGTCGTGGGTTCGAGCCCCACGTTGGGCAAAAGTTTCCTGTATTGCAGGGGGTTGGACTAGATGGCCCTTGTGTTCCCTTTCAATTCTACAGTTCTATGATTCTAAGCTTTTAAAAACAATCTGATTCATGTCAACTGTTAAATTCTATTTAGCTGCATAGTGGAGGTTTTACAGATGGGTTGGTCACAGTTACTACGAAGCAGATACCCAGTGCAGGTCCAATCTAATGAATGCTGGGCACTGTTAAGTATGGGAACCTCTATCCAAGGGGTTACGATAGCAGTTTCAGGAGTCTGCAGCAGGTTTCAACTGTGCACATTTCCAATGGACTAGCTTTTATAAGAAGAACCCATCCCCTGAATAGTTTTTACTTCTCTTGTAATATTGAAGAAAAAATCATTTAACACATAACTGTTTAAATTACCGTAATAAATGCATGTGTGGCATTTTAAAAAGTAAGAGCAGGCATACAACTCCCTGAAGTATGGTGGTGAGACAAAACTGACAACTTGAAGCATTTTAAAAATTTATTCATTACTATGTTATTTTTACTGTGAACAAGAGAGGTAGCTGGCTTGCTTCACAGCGGCGAAGTTGTTTTGACTTCCTGTTTTAACATTAAATCTGTGTGCATCTGTAAGGAGACAGTATTTTTTTCTTCAGTTTTAATTAGGAATGAGCTATTATTATTCATGAGGTGTAGCAGAGTTTGGAATGATATAAAATTTGAGGCTAATGAAGGGCATGCCATCTAGCAGTAGAAGCTGCTTTCTAAATGATGAATCTGTTTGTCCTTGTATCCCAGTCTTATCTATTCTGACTGGCAACAAACAGTCCTTCAGGGACTTGGGCAGAAGTCCTTCTAATGTGCTACTAATCTGGGACCTTCTCTATTCAAAGCGTGTACTTTTATTGCCGAGCTGTTATCTCTCCCCTGAATAAATAAAATAATGAAGAGTAACATAGAAACTGGATTTTCCAGTCCATTTTGTAAATACTGTACTTACATTTGATGTTTGATTCAGGTTATTGCGAGACGTATTCAGCAAGAGTTGCCTTTCATGTGTACAGAAAATATTATCATGGCTATGGTGAAAGCTGGGGGCAATCGCCAGGTATGTACCTAACTGTAGGCTCTCATTTACAGGCCCTTAAAGGGACTTTTCAGGCCAGGAAGTAGAGGGGTTGGAAGAAAGTTATGACACCAGTATACTGGTATACTTTGCTGTTTCACAATCTAGCCCTATTGTTATGCACATCCTCTTTCTCTCATCATGTCACATATTTCTAAATTTTACAAGTTCAGCTACCAGGGAAGGCATTAGTTTTATTTTATCACCAGTTTTAGTGTCACTATATTAGTATTTAGAAAGCAGAGATGGAACATTGCAATGTGCCTATCTTTTCCAAATTAATTATTATAATGCTGAACGAGGATGCTTTTGGAAATACCTTATAAAATTCAGCACTGACTAAGGTTGTTTAAACTGTGGTTCAGCAGTTCACTTCTTTACCCAAGATCTCTGCCGCCTATAGATTGGTTTTCTTAGTATCCTATGAATTTTTGCGATTAGACAAATTGTCACCCTACACATTTCTTTAAAGAGAAGTCTGAAATTATTTTTGTTTGTTGCATTGTTTGCTGCTAAAGGTAAAGGTAAAGGTACCCCTGCCCGTACGGGCCAGTCTTGACAGACTCTAGGGTTGTGCGCCCATCTCACTTAAGAGGCCGGGGGCCAGCGCTGTCCGGAGACACTTCCAGGCCATGTGGCCAGCGTGACAAAGCTGCATCTGGCAAGCCAGCGCAGCACACGGAAACGCCGTTTACCTTCCCGCCAGTAAGCGGTCCCTATTTATCTACTTGCACTCGAGAGTGCTTTCGAACTGCTAGGTTGGCAGGCGCTGGGACCGAGCAACGGGAGCGCACCCCGCCACGGGGATTCGAACCGCCGACCTTTCGATCGGCAAGCCCTAGGCGCTGAGGCTTTTACCCACAGCGCCACCCGCGTCCCTTTATGAATTATGAATTATAATTATTATAATTATAAATTATAATAAATTATAATGTTTATGAATTATGAATGGGCTGAATGATAAAAAGTCCCACTGAAGAGAGAATTCAGGCATTGCAACAGTTCTGTCACACACAGTTCACATGTTGTTCATTTCCAGGTAGCCTAGCTCAGCCTCTTTTTGATGAGTTCCTGCACTCCATCTTAGGACCAAGACCAATTCAGACTTTCTATGGCTTAAATACTAAGCCACTTCCCCCACTACGCTCTTTTCCCTCTTCCTCCCTGACTATATTGTGACATTTTGGTTGGCCTAATGGATACAGCCCTACAATGGGTTTTGGATTTTTTATTGTGAGCAAGCCTGTATATGATACTTAGGATGTTTACCGTGTTTGCTGATGGTTTGTAATGTGATGTTGACTTCTTTTTCATAGGATTGCCATGAGAAGATAAGGGTTCTGTCCCAGCAGGCAGCTGCTGTTGTGAAGCAAGAAGGGGGTGATAATGACCTCATTGAACGTATTCGTGCAGATCCTTATTTCAGCCCTATTCATGGAGAACTGGAATCTCTTTTGGAGCCCAAATCCTTTACTGGACGTGCTTCCCAGCAGGTAAGAACAGGAAAGTTCTTATGAGGTTGCCGTGGACTCTAGTCCACCTAAAGCTTTATGTTCTCTACCTGTGACTGTTTCTTTCTTTGTCTTCCTTTGTAACATTTCTCACTCCGTTTGAAAATATTCATCTATTAATCCTTGTTTTAGTTTCTTCTGCCATAAGCTCCCCTGCGAATGAACCAGTTTCCCCCTCCTTATTCTATTTAGACATTTCCTTCATCCATTGCTACCCAACCTTCCTCTAACTGTTTCCCAACCGGTGTTCCGCGGCACACTAGTGTGCCGCGAGACGTTGCCTGGTGTGCCGTGGGAGGGAGGCGGGCGAGGCGGGCGGCGAGAGGCGGGGCGGCGGCGGCGAGGAGAGGCCGCCCAGCGCGGGGCTCTCGCCGTCTGCCTGCCTGGCTGCCTGCGTGGCGCTGACGTCACGGGGCTGTAACGTGCCCCACATAGGCACACGCGGGGCGGCGAGCGAGCTCCCTCCCACATCCCATTGCCGGCTCTGCACCAGGCGGTAGAGCTCGGCGAAGTCGCCGCGCTGGAAGGCCAGCAGCGCGCGCGCCTTGGCCAGACTCTCGCCCGCCTGCGCCTCCAGGCACGGCGCCTCGGCGTCGGGCGGCAGCGAGCCCAGGAAGCGGCCCAGCCGGCCGGGGTCGCCCGCCTGCAGCAGCGCCTCGCACCCGCACGAGACCTGCTCCGCCGAGAAGCGCGGCGAGCGCGGAGGATCGGGCGCGGCGGAGGCCAGCCCCGCGCTTGGAGAGGACGCAGCAGCCGTCGCCAAACCCGATCCTCCTCCTCCTGCTCCGCCGCCGTCCTCTGGCTCTCAGCTGGGAGGAGCCTGCGGCGACGGGGCGGGCGCCGAAGTTGGCAGAAGTTGGCGCGCCTCCTCAGCAGCGCCTTCGTCCTCCTCCTCCTGCCTCTGCTCTCCTCCGGCGGCGGGGGCGCGCCGCCCTCCCCGGCCGGGGGGCTCGGCGGGGCCCGCGGGGAAGGAGGCCATGTTCACGGCGCGCGGGATCGCGGCCCCCCTCGCCCGCCTCCGGCCCGCTCCCCTCCCCCTGCGCGCTGCCCTAGCCGTGCGGGTCTCCTCCCCCTGCGTCGCCGTCCCCTTTCCACATCCTAGGAGCCGCGGTCCGCCTACCGCCCCCGGGCCGCGGCGCGGCTCCCAGCCCGGGCTGGCCTCCACCTCCTGGGACGCGCGCCCACCCCCGCGGCCCCCCAAACTTCGGAGCAACTCTCCAGACGCTTCTCCCCCGCCTCGGTCTCCCTCCTTTCCACTTCTCTTCCCCCCTTCCTTCCCTCTTTCTTTCTCTTTCTCTCCCACCCGCCTTTCCTTCTATTAACTTTCCTTTCCCCTCCCTTCGTCCTTCCTACTTTTACTCCTGGGCTCCTCCCCCCTTTGCGCAGCCACAAATCAATCTCTCTCTCTTTTTTCCCCTCTCTCTCTTCTTTGCTCAGACGCAAAAACGCGCCGCTTTTTGGAAATCCGGACTGCTGTCCCCGCTGAAACGATACTTTAAAAAAGGAAGAACCCACTGGCTCTTATTTCTGTTTAAAGCAGTAGATCCCGAACTCTTTTGGCCCACTGCCCCCTTGGTTCCACATCCCCCAGTGTCCCCTATGCTTACTCTATAGAAAGCATTACAGGGGTTAACGCGGCTCGCTAAGGAAGATATTAATAGAATTCTGCATTTGGGGGGAGACCCTAACAGTCATCTACCATTACCTTCTATGCTGTTACTATTTTTTTTTTTTTTTTTACATAAGTAAAAAGTGACCTTTCCCCATCTGGCATGGTGGTGTGCCTCGAGATTTTTTTCATGAAACAAGTGTGCCTTTGCCCAAAAAAGGTTGGGAAACACTGCTCTAACTACATATTCCTGACTTTTTATTTAATTGCCTGCCCCACCCTGTCTTACTGGTTCAGTGCAGATTGTAGTCCAGTAGCCTGTATCAGCCAGTTCTTCATTTAGCAGTTAAGCAAAGCTAGGCTTTAACAGGAGCGGTTTGAGAAAGATTCTTGGCATATCTCCCATATCTGGAAGAATTCACTTTCTGTACTTCTAACATTTCCTTTTCGTTGTTAATGGTGTGCTTTGGGTGGGGACAAATCTACTCTTTGCCTTATCTGGTTCCTGCGTGTTCTGAGTTACAAGGAAGTGTGCAGAATGGAGTAATTAGTTAATATGCTAAGGCTAAACGAGTAGTTATTCTTTTAATGCCTTTTTCCTCCCTTCTTCCATAACAGGTAGCAAGATTCCTAAAAGAAGAGGTCCACCCCGTGCTTACCCCTTATAAGAGCAAGATGGATGTGACAATGGAGTTGTCTCTTTGAATTAGTATTCAATTAGTATTTCATTAGGGTATTTGTGGGGAAGATAATAAAATATATTTCAAAACAGACGTGATGTGTGAACTGAGTCTTAGAGGTTTTTGTGGCAAGTCTAGGAAATCTTAAGGACAGGTAACATTTCTGGGAGAAGGATATGCAGTTGAATTAAAGCTAAAACTTTTATTGCAATTGTCATGGGGCGGGGAGTTGGAATTTGCAAAAGCAATTGTTGGTTGAAGTGGGAGATCTGTAGGATAAAGTGTAGTGTTTCTTGGTGTACAGTGTCTTCAGCTTCCTGGCTATAAAACGGGAGTGGCTGACATACAAAGAGATGAAGCTATTGTATGGTTAGACCCAGCTGCTCTGAAATTATAGAGGTTGGTGCAACTTCAAAGAGTTCATGCACACAAACAAATATTAGACTCTTGTTATAAATCACTCATTTCATTCATGGTTGTTACATTGTTCCTGAGGCAGGAATGTTAGAAATTGTTTTAAGCACAGGGTTGGAATCAGAAAGCAAGGGGGCATTTTACTCCTAGGGTTGCATTGTTTAGTAGAAGAGGAATGAATGCCTCTTCTCTCTCAGATAGAAGGGAATTCCTGCTGGGATGTGCTATATGGTTCCCATCTCTCAAAACAAGAAATAATTCATTTCCCCATGAGAACTGTTATTCATATAGGATTTTATACAGATTTAATCAATTGATCAGTTAAAAGACACACAATTATGTATTTTATTGAGTTCGTTTTATAAGGGCCTGCAAGGGGCGCCAGAGTAGCCGGGAACTGCTGTAAGGAAAGGAATGTAGAGGAATGAAGGTGCAGAAAAGTAAATACAGTAGTCCGTAACATTGTTTGTCAGCAACGTACAAGAGTAATTCCAGAGACTTATAAGAAGCTTAGAGAAAGAAACTAGTCACACTGCACAGCTGGTCTTGTTTATTTCCCTCTTTCTCCTTCATTTTACGCTTTGGGAGGAATAAAAGTACGTCACATTTTCCAGAGTCACAAGGTGCCTGTATTCATTTGAGCTCCGGCACTGGGCTTGGAAGGAGGTGGGGCCGAGGGCTCGGTTTAACCAGATTTAAGAACATAAAGAGAGCCCTGCTGGTTCAGACCAAATACTTCTTTGGAACAGCATCATGCTTCCCTCACTGGCTGAGTAGTTGCCCCTGGGAAGCCCACAAGCAGGACATGAGCACAATAGTCCTCTTTCCTGCTCATGAGCCCCAGCAGTTGGCAGGCAGACTAGATTCCTGCATTGTAAACAGATCCCCTCATCTTCAGATCCCATCACATGACACGAGAACTAAAGTTGTGGGAAACACTAGTGTGCAATCTTGGACTATACAGGGCGTGGCTACATTGCAGGGCTGTTGCAAATCAGCAGGTCAGCCTCAGCTCCACCTCCAACTTGCTATTTTAAGAGCATGCTGCATAACGGGGTGTTCTATGCCTCAGTTGCTGAGCTGCCCCAATTTGCAGCATGAGGATAAACAATAGTAGATCACATTGCAAGGGATGTGGAGAGCCAACCTCTCTCAGCAACCCACTTGCAATATAGGGATTTACATTTTCAGCCCAGTCTTTTTTTAATCATAATAAAAAGTTTAACACTGTTGTTGCTATTTATTTTTGAAACGCCTTTCATACGTGTGCATTTTACAACCATAAAGTAAAACAACTAAAATAGGTTTAATAACAATACAAATATCAACCTAAAGAAAAATTAACCCAGCTGGGAAAGCTTGTCCAAACAAGGGTGTCTTCCGTTGTTTCAGAAAACGAAAAGTAGCAGGCATGTCTCTCAGGGATGCTGTTTCAACAAGATGGAGAGCCGCACTCAAAAGCCCTGCTTTGGGGTGCAATGGAGCAGGCTTATAATTTAGGAAATCCAGGGAGAAGCAATAGCTGCTGTATTATTTTATCATATTAATTTCGGACAAAATAAGAACAGAATTGGAAAACAAAATGAACGCCATTCTTGATTGTATCTTTTCTTCCTTTGGGTGGAGGGCACCGGACAGAGTGAGCTGCACAGTCACAGTGTAAAAGCTGAAATCCTGGATTTTTCCATAGTTCTTTAAGGGCAGCCGTCACTTTTACCCCGCTGACATGTAGTCCCGTTTTTAAAACAATAAAATCGGCTGCAATCTGTTACAGGAAAAATCTGAGGGCTCCCTTGGACAAAACAAAGACACCAACCAGGATAACTTGGAGCAAAACAGCAGCCTGTAGGCTTGGCCTTTATTGAACTGATGCATCAGGGTGTTCCCCTCACTCGCAGGAGAGAGGAAAGACCCAGAACAATGGGCTGCAAGACCTTATAAAAACTTTTTGAAATTCCCCTCCTCTAGCTCAAGCCCACCCCCAGAAACATCATGCATACATTACAGAAAGGAGTTGACATCATGCATACATTACAGAAAGGAGGGGTTGAGGGAGGAGTTGTGGTGGTAACCTGAGTGTCCAGTCACCCAGCTGGTTCCTCCTTTCCCCCTCCCCATGAGTGCCTTCCAGGTGACAAGGGGGAGTTTGCAGTTTCCTGCCCCCAGAGGGAAGATCTGATCATTCTCCTTTGTTTCAGTCTGTGGTGAATCCACTGTTCTTTGTGATTTTGATTGTCTTCTGTCTGAGATCATCTGGGCAGGGCTCCTGCAGATGTGCTGAGACAGTGAAGGGATTCTGGCTGACCAGGGTCAAACCCCCCTCCCCTTCTGTTAGTTCTTGTCATATGGAGTAAAATAAAAATGGAACAGTGCAAATCCAATGTATGGTTGATTTTCTATGAATTTATAACAGAAATGTGGCGTATGTAGTGTGTGAGTGTGTGTGTGTGTGAAGTTTGTACAAGCAGAATGATTGGGGTGGGGGGTTTCCTGCTACAGTTCCCCCCTTCGGAGATAAGATTGCAAAGGTGGCTACTTTGCAATCCTTTTCTCCGCACAATTTAAGGTGGTAAATAATAACCTGGTATTCTCCGTCCCAGATGTGTGTGTCCATGTGAACCTGAAAGGGACTTGGATATCATGCTACTTTAAGGATATTTGCATGGAAATATAATGGTGTAACAGTGCACATAGTTAGACATAGGATATCACGTAAATTAATATTTTGTTGCTCAGTTACTTGTGGTATTCTAGCACCTTGGAAGAAATATTTTCTCAATAGTGATCTATGCTTTACATTTAGGCAGGAAGGTCCACTAATGACTGAAAAGTGCAGTTTGCTTCCCCCCCACCCATTTGTGTGTTCTCAGGTGTCAAGCTAGCTCTTCTGTGGTCTCACATCGGCATGGTGTCGCAGTAGTGGCAATCCCTGCTGAATCCACTTAGGGCTTTCATGTTGCCTGGCACCCACCACAGCTGGCACAGGTTTCGGGCACGTCCTGAGAGAAATGCCTTTGCCTTGGCCAAAATCCATGGGATTTCTTATTATTATTACAGGCTCTGGTCTTGCATCCTGGGAAGTTGCTCACTTGCACTTTAAGGACCAAAAAGCTAATTGCAGCCTGGATACACTTGCCCAATTCAAACTGAGTCCAATTTGAATTTATGTGCCCATGGTTCTCAAGTCCTCAAACCAATCTGTTAAAGGAAAACCGTTCTAAAAGGGCACTTTGTCCAAATAAGTCAATTTAACTCTATAAGGGATCATTCCTGCTAAACCAAAGCATGTGCACCTTCATGTATCTTATAAGCTTCTCCTTGGTAAAGCAAGTTTTAGCACATTTTAAAATGGATAGGGAAAGTTGGCAGAGTGCCAAGTGGGACAATGAAATGTGGTTATCTAAACATTGGACTACACAATAGTGTGAGCTATCAGAAAGTATAAAATGCATGAGAATTGGTGTGCAAGCAATAAGACATTAAACATAAAAATTACACACAAAAATACCCCCCTTGTGGAAATAACACACTGTCAGACACATTTCAACATTCCTACATAATAACACTTAATACAAAACAAACTAATTAAATATCAGTTGCATATCTTGACACAATTGTGATCTTTTACGCATGTATCTTTTGAATTCTGGAGTGCAGAGGCTTGAGGTTCAAGTGAAAAGATGTCCTTGCAAGTCAACTCCACCCCCCTTTGTCAGGCCCACTCCCCTGGCAGTCTATATCCTTTGAAAGAGATAGCTGTGGGCACTTGAAAACTCTGGTGTTGCAGGTCTTGTGATGGCTAAGTTGAGGGGTTGTTGCTGCTTTTCATCATTGCACATTTGTAGAAGTGATATCCTGTAAGGGGGCAGGGTTTCGGGGACTTAAAAACAGTTAGACAAGGAAGAGGCAAAGGCAAAAAGGATGTCCTCCAGTTTCCATGGGAAGCTGCAAATAATAACAATCTTAGCACATTAAGCATTTTATTCATTTCAACATTATTATCACATTTCCACATAATTACTGTTATTATCTGCTAAGTTTGTTTGCTTTCCTTCACTTGGTTTTTTTGTTGTTGTTATTCTCTTCATATTATAAAATAAAAATTACTCCACATGTATAGAAAGAGAAAACTGTAAAAAATACAAAGGTTAAAAAATACAAAAGAAAGCAAAAAATTAGATTACCAGTCAGATGAAAACAAACTTGACACAAAGACATCAGATTTAGAAAAGAATTATTATTAAATATATTATCAAAACCACGCAGATTACTACTAGACTGAAAAAATGGGAAAACCATGGGGGAAAAACTTTAAATTCACCATGTGCTATCTGATAAAAGAACTTCATGAAACTGACTTTCAACATGTGATGAACATGTCCCCAAAGTAAAACACACAGACACAAAATGACCTATGAGGAACCAAAAATAAATAATGCTAAGACACACAATTTTAAGAACTCTGAAGTAACAATGAAAATAAAAGAGTGTTTCTTGATGTGACAACATCGGCTAAAATGTTAATAGGAAAATACTGGAAAATGACTTAATACCAAGAAAAATGAATGGCAATTTAAAATTGTGCAAGCACCTTGCACTAGCCAAAATGACAGAATTAAGAAATGCTCAGGCAAAAAGGTAAACAATACCATTCCACAAACAATGTTTGGTTGTGCTTCGATTAATTTCATATATATAATGGAAGAACTGATAAAACGAACTTAGTAAACGAAAACAAATTATTTGTAACCTAAAAAAATGTCAAAGCCACAAAGAGATGGAAGTTACTAATATAGCAGGGATTCAGACTTGTTTCACAGAACAGAAAGAAAGTTGCTGTGGGAGGAAAAAGGGACAAACACTTTGTTATCGGGGTTCACATATCCTGTTAAAAGGGAAAAATTTTTCATGTGAGAAGCTTGTCAGGAAATGCTGTTCCTAAAATGCACACAAACAAAGTCTGTGATTTAAATCCCATTGAGGGGGGGGAATGCTTTGATATTTACCTGTGAAAAGAATTTTGGCATGTTAAGATTTGGAACCTGGAAAGCTCTTGACTTTTGATGGGCTAGTTTTGCTCATTTATATTCAGCATCACTGTCATTGCACCCTTGAAGAAAAGGAAACCTCCTCTCCCCTTACAGTTCCCCCCTTCCTCTCTCTCTCTTCTTTAGCTAATCTGGCCTCTGTGCATGTGCAGAGTTCATGTCTCAGCAAACCTTTTATACTATTGAAAATGTTGCATCCTTTGGCTAAATTACCATTTGAATAAGGGAAGGGAAGGGTAAGGAGTAGATTTTGAAAACAGGGTTTGATTTTAAACAAAAAAGAGAAAATCAGCAATTTAAGTATTCACCAGAACAGCCCAAGCAAACGAGACTGCTTCCTTTATTTACAGGAAAGGGCTAATGTCCCTCTGGCCATTCGCGGAACAATCAACCGCTCTCTTATTTATGAGTAAAAATGGCCAGAGTTAGAATTCATAGGATTTTTTAACATTCTCAGTCATTTTAGCCTTACCATTTGCAGACAAATTTTATTATTAATATTATTATTTTCTGCCCTTTATTTACAGGAATGGTCAAGGCGCCTATGTATTCGTATGTGCTGAAACTTTGAGTTGACTTTGAAGTCTGATTTTTTAAATAGTAGACAAAATGATAAACACTGTAATCACCCAAATGCTTGATGTTACCAGTTGTGCTTCAAAACATCATGGCTTCATCTCGCACCTTTTAAAACTAAAAAGCAAAGCTAGGCTGAATTTCAACTCCATCACGTCACCAGAATTTAAGAAGTACCCTCCAATGCTTGCAGACACATGTCCTTCCACACAGCCACAAATTGGGAGAGTTGAAAGAGACCTTGGGGTCATCTAGTCCAACCCTCCAAAATATAGAGTTCACAGCAAGATTTCACAGCAGGATTTGTACTATCAAAGAGACATACACATTTAAGTACAGATTTACAACTGGGTAAGGAAACATCTATGCTCATATCATGTAGTAAAGAGGAAAATAAAAGTATATAACTTTACACAGAACCCTTTTTGCAGATCTTGAGATAGTTTGAGTGAGTTTGAAATGATATTTAAGGAAGAAGTGAACAGTTTTCGTAAGATAGGGAGAGGATCTCTTATAAAGCACAGTTAAAGCTGCCCTAGATTTGATTTTTTTTTTTTTTTAAAGGGAATACACAAGTGTTGCCCCCTCCCCTCTTTGCAGTTTCCTTTAAAGGAAGCTTACTCGGGAGTAAATTTACCTGGCACAGAAGTAAGAAGGGAGAAAACAACTGAAAGAGGCAGAGTGAAACAAGGGAGAGGGGGGCATTTTCTAACAAAAGAGGCCATGAAGTCTTATAGAGACTGATATCAGGAGCCTTACAATAACTCTTCTGTCCAACCAAATCAAAGTTAAAACTGGACTCAAATATTTTTTTTCTTAGAATGAACACCATACTTTTATAGGCATACGCTTAATGAAATACATACACTGCATTTTAGCTTGAGAGAGCAGTTGTGCTCAACTAGGCTTTTGCAGCAGAAACATTAGGTTAAAATCACCCTCCTCACTTAAAACTAGAAGAAAGAGGTGGGGTAATCCCCCTTTCAGAACACAAGTAGCACGTATACAGGATTTCACCACTTGGGAGGGAAACTCTCTTTTAGAGCCTCTCTCAAATAACAAACATTTGCACACTCCATTCTCCATTTTGTTTTGTTTAAGATAGATAAGGCGCAACATGGCTTCCTTAGATTTAAAATTTTGAAGCAAGCTTGCAATTTAAAACTATGTGCATTTAAGAACAATCTGTGGATGCCAAGGCCAATGTAAATACAAACCCTTGAAATATTTCTAAATCTTTGAGTACATCTCTTATTCATTTTTCGTGTTTTTTTTTTTTCAAGAGAAACTAAGATCTCTAATGCGTGGGCTCTCAGGCTGGGCTGTTATTATATCTACTGCCTTCTGAGCACCATTAAGTTTACAGTTTCATGTTCTAGCTTTAGGTTATAGTTTTAACAACACAAATTTGATGTTTTCAGCTCTCCCTCAGGGTTCACACCCTGATTTTGTTGAAGGATCCCACTAAAAGTTACAATGGTCTCGTACTTTGTACTTGAAAGACCATATTGCCCCTTTATTTTATTTTTTTTTCCCAATTGGAGATGCTGGAGGGGCATATTAGAATCCTCTCTGGGGCAAAAGGCTTCATGGAAGCTTTGTTGCCAGGAGGAGTCCAATCAGAGTGTTTGGAAGCCTGGGTTCCCATTCTTCCTACGTTAAAGATAGAGGGGGGCAGAGGCACACACGAAGGGAAGAGAGGGGATGGGAAGAAAAGGGGAAAAGGGGAAAATATCCTTTCAGTATTTAGAATGTACCTATCTTTTAGACTACAATTTCGTTTCCAGAAAATCTCATGAATGAGCTCAAACTTCAACCACAGGACACCTTGGCCCGTCTGCCACGGGACACCTTGGCCCGAGAAAGTTTCTGCCACGGGACACCTTGGCCCGTCTGCCACGGGACACCTTGGCCCGAGAAAGTTTCTGCCACGGGACACCTTGGCCCGTCTGCCACGGGACACCTTGGCCCGAGAAAGTTTCTGCCACGGGACACCTTGGCCCGTCTGCCACGGGACACCTTGCCCGAGAAAACTCCAGCCACAAAACTAAAATTCCTTTTCCTCAGCGCTGCTTCACAAGACTAATCCTAGTGTGGGGCCCCACTTCGTGAACCGCCCCTTCTACCCTCCACAACAGCCTCCTGCCTAGCCTTTGAGACTAAGTTTGGGCTCCCTACTGGACGCCTGCGCTGTGCAGTGCCAGATTGGGGGTCCGAGAAAACAAAGTTTTGAAAGGGGAGCAAACGACCTTGCGTTCTCACATACCCAGGTCATCCCTAACAAAGGTCGCCAGGCAGGAGGGGAAGCTTCATTTGCATAGTTAGGGTAGGTGGAGAGTAAGAGAATACTTGAAAGACTCCTCTGGACGACTCCGAGAGAGGGATGTCAGAGAAAAACAGTAAAAGAGCCACGCTTTCCCGGACTCAATTCCAAGATGGAAAACGGGGGAGAAAAGGGATAGAGAGATCAAGACGTCCCTGGACGACTCCGAGAGGTAACGCCGGAAAACAGCAAAAGGAACCACAATTTCCCCGGCCAAGCACCGCGTAAGAATTTGTGGGGAGAGAAAGGGAAAGGTTTTGACGTTTCTAGACGACTCCGAGAGATAACGTCAGACAGAAAAGTTCCGCGATTTCCCTGGCCACTTTCCGAAGGGGAAAATCGGGGGAGAAAAGGGGAGAGAGAGAACGTACCTGGCCGACTCCGAAGGGTAACGTCAGAAATGAAAGAAGGAAAGTCTGGCTGTCGTGGGGACATTACTTTTCCACCCCCCTCCCAATGTATTTACTTCAAACCATACTCACGTTCGAAGATGTCCCCCGCAGATCCCGGGATCCTTTTCCCTTAGCCGGCTTGACCTCGCCTTTGCTCCCCTGGTTGAGCTTTTGGTGACGATTGATTACCGCCCGCAAAGAGGAGGCAGGGAGAGGAAGAAGGATCTCTGGGCTAAGGTTGCCCAGTGGCGCCTGATCCCCTCTATCTCCCTCCTCACCTCTGCAGGAGAACCAAGTGTCCCTGAGTCTGGTCGCCATCTGTTACAGGAAAAATCTGAGGGCTCCCTTGGACAAAACAAAGACACCAACCAGGATAACTTGGAGCAAAACAGCAGCCTGTAGGCTTGGCCTTTATTGAACTGATGCATCAGGGTGTTCCCCTCACTCGCAGGAGAGAGGAAAGACCCAGAACAATGGGCTGCAAGACCTTATAAAAACTTTTTGAAATTCCCCTCCTCTAGCTCAAGCCCACCCCCAGAAACATCATGCATACATTACAGAAAGGAGTTGACATCATGCATACATTACAGAAAGGAGGGGTTGAGGGAGGAGTTGTGGTGGTAACCTGAGTGTCCAGTCACCCAGCTGGTTCCTCCTTTCCCCCTCCCCATGAGTGCCTTCCAGGTGACAAGGGGGAGTTTGCAGTTTCCTGCCCCCAGAGGGAAGATCTGATCATTCTCCTTTGTTTCAGTCTGTGGTGAATCCACTGTTCTTTGTGATTTTGATTGTCTTCTGTCTGGGATCATCTGGGCAGGGCTCCTGCAGATGTGCTGAGACAGTGAAGGGATTCTGGCTGACCAGGGTCAAACCCCCCTCCCCTTCTGTTAGTTCTTGTCATATGGAGTAAAATAAAAATGGAACAGTGCAAATCCAATGTATGGTTGATTTTCTATGAATTTATAACAGAAATGTGGCGTATGTAGTGTGTGAGTGTGTGTGTGTGTGAAGTTTGTACAAGCAGAATGATTGGGGTGGGGGGTTTCCTGCTACAAATCCTAACCGCCTCTTCTCGGAAATAAGCCCTGCTAAATCCAAGGAGTTGCTTCTAGGCAAGTGGGGCCAGGGTCAGGATTGCAGACGGCAGCCACCTTCGTCCCTTTTAAATAAAAAGGTAAAGGTAAAGGGACCGATGCTTAGATTCGAAAATTCTAGCGACTACAGTTCCCGTCATGCTCTGCGGCGTTGGCGTCACGGTCGTGGTGGGGCTTCGGTTGCTGCGCATGCGTCGTGGGTTCGGTAGGCGCTGACGGGAACTAGATGCGGGGAAGAAGCGGGGGAAGGCTGAAGCCGTGGACGAAGGTGAGCGCTTGGAGTCCGTGTGGATGGGCGGGCGGGCAAGAGGGACGGGTTGCTGGTGGGTGGAGACAAGAGGGGAGCAAGCAAGGGGGTTCGCGTGGAGAGAGGAGGGGGAAGAAGCAGGTGGGGACCCCCGAGAACACGCGTCCTGTTTGCGTGTGTGGACGGACGGAGTGGCTGAGGGTCAGCCCCCCCCCCGCGTGGCCGACTGAGGGCCGGAGCCTTAAAAGAATTGCCCCTCCCCCCCCAGCCCAGGTGAAGGCAGGTGGAAGAGAGGTGGCCATAAATCAGGCCGGCGGTTGCGGGTGGGACGCTGACGCGTCACATGACGTAGATCTGGTTTGGGGAGACGGTTAGGAATCCCCGCACCTTTCGCCCCCTGCGAAATTAAGGTCTTGTTCTCGGGCTGGCCGTGAGGGAAACGCTGCCACTGTAGTAGGAGAGAGACTGCTTCGGTGAAGCAAAGCTGTTATGCCTGATAGCAGACCATCTGGTCTAAATGGGAGCCGGCAGAGAGGGTGTCAGCGTTGTATCTGCTTTTTCCCTCTTCCAAAACTCAACAGGCTAAGAAGGTGGTCATCAAGGTCTGGACTAGTTTATGCTTTATTGATGAGTCTCACATGCCTTTGTGATGGCCAACTAAAATTCACCAAATAGCGAGCAAGCTTTTGCATTCTCCAGAAAAAGTGTTCTTCAGGCTAGCTTTTACCCAAAGTGGACAAGGAAAACGGTGGGGGGGGGAGACATATGATTTTAAAAGCCCCAAAATCTGCAGTTTGTAAGATGGAGGGTCAGGAAGGGTTATGCATGTTTAATTAGATTAGAATGTGTTTTTCAGCTAGTACTTTCTAATCTAATTAAACTCTGAATAATGTTATTAAACTACAATGGATTTTGGATTCCCCCTCCACAGATCAACAGAGCAATCCATAGGTAAGGGGTGGGGGGAAAGACAGTTGAATGTATGACCAGTTATAAATAGGTAACCCAATTTTCCTACTATTGACTTCTTATGTTATCAATGTATTATACGTGCTTCTCTTTTGCCCTGCTCCTTTAAATAAGTGTGTGCTAACTAGTTTGTATTATTGAGAATATTATGTAGAGGAGACTAGAGTGATATTTTGTATGGGATACCTTCAAACAGAAATGGATTTTTAGCATTTCATAAGGGAAATGTCTGCTGTTGTAAGAAGGGCACGTGTAACCTAGAATAATTCTATTGCATTCACACATGTCTCACTTGATGGCACTGTCAGGTGTCGCTTGATATAGAACATCCTGTGCAATGCTTTTCTCTTTCCTCTAATTATATTTCCTCTGTTTCTGAAGCTTTTGTGTCCATCTATTAATACTTTCCTCTTCTAACATGTTTATATCCTATCCAATTTTTCTAGAAGGGTGTATGGAGAAACAAGGTTTCAATTAATACAACAGTCCATAAAGCAAAATCTTCTATTCCTTTAGCACTGTTCTGTGCACAGGGCTGTCCCAAATGCATATGCGGGTCAGTGTGTACTGGTGCTTTGAGGCAGGTTTTGTTCTGTCTTCCCCTCTCCCAACCAAATTCCTGTTTGTACATATAGTGGTACCTCAGGTTAAGTACTTAAATCGTTCCAGAGGTCTGTCCTTAACCTGAAACTGTTCTTAACCTGAAGCACCACTTTAGCTAATGGGGCCTCCTGCTGCTGCTGCGCCACCGGAGCCTGATTTCTGTTCTCATCCTGAAGCAAAGTTCTTAACCTGAAGCACTATTTCTGGGTTAGCGGAGTCTGTAACCTGAAGCGTATGTAACCTGAGGTACCACTGTAACTACTTTGTTTGCCTAGGCTTTCCTCCCTTTTTGTGCCCTCCATTCACTATAATGACACTCTGGGATATCGCTAATCCTATTACAAGTATGTAGCTTGAGGTTTAGAACTTGCCAGAATTGTACCCACATTATGAATTCTAATCAGTCTACTGGAAGAAAAAAATCCAGATCAAGCATATTGAATCTCATAAGCTGTTGCTTCATCTGAGTTTCATTATCTTAAGTCACACTGATTACCTAAACTAATGCCAGGTGCTGTTGTAGATGGCAGTTTCATTTTATAAAAAGGGCATGCTCCTTCATCTGGAGTGATACCAGTATTTTTTAATATTTCATTGAAAGATTAATTGTTGTGCTTTGATGACTCACAGGGCCACACTGCAGTTTTCTGACTCATTTTCCCCCCTCAAAGCATTCATGATTAGATTTGTTTGTTTGTTTCCTTGCATGTTCCCTGTTCATTTTTTGTTTCCCTTTCTTTCAACTTTTCTAGTTCTCAGTCCTGTAATGTGATCTGTTTTCTCCTTTGAAGTAGCTGATTGCTTGCAAGTGACCAAATCATGTGTTCTTTCAGTTCTAACAGACCGACCCTATGCCTGTTTATCCAGTAATAAGTCCTATTGAGTTCAGCTGGACTTGCTGTTAAATTAACTATCATAACAGCTGTTCTTTATTCTGTGTGACTTACTTCCAAGTAAATGTAGACTTGCTATGCTACATGCAGTTAGGCTGCAGTCCTAATCCCACTTAAATGGGAGTATGCCCTACTAAATTCAATTGTACTTACTTCTGAGTAGACCTGGTTAGGTTTGGGACTAAGCTCATAGAACCCAATAGGATTTATTTTTGAGTAACCACGCATGGAAGTGTTCTGTATTGATGTATTCCTTGCCTTAAGAGCTGCTTACGATAGAATCTAGTGTTGTGAACTCTCACAATGCAACATAACCTTCCTCTTTTCTCCACTGCGTCCCCTACACTAAACTGCTCTGGAGGGTTAGGGGATGCTCTTAAGCAGATTTGGAACTCATAGTGGACTGCGGGGCAATGGGAGGAAGGGGAAGTGTCTCTTGGCATAAGTGAAGTTTGTTCCACTTGTACATGCACAACATTGGGCTCAACTTTGTGCCTTGGATAAGAGTTAATTTCAGGGGTTCCTAGAATTAGAATAAACAAAGGCTTTTATAAAAGTCATTAAGCACAATAAGGGATTTAAACTTAAACTGTAATTGAAAGTACAAAAGAAACACATGAAACAAGGTTATAATTTGCTGATAAATTTATTGTTAAGAATGCATTGTGCGGGAGATGCGGGGAAGTTCGATAGAAAGTTGAAATAAGCTGTTGAAGGGTTATGACTCTTTTTATCTTTTTTTTGTCTTTTTTTTCTTTTTACTTTTTCTTCTGTCTATGTCTGAAAAAATGCAATAAAAATTATTTTAAAAAAAATATAAAAGTCATTAAGCAAGAAAACTAGAGAAGTGAAAATGCATTGGAGTCAGAGCGACACAAACATCTGAGTTTATGTGAGAAAGTTATTCTGAAGTGGTATATTTTTGGTATTTCCTACTCCCTAAGAAATAAAGGTAGTTGATTTTCAGCAATTGCTGTAGTTTCTTTTGATTACAGAATTACAGCTTTCTGTTTAATTATCCCATGTTTTGCTTTGCAACAGTCTATTGTAGTGATGTGTGAGGCAATATATTATTGTCTAGGTAACAAGGCAAAAAGTAATGTAATGTTTGGGACTGAACATCCGTGAGTCATTGAAGGTGCCAAAAGTCTCTTTGCAGGAGTTAGGGATGTTTGACTTTCAGCATTTCTCACTTGGGGACATGTTACATGTTGGATTCTGTATAGTTAAATATGAAAACATGTTCAGCAATCCACATTGGTTGTGTCCCTTTAAAACTTCATGCAAAATCCCTTATGCACTGTAACTAGCATATTGCTTTAATAAACCCTCAGGAAAAAATATTCATTTAACAAATCAAACCACAACAGATGTTCTCCTGATCCTACCCTTACCTCTCTTATCTGTTACTGCCCTGTTGCAGGTGTGTATGCTTTACCTAGAATTGGCATTAATTCTTCAAGTTAATATTTGATTTCTGAATGGGGAGGAGCTCTTCTTAGCTTCTACTAAACAATAGAGAAGTAGACATTCATGACAGATGGGATAAGAATAGGTATAAGGAGTGGCCTTAACACTTCCTTCAGTTGACATAACCTTCCCTTTTTCACCATGCTACGTAGCTTGAGTTTTTACAAACTCCACGTGTCATGTTGAACAACTTTTATTGTTTGCATGGGCCTAGCTCACTCTAGGAAACACCTAAAGACTGAGGGCTATTAAAATGTTAATCTATAGTGAATCAGTTGCTTGCCTCTCATGTCTATATTTTAATACCTTTTTAAGATCTATTTTTAAGGAAATATTTCATATTTCTTTTTTTAAAAAACCTACTATCCTTAAATCATCTTCTAAAAAACTAACTGGAAAATTACATAAAATGGCTACAAAATCTAAACAACCACCAGCTTTATAACATCAATAGTTTTTGCTTTCACAAACATTGTTCATGTTCTGGTACCCCTGGCATCAGGCAAATCAGTTGCAACTTTATTTCTGTATTTATTGCTCTATTACTAATGTGTTTTATATGTTTGTCTTGGCCATTCTTTCACTAACATTTTTTGGTCACATTTACAAATATTTGCAAGAATTTTGGATTCTGCTAATAAATTGTCAAGCGTTGCTCTTTAAAAAAAAAAAATTCTTCAATTCTTCAGCAAAATAACCTCTATAGTGAACTCCAAAACATCTTATACATTCCTTGATAACTCCTGGCAGATATTTCCAATATATTGTATTACTTTGTCACCAAATATATAAGAATTCTGCATTGCTAGTATGCAGCACTAATTTTGTTGCCTTCTAGGATCTCCCCTCCCGCATTCTGAAAGTGTAGCAAGAATGAAAGAACCTAATATTTGGTACTCTTTGCTTAAAATGTGTCTCAAAGTTCTCTTGATTGAAAGGTACGGTACTCATCACATGACAGGGCCTTGTCGGCAGTCTCTGTAGGCAGAGTCCTTGCTGGAGCTCTTGTAATGCCACTTGTTATTCTTTGTTTAATAAACAAAGTTGGTTTACCTTGGGTTTACCTCCTGGTTAAATAATATGTTTATAGCAGTACTGCAGACTATGCTGCCAAACTATTTCAGATAATTATTAGTTGCCCTGGGCTCTTGTTCACCTGAATAAAATGTCATTGCAGAAGTGCATTTAGGTATGTGATGGCGCTTAAATAAGTAGGAACACATTGGGTAATAAATAACCAACTAAAGCATATTTAGGTAGACCTAAACCGAGTGATTATCACTAACATTGGATATCACCTGTTCACATTAGTGTCCAGCTATGTGAAGGATTTTTAATGGAGTGACCTGATATTTATCTTTGTAGAGAGTTGAGATAGCATTAATGTTGTTCCCTTGTTTTTTCAGCTCTGAAAAGCAGCACTAAATATTTAATAGACTTATGAAAACCATCAATTTTATTTTTACAGGTAGAAGCTTAATAGAACAGCTCTGCTTGAGAAAGGAGTTTAGTTTAGTATAAGACTGACACCTTTGTTCTATAAACCCTAGATGTCTGGCTTGGTTCCCATAACTTAGTGTCCTCCTTCCTTGCATCCCAATTTATGGCCCCTTTCTGGTCACCAGGTGTGATTCATCCACCCTCTTTTGCAACTTTCCTTTAGCAGTGCTGTGTTTGCCTGCATCTCTTCCTCTTTGTCAGGTCTTGAAAGCAGTTGCTAAGGAATGCTCCATAGCAACCAAAGGCAGGAAAAACCTGCCCACCTAGTTCAGTTTATTTAATATTCAGCTATTTATGAATAAGTTTAGTGAGCTGTGCAGGGGTGGGAGGGAATAGGTAGGAGGAGTGGGCTGGTGATCACGCAACACATTAGACATGGCTGCCTATTATTTGAGAGGAGAAAGAAATTCTCACATAACTGCCTTTATTACCTTAGTCTGAAAAGGACCTTGGCAATATGACTCTCTGATACATATTGTCTTTCACATTCCATATTGGAGTACTCTGATGGAGTACTCTTGTCTGTGGCAATGGATTTGTTAGTCTGCAATCCTAACCCCACAAAACTGGGAGTAAGCCTCATTGAATTCTGTAAGACTTACTTCTGAGTAGACATCTGAGTAGTGTATCTATTTAGCTACACTATCCTCTGCAAAAGTCACAGGGCAGTTTATAACAGGCAAATTGATAATCAATGCTTGAAATCCATAAAATAACACAACCCGTATAAGCACATAACAAATCACTGTAGTGCTGCTAATGGCAGCAATCAGATCCTTCCCTCTTCAGGCACCTGCTAAAAAAGGTGCAGCTGAACTATCTGCCAAAGGTGAGGCCAAATGCACCTTGATAGGGAGGGAGCTCAACATAAAAGGAGCTGCCACTGCAAATGCCTTTTTCAACAGATGAGGACTCATCTGCTGATCTTGAAACATGGGCAAACTATTATTCAAGAAGGCATTCTTGCAGATATCTGTGTCCCAAGCTGTTTAGAGCTTGCCTGGTGCCCTCATTACATATCTTTAGGTGCCAGGCGAAAACATTTCTCTATAACCAGGCCGTTGGCTGATTAACATTCCATGTGGGGGGGGATGGGGATTATGGATTTTTTGTTTGGTTTTGGTTTTATTATGTATTTTGCACTCTCATTTTGTATTTCTATGCTATGATCTTCCGATGAAAGGCAGTAAACAAATTGTAGTAATAATGATGATAATAGATCTTCATAGGAGTGAAAAAGTGTCTCTGTATATGAATTAGGACTGAGCCAAAAATTTCCATCCAACATTGGTTTAATTTTCTGCAGGTTTTTTAAAAAACTTTTCAAATGATGTTTCCGACAGTCACCTCAAAACTTTAGATAGTTTTCTTCCATGTTGTAGATACTGCTCAGGAACCATGCAGGCAGCCCCAAAATGCAGCAGAGCCAGGGATTAGTAGAATGCTGCAAAATTGATTTATGAACATGATAGTCTAGGCAGCCTTGGACTACCATATTATTTATAATAATTTATGTAGTTCTTTGAACATATAGGGTTCTCTAGAATTTTTTTCTCATTCTTGCCTTGGAATAGTTCCTTGAGATTTCCTGGTCTGAAAAAATGGAAATCAAGCCCAAGAGTAACTAGGCCACCATACAAATCCCTTAGTGACCAAGAGGTCTTCCAATGTAACAACATTTTGATATTGTATTCAAGTTGTGATTTTCACTTCTTGCTGCTATTCAAGAGTGAAAGTGAGAGGTGAGAAAACTGTATAGTATCGAGAAACTTGAACAGGTTTTCAAATTTAGAAACAAAAGAATTGTCACTGCTCATCTTTGTGAAGGTCTGTTTGACTTGTTTCTTGCAGTAGCCTCCAGCGTGGAGATGTCTGCTTTTGCTTGGGAAAAGCAACAAGCAATGAACCTCTGAGGCCTACTGTGTCAGGTTTGTATTTATATTTGATAGTAAACACCAGTAATGGGGAACTGTTGGCCCCCCAGGTGATGTAGGACTGCACCTCCCATAATTCCTAGCCATTGGTTGCAACTGTTGGGTGCTGAAGTCCAGCAGTGTATGGAGGGCCACAGGTTTCCACCCCTGGCATATACCAACTACTAGCTGTCAAGGGAAACCTGTGTAGGGAACACCATATATTATTTTTACAGAGACAGTCAATGGTGTTAACATTTCTCTGGAAAGGTTGGAGTTGAAAATCTGAAGTCTAATGTTTTACATTATTTGTGTGCTGTAAGCTGCCCAGAATGGCTGGGGAGACCCAGACAGATGGGCGGGGTAATAATGATGATGATGATGATGATGATGATGATGATGAAATGGACATAAAGTGTCATGGTGACTCCCTTAGCTAGACTTGTGTAACTGAATCGTTAAATTAAATGCTACCATATCCTGCTTGTCAATACTTCCATCTTCATGCTTTAATTATAGGAAGCTATACTCATTCTGTTACTTTTAATTTAAAGCTTAACATTTAGACCTGCCCCATAATGCTGGAAAACTACACCAGCGGCAGTTTAAGTGCTAGGACAAACATAATGCAAGATCAGACATAACGTGTGCTAGGACAAACATATACATGCAGGCCTTGCTATCTGTACACTTACTATCTTAAAATTCACTTATCTACATATAAAGAATTATGCCCAAACTTCATTATATGCACTGCAGATTCAGATATCCGAACATTTGGTTCTTCCTTCCTTTGTGCTTTGCTGTCTGGAAGCAGCCGTTTTCAGACAGAAACAATGGACAGAGGGAGATGGGAGCAGGAGAGATTGTATAAATTGTTTGTTTTTATTTGTCTCTCTTTTGCTGATGGACTGCAGCCATTTCAGGACGAAACCATGGAGAAATGGGGAAAGGAGATCAGACACATCCTGCATTAGAAATATTTCCAAAAGAAATAATGTAAATCGTGGACTTGTTATGCGAACTCTCGCCTAACAAACGGTTTCCAGGGAACACATTGCCTTTGATAAGTGGGGCCTGCATGTATATATTACACTAACCAAGATGTAAACATACCCAGGGTTATTCTGTAAAGATAGCTGGGCAGACATTTGAAGTCCAATACTTCATCTCCTACACTTGAATGGATTCCTTTATGTGTTGACTCCTGACATAGAGTTACTCTTGGAACATAGAAATAAGTTTATTTGGTAGGGATTGATTTAACTAGTGTTGGTTCTGATTAGAGAGCAGCTAACTGTGAATAAACTATACTTGTTATGCATAGTTTGTTGGTCCCAAGATTAATTGCTTTCTTCTTTCTGTGTTATGCCTGCATCTATGTTGTAACAGGGCAGTGACCTTCTGAAGAGTAAAATAGCCACCATTGCCCACGTTCCACTGCCACCATGTCAGGTAAGCCCTTAATCAATTATTAGTAATTTTGATACTTTATCAAAATCCTTCCAATTTTAAGAAAAGACCAAGCCAACCATACCAGTGTTGTTAACTTTATTCCAGTTAGCTACATGTGTCGTGTAGTGTTTTGAAACTTCAGAGAGGCTGCTCATCAGATTGGACACATAGAATCACAGGCATCTTTTCACTTACTTTTCTCTAGCTCTCATACAGAAAACTCAGTTAACACTACCATATTTACAATAACAGAATATGTAAATCACTGACTTGATCCAGATTTTTGAGTGGAAGGCCATTTGTTCCCACCTTTTCCTCCCTATTGCAGTCCTTTTTGCCCCCCAAAGCTGCTCAGGAGGGATGGAGTATGGGAGATTGCAGTAGATGGGGGAATGCACAATGAGGAAGAAGCTTGAATGTGTCAGTGGTTGGATTCTTGCAGTTTCTCCCCTCCCGCTGTGTTCTGTACTCCCTCCTGTGCCATTCTGAAGGTATCCATAACCCTCACAAGCAGCTTTTTGGGATGGGTCAGAAAAGAAAGGGGAACAAAGACCCCATAGTATGAGTAGCTTTTCTGCTTGCAGAAAGTCTGGGTCTGAGTAAAGATCTCTAGCAAGGCCATGACTGGTTTACAATGCCCCTAACTAATACATTAGGAATATTTTCCTGGTTGCCAATAAAAGAAGACAGTAAGAAGCTGTGCTGAAATAAGTGTATTTAGAATTTAGCACTTCAAAGGTTTGAGAAGAATTGGGGTTCACATGGTATATTCAGAGGAATTTTCCATCTGTTCCCCCCACCCCTTCTAGAACAATAGTTATTTCCATGCTTGTGAAAAATGAATTTAATCCTATATACCGTATTTTTCGCACCATAGGGCGCACCGGACCATAGGGCGCACCCAGTTTTTAGGGGGGGAAATCAAGAAAAAAATCTTTCCCCCCCCCAGCCCCAAAGAGCAGCGTACAGGGTGCGCACAACCTCTCCCTGCCGGAGGGGTTGCGCGCAGCTATGCAGCAAGCCAAGTTTTGGCTTCCCCTTTAGCCCCATGCAGCCTCTCCTTGCCGGGAGACGCTGCGCAGGGCTAAAGAAGCCATAGCCCCGTGCAGCCTCTCCTTGCGGGGGGTTGCGCGCAGCTATGGAAGAAGGCAAGGCAGCGAGCGGGATGGATCCCGCTCGCTGTTTTGCCTTCCCCTTTAGCCGCGCGCAGCGTCTCCTTGGGGGGGTTGCGCGCAGCTATGGAAGAAGGCAAGGCAGCGAGCGGGATGGATCCCGCTCGCTGTTTTGCCTTCCCCTTTAGCCGCGCGCAACGTCTCCTTGGGGGGGTTGCGCGCAGCTATGGAAGAAGGCAAGGCAGCGAGCGGGATGGATCCCGCTCGCTGTTTTGCCTTCCCCTTTAGCCGCGCGCAGCGTCTCCTTGCGGGGGGTTGCGCGCAGCTATGGAAGAAGGCAAGGCAGCGAGCGGGATGGATCCCGCTCGCTGTTTTGCCTTCCCCTTTAGCCGCGCGCAGCGTCTCCTTGCGGGGGGTTGCGCGCAGCTATGGAAGAAGGCAAGGCAGCGAGCGGGATGGATCCCGCTCGCTGGTTTGCCTTCCCCTTTAGCCGCGCGCAGCCTCCCCTTGCCGGGAGACGCTGCGCAGGGCTTTCCTGGCTTTTCTGGGAGGGGGGGGGATTCCCTCACCTCTCGCAAAAGCCCGCAGAAGCCGTGAGCTCTTTAAAGGGGCTGCGCGGCTTCTCCTGGCTTTTCTGGGAGGTGGGGGAATTCCCCCACCTCCCGCAAAACCGGCAGAAGCCGCGCGCACTTTAAAAGGGCTGCACGGCTTCTTCTGGCTTACCTGGGAGGTGGGGGGATTCCCTCACCTCTCGCAAAAGCCCGCAGAAGCCGCGCAACTCCTTTAAAGAGATCGCGGCTTCTCCTGGCTTTCCTGGGAGGTGGGAGAAGGGACTGATGCGGCCAGTCAGACCCTTCTCCCTCCTGTGGAAAAGCCCGCAAGAGCGCACGGAGCTTGTGTGCGGCTCTTGGGGGGCTTTTCCCGCCTGCCTCCCCCCCTGCATTCGCTCCATAGGACGCACACACATTTTCCCTTGCTTTTTAGGAGGGAAAAAGTGCGTCCTATGGTGCGAAAAATACGGTACATATCTGAGTTACTTGGGCTATCCTGCATAATTCAGTTGCTTTTCCATGTTTCCATGTGTCCACAGTTTGCTTATGGTGATTTCTGGACTTTTAATAGCACAAAACTGGGGACAGAGTCTCGTGAAGTGTTTTAGGACTGGCTAATCACAGAAGTGTTAGTGTGACTTTCCTGTCCCTTGTGTTCCATTGTTGTGTATGTTTGTAATGTTTTTACATATAGGAAGCTGTACCCCTACTGCTGGTGGGCCCTTCTCTGCTCTCACACCCAGCATATGGCCTCAGGAGATCTTGGCAAAATATGCCCAGGTACTACTATAAGACAAAGTGAAATAATAAATATTGCACCTAATTTCTCTTTCATTGTTGAATAGTAAACAGTAGTGTACATTATGAATGTTTGTATGTGTCTTCAAGTACCCTTCTAGGCATTTGTGGCAATTAATTGCTGGTTCAGCAGCTGCATTCATTCTAGCATGAATGGAGCTCCCAGGTAAATTGGCACTGCTGGCAAAATCTGATATAGAGCCTGACTCTAATAGTTTATTAGCTGGTAACCTAAACACAAATTATGTCTGATCTTGCATTATGTCTTACATTTGGGTAAAGAAGCCAGGGTATAAAATACTTCTGGTGGCTGTGTATACCCTTTTAAAAAGACTGGGTAGTGGAAGCCACGCTCTTGAGACCTTGCCAAAGGTTTCACACATGAATAGCCTACAAATTTAATTAGAAGTGCATGTGCCTGGCACAACATATAAAATGAAAAATCAGCTGTGAAACATAGAGTCCATTGGGATAAAGGCTGCCAGGAAGGAACCCTTACACTGATAAAATAAATAAGACTCCAGCTGAGCAGCTGCTTGCATGATAGGCACTGTTATATGTACAACTGCTTGGTGATGCTCAAAACTCGCATTCAAAGGCAACAGGGTTAGGCTGACAAATGCTTTCTGGGGCCATCTGGATTAACAGCAATCCCCAGGTTGAATCAGGAATTCTGTGGTAGATCTTTACATCCAAAAGAAACTGGGACAGCTTTGGTACTAATCTTAGCATGTTAGACTTTGGGACAATATTGTGCTTAAGTGGTTTAAACAGTACAGAATTCGAAGTATTAATTGTGTCTAGACTAGAAGAGTAGTGGTGACAAGCATTGCTAAGGATGCACACACATGGAGAAGCATAAATGGGAGCAGTATTTCCTGTGCATACAGTATATGTACACATAGAATAATATGTAGACTGAGCCAATGAGTGACCAAATCATCAGTCTGTAGGATTTTGACGCCTTTTAAATAATGAGAAGGGGTGAAGGTTGGGAGAAGCAAGGCAAAAAATCTCCAGTGGAAATATCTTCCCAACACGTTCTTCCTAGATTTACTGTGGAAGTTATTTATATAGGCTATAAGAGTACAGCACAAATGCAGAGAGTGCTCCCATTTTTATTTTGGATACCTGCAGTGTGTAAAAGTGTTGTACCACCTAGTGGCAAAGAATGGAAAGCAATTCTTTTCTTCGGTTTTCCAGAAAGAAGAATCTGTTGAACAGCCAGAGTTCCGGTATGATGAATTTGGTTTCCGAGTAGACAAAGAAGGCAAGGCCTTTTATTTCTGTGGTGTAACTTGTGACAAGATCTCCCTGGGGCTCTGCTTCAGAAGTCACTTATTCCCAGCAGTCTCTTTCCAACTCTTGATTCTGGTGGTGCTTTGAAAGCAGTTGACCTCTAAAGAAATTAACTTCAGGCTTTACTAACATGATAACATTCTTGGTAACGTGTCATTTAGAAACAGTGCACATGTATGTAAACAGCAGCTTTTCCTTCTTGAAAAGACATGGAGGTGACAACCAGGATAGGATCAGGGTGTTGCTCATATGTATTTTAAAGCTGTAATCCATCTACATGTTTGTCTGGGCTCAAGTTCTTGAAACCAGCAGAGTCTGAAACCCTGGACAGCTGCTGGAAGCCGCCCAGAGTAACTGGGGAAGCACAGCCAGATGGGTGCGGTATCAATAATAAAATTATTATTATTATTTGTGTACATTGTTTTCAGAAGAATTCATGGTATAGAAATCTATATGCAAATAATAAATATTAGGACAGCTAGCCACTTTAGGCATTTCATATGAGCCAGAATACAAATGTTCAAATGGAAAAGTAAACACCTTCGTTTCCCTGTTTGAATTTCAACTGTCTGGTGCCCATATACCTCATAAGGGACTGTCAGAGTGGATTTTTCAACATCACCAACGGTGGTGGTCTGTGCATGCTTTGGGATCAGAATTGGAACTTGGTTATACACTTGCCCAAGCATGCACAACTGAATTTTTGACTCTCTAGATTGTAAAGTCAAGCTTTTCAAGGAATTATTATTTTTCAGATGTAGAAGGCTACTTGCTACTTTCTTCCCCACACCTAAAGCTGGTGTTCTTTGCTACAGATGGCGCGGAGCCAAACTCTAGCAAGCTCTTGGGGATCCCACTGGTTGAAGAGCCACAGCACAGGCTGAAATGGCAGGCCCACTTGGAATTCACACACAACCATGACGTGGGGGACCTCACCTGGGACAAGATAGAAGTCACACTTCCACGTTCCGACAAGCTGCGATCCTTGGTGTTGGCTGGCATTCCTCATAGCATGAGGCCACAGGTGAAGCATTCCTGGTTAATCATGAAGGGGAGGAGAGCTTGCTGGTGAGGTTTCCTGTCTTAATTATAAAACCCTTTATTTCCTTCCTTCATTTCACTCAGCTGTGGATGAGACTGTCAGGTGCTCTGCAGAAGAAGCGAAATTCAGAAATGTCATATCGGGAAATTGTGAAAAACAGCTCAAATGATGAAACCATTGCTGCCAAACAAGTGGGTACTTTGCCATGGGTTAGTTCTTGGGGCTCAAGAAAGGTGGGTGGAAGAAAGGGAAGATTAAGAGCAGCGATTGAGAGAAGGAGGGGGTTACCCACTCAGTTTCTCGGAGTTGGTAGTTCTCTTCTAGTGCTGAAAATGAGCTTAGAGGGATTGGCACACAACGTTCCTCCTGATATTAGCCAAGAAAGGATTTACTACCACACATCACCACTGTGGATTTAAAGTTTATGTAGAACAAAGAGGGGTGGGGGTGTTGCACACTTGCTGCCATCATGTTAACAGGAAAAGAATAAAATCTTCAATCATTACAAAGTAGGAAGTTTTGAGGTCTAGGTACAGAACTTTGTAAAAATCTCTCTCAGCCAGCACAAATCTTCTTGCCACTTAGCAGCAGCTAATTACCCTTTAGGTATAGAGTTTGCATAAAATATTATTCTGTTGATGCACTAACATGTATTCATGAGGCGCTTTGCTCAGACTCTTGCTATTGGATATAAACACTGAACAAAATGTGAAGAAGTAGTCTGGAGATCACTATACAAGGTTGTGTGTCTTAAGCTCCAAATAGCACCACTGAGTCCTAACTTTTAATCCTCAGACTCTTAGGGCAGATTCACACCATACATTTAAAGTACATCCTACACGCATTTAATGCACATGACTTTCCCCAAAAATCCTGCAAAGTGTAGTTTCCCCCTCATAGAGGCACAATTTCCAGCATCCCTAACAAACTATAGTTCCCATGAATGTTTGGGAAAAGCCATGTGTTTTAAACATGCATTAGATGTGCTTTAAATATATGAGGTACATCTGCCCTTAGATTAATGAGTGATTCTCAGCCCATTAAGGACAAACACCAACAACCTAATGAAGGGGACAGGACTTTGTAAAACTAGTAGGGAAGACGAGGCAACTTTATAAATACAGTGGTGCCTCGCAAGACGAAATTAATTGGTTCCGCAAGTTTTTTCTTCTTGCGAGTTTTTTGTCTTGCGAAGCACGGTTTCCCATAGGAATGCATTGAAAATCAATTAATGCGTTCCTAGGGAAACCGCTTGCCAGGCTGGCGGTGCGGAGAAGGGCTTTTCTCCCCACCGCAAGCCTTCAGGACAGGTACGGGAACAGAGGGGAAGGCGCGCAGCGCTTTCCCTCTGTTCCCGGGGCTTGCGTGGGAGGAGGGTTTTTCCTCCCCACCGCCAACATTCAGAACAGCATTCTGAATGTTGGCGGTGGGAAGGAAAACCCTCCTCCCACCCCAAGTCTTCAGGAAAGCCATCGGAAGCTGGGCGGCGGGAGGAGGCGTTCCCCCCCCCGCCCGGCATCGGAGCTTCGTTCCGATGCCGTGCGGGGGGGGGAGGAGGCGTTCCCCCCCCGCCCGGCATCGGAGCTTCGTTCCGATGCCGCGCGGGGGGGGGGAGGAGGCGTTCCCCCTCCGCCCGGCATCGGAGCTTCGTTCCGATGCCGCGCGGGGGGGGGAGGAGGCGTTCCCCCTCCGCCCGGCATCGGAGCTTCGTTCCGATGCCGCGCGGGGGGGGAGGAGGCGTTCCCCCCGCCCGGCATCGGAGCTTCGTTCCGATGCCGCACGCGGGGGGGGAGGAGGCGTTCCCCCCCCGCCCGGCATCGGAGCTTCGTTCCGATGCCGCGCGGGGGGGGAGGAGGCGTTCCCCCTCCGCCCGGCATCGGAGCTTCGTTCCGATGCCGCGCGGGGGGGGAGGAGGCGTTCCCCCTCCGCCCGGCATCGGAGCTTCGTTCCGATGCCGCGCGGGGGGGAGGAGGCGTTCCCCCCCCCGCCCGGCATCGGAGCTTCGTTCCGATGCCGCGCGGGGGGGGAGGAGGCGTTCCCCCCCCGCCCGGCATCGGAGCTTCGTTCCGATGCCGCGGGGGGGGGGAGGAGGCGTTCCCCCCCCCGCCCGGCATCGGAGCTTCGTTCCGATGCCGCGCGGGGGGGGGGAGGAGGCGTTCCCCCCCCGCCCGGCATCGCAGCTTCGTTCCGATGCCGCGCGGGGGGGAGGAGGCGTCCCCCCCCCGCCCGGCATCAGAGCTTCGTTCCGATGCCGCGGGGGGGGGAGGAGGCGGCCCCCCCCGCCCGGCATCGGAGCTTCGTTCCGATGCCGGGCGGCAGGAGGAGGTCCGAGGACAGTGGGGAAGACGCGCTGCGCTTCCCCGCTGTCCCGGAGATTTCCCTATGGGCTGTCGTCTTGCGAAGCAAGCCCATAGGGAAATTCGTTTTGCGAAGCGCCTCCAAAACGGAAAACCCTTTCGTCTAGCGGGTTTTCCGTCTTGTGAGGCGTTCGTCTTGCGGGGTACCACTGTAAAGCAAAATGGGAGGTGCCATTTATAGCGCTGTGAGTGCCTCCTTCAGAACTCATCATACCTTTTGCAAGGTGTATATAGGCCACTAAAGTTGAGCCTTCCTCCCCCCCCCCATTGTAACTAATTCTGTCACCAGTCGTTGGAAGTTAAATATTTTTTTGCTTCAAGTAGACAGGAAGAAAAAGAAGCATAGAGTAGAGGCATCCAAGACAGACTTTGGAACTGGGCAAGGCTTCTGAAGCAAAAGTCAACCCTTAAAGCAGGCTTTGGTAGCCTGGCATCGTCCAGATGTTTTGGACTGCAGCTCCTATCATCTCTAGCCATTCTGCTGGGAGCCGAAGTCCGATAACATCAGGAGAGCACCAGGTTGAGGAAGCCTGCTAATAGGCCCTCTCACAATGGCACCATTGATACTGTTTGTGGAAGTCAGGGTCTCATCCAGGCTGCTTTGGCGGGGGGACTGCTAGAATGTGCATTGGCACATAAAACCCAGTACTATTTGGTACATTTTTATCTTGAGCGTGCAGTAAGAGATGTGCTGCTTACTCACTCACTTTGAGCACTTCACTTCAGGTCGCACATGAGGCATTATACTGAATGGATGGAAGTTTGCATGCTCTTTGTGAGGCTTCCATTCTGAGGTGAAATGGCAGCCTCAGACTACAGGCCTACTTTGTGGGGGTGCAAAGAATGTAAAGACAGCCCAGGGGACTAGAGAAAGAAAAAAGAAGATGGGGAAGATAATTGCTAACTGAGTCTAGAATGCTAATCTGTGATGCTTGATTTCTGTTAGATTGAGAAAGATTTGCTCCGCACCATGCCCAGCAATGCCTGCTTTTCCAACATGAATAGTATTGGAGTGCCGCGACTACGCAGAATTCTCCGGGGCCTGGCATGGCTGTATCCCGAAATAGGCTATTGTCAAGGCACTGGCATGGTAAATAAACCTCTCCTATTGTTGTTATATGTGAGCTGTTATTGTTTCCCTTGGGAATCTGCTCACAGCAGGTGAGAGGAATTCACAGGTACCTGTACAGGCAGCAACATACTTTTTTTTTATCCAGTAGAAATAATAAAATAAGTTTACTGCAGAGGTGATGACACCACTAAACATAATATATTACTCCGGCCAGGAGTAGGATGACCATGGTGAGTTTTTGCTAACACCCAGCTGTAAGCCATAAAGAAGCGTGTTTCAGGTATAGCCACTGTAAATTAGAGAACCTCCACATCCTCAGAAACAGCCACCAAGAATTGGAAGTAGGGAAATGGAGATTCCTACAGTCATCTGTGCAGTTAGATGTCCTATATGTTTCAGCAGGGGGAATGTGCCATTTTCAGCAACACCCCACTTTGCCCATGTAATATTCACTGCAGCTCAAGGTCTTTGTGATGGGGAGAAATGAAGGCCGTTTGAGTGGCAGGGCTCACCAAAGGCTCTTGAGCTACCTCTGACTAGCAAAGTTATTAGCACCATAGGTTAGAATCAAAGTTACTTTATGAACTTATGCTACATTGCTCCCTATTCATAACTCTGTTTAGAATTTATTTAAATCATATGTAAGCCAGCCTGCAGCACAAGCTCCCAACTTGGCTCACATTGAGAGAGTGGCCCACAGTTATGCAATGGAAAACTGGCGGACAAGTCAGTCTACGGATACTAACCCTTTAGGAAGTGCAAGTAAGGGTGAACTGGAGGCGGTATCACTCTGCACACCTGAGGACATCCATTCCAACAAGCTAGAAATATCAAAAGCGTCAGACTGCTCTACAGAATTACCAGGCCCAAGGGTAATTTGATTCTGGGGATGCATGATTGCCCGCCTGACAAAAATGCTCTGGTTGTTTATGAGATGGAGAATTAAATCAAAAGCTGCATCCAATGAGGAAATGTAGTTACGAGTGACTTCAGTTATCCTCACGTAGATTGAATCAGTGTGTGTTCCCGTAACAACAAAAAAGTACAATTACTAGATAGGCTAAATGACTGTACCCTAGAGCTGATGGTCATGGAGATAACCCTGCACTTAATTTTAAGTAGTATTCAGGGCCTGTTGTGACATATAAGTGTCGTTAAACTGCACTATAAAATTCAGCATATGTATTCAGATGGACAATCGCCAAAAATGTTTAGCACAGTCATGTTTGATTTCATAGAGGAAACTTATGGGCGGGGGGGGAATAAGACTTCCTTCAGAAAATGGAAGTTTTGTATAAAATAAGCACAAACTTAGAAAAAGAAATTATAAGGGCAGCATTCCCTTCTGGTCAACCTTCCAGGGGTGAAATGCCAGTAGTGGACAACCAACTGTGCAGAGCAATGAATGTGCACTGTGCCTTGTGTGGTAAGCTACTTCCTAGACACACCCCTCTCTATCCAGGCAGGCAAGTATCATAGTTCAAGGACACTTTCCAACCAAGCGAAGGAACTTGAGGAGGATGTAAAGCAGGGCTGGTAGGGATGTGGTCTGGGGACTGGAGGGCCACAAGGATCCTTCTCCCTCTTATAGAAGAACTTTGGCAATTAAGCAGTATATTAAGAGCTCAAATAAATAAGTCTTCCTGGAGTCACAGAGGTTTCCTTTATCCCATTATTATCCTTTTACGGAAACTATGAGGCTGCTTTGCATGAAAACATTAGAGTATTGCTCATTTGGCCCAAAGGTTCATCATCTAATATCCTATTCTCACCATGGCTAATTACTTTCTATCCCTAAAATTCTGCTGCTGTGAGGGAGGGCACCAGTGGGCTGTTACAGATGCTTTTCAGCTTATCTCCATGTTTTCCTCTTCTGCTAGGTAGTCGCTTCCTTACTTCTTTTCTTAGAAGAGGAAGATGCCTTCTGGATGATGTGTGCTATCATTGAGGACCTGGTGCCGGCCTCCTACTTCAACACTACTCTGATGGGCGTTCAGACTGACCAGCGCGTCTTGCGGCATCTCATTGTGCAGTACTTGCCACAGCTGGACAAACTTCTCCAGGAGCATGACATTGGTGAGAGCCTCCCTTGGGCAGCTGAAGGTTTTGAGCTTCAGGGTCCAACTCTCTTCTGTGAGCCACATTGTTAACACACTGTGCATGTGGCTGCTAAGGGAATTTAGTAGTGCAAATGAGTCAAACATGCTTTTGAGCATGAGTCACTTTAGCTTGGTATTTGGGTTGAAGTGGAAGGAAATATATGCTTGTGTGTACATAATCTCTTGTGCTATTTGAAAATTCTTGTTTTAAGCGGAAATATTCTCAGTGGCCTCATTTGCTTGTTATGGTAAGCTATAGTTAATGGTTTGCTGTGAATGTGCCTATCTGGGCTACTTTTCCTGCATACTAGTAGCAAGCAAACCACAGTCCTTTGCTTAGTATGCTGTCTGAACTAGGAATTGTAGGTTGTTTTGCCCCAAGCAAACCACAATCTGCAGGCAAGTTTATCATTGTTTATTTGGCTCTGGCTTGACATAGTGAAAAGGACTGAGAAGGGAGCTATATTTGCCTGCACTGTTACAATCATAATGACATGGGTAGATAATTTGGAATAGATGTGAGTCTTCTCTGTTTTATGTTGGAAGTGGAAAGTGATTCTATGGAGGGCAGGGGTAGGATGGATTCTTCCTCGTGTGGGTGATTGGTAAACTAGAATGATATACTTTCTTCATTTCACAGAGCTCTCCTTGATCACCCTGCACTGGTTCCTCACATCATTTGCTAGCGTTGTGCATATCAAGCTGTTGCTACGAATTTGGGATCTCTTTTTCTACCAGGGCTCCATAGTTCTCTTCCAGGTCACACTGGGCATGCTCAGCATGAAGGTAACCAACACTCCTCCGCTTTCCCCTCATGGAATGAGTTTTTATATACAGGGACCGCTATCCGGATTCCACCCCCCCCCCATCTTAGGTATTTAGGGAATCCTTTATGAGAGGCGGTCTGTGTGTGTAAGGAAAGAAAAACAAAAAATGCCATATATCGTTCTTTCGAAATCTGGGTGTGCAGTAGCTCCTTTTGCCACTCGCTGTTGCCTTTGCTACTTTTTTGTCTTCTGAATAATGCCAGCGAACTAGCATATAGACTGGAATTGTTGACAATGATCTGTTTCAAGAAACACTTAGAGAAATAACCTCTGCTCTTCTGGTTCTGTGTTGGGCAAATGGATGTGTGGCTGAAATTCAGTGTAGCATTAAGGAATTCCTTTATAGGAAAATAATTGGGTGCAAAGGGAGATTAACAGAAGCATGCATTGATTGTTGTCCTGCATTCACCGTGCAAACTTTCATCATGGGAATAGAGTTAGATGCAGATAATGGGGCTGTGAGAATTGCAAGGGTATTCCAGAGCATAACACGCAGAATGCCTTGTTCCCTTTAACGCAGGAAGATGAGTTGATTCAGTCAGAGAACTCTGCCTCCATCTTCAACACACTCTCGGACATCCCCTCTCAAATTGAAGATCCAGACGTGCTCCTGCAGGAAGCCATGCGTGTCGCTGGTTCCCTGACGGACGTAGCAGTGGAGACTCAGCGGTGCAAGCACCTGGCTTACCTCATTGCGGACCAAGGGCAGCTGCTCAATGCAGGGGCTTCTGTCAACTTATCAAAGGTGTGTTTCTAAAGCTCTTGGGAATCACAAGTTAAAAAATATTTCCTTTCTCAGGCTTGGCTTCTGTTGCCTTTGTTGTTCATAGGTAGTGGTAGTGATGTTGAGTCAGTCTTGGATGTGTTATTGAAGATGAGCTGCCAAACTTCCCATGCTTCCTGCTATGTCCAGTATAGCTTTTCTGGTCATCCATACTTCTCTTTTTCTATCCCCCTTGGGCTGGCATGTTGTTTGAGGGAGAGGTTGTTGCTATTGGCTTTTTGTATCTTTATTTTAGATCTTGTTATTTATGTGGAAATTGTTCCATTTGGTTGCGTATTCTTTGATGTTTTATTTATTGTTTATGACAACTTTCATTATATTGCAGTTATGTATTATCTTTGTGTTGTAAGCTGCCTTGAGCATGATTTGAACTGTGGAAAGGTGGCATACAAATAAAAATATGTATGTATGTATGTATGTATGTATGTATGTATGTATGTTTGATGTAAGTGACCCACAAGATCTGTTTTACCATACTGAACATAATGTCACTATAGCGTTTTTACTATATTCTCTCTTTAATGAGTCTTGGTCTTCTGTCTCTCTCAGATTGTGCGACGCAGGACGCAGCGCAGGAAGTCTGGCATCACCTCTCTGCTTTTTGGTAAGGAGAAATGCATGAGCATATTATTGCTGCCCTGCACAGCTTGGAACAGTTGAAAGAGCAAACATGGTAAATGTAGAGGGCAAAACATAGTGGGTGTCTGCAAGACTGACTGTGTGTTGGCACTTCACACTCAACCATCTTTTATTTATTTATAGTGTACTGGGATGTGTAATGGAATAAGCCAATAAATCCTCAAGCTTCCTTCCTCCTCCCCCCACCCCCCGATGCAGAATAAGTGGCTGAGGGTGGGAAAAGGAGCACATGAGTCAGAGGCACATTCAGGTTCATTCCAGCTTGTGCACATTGTGCTAAATTATGATTTAGTGCAAACATGGCCATAGACTGTCCTTGCACTATTGTACACTGTACTAAGCACTCTGTTTGCCTTCAGGGTAAGTAAGGAGACACTTCTGTCTGCTGCCTAGATTCATCTTTTTAAAAATTAACCTCTTGGGAGTCGTGTACAAGCTGTTTATTCTGCTGTACGCAGGAGTGTTCCTCTTCAGTGGCTGTGATGGAACCCCAGGTGAAGCCCGTGCTCTTTGTCCTCTTTAAAGGTCCAGAGAAAGAAAGTAATATGAGACACACAAGTAGTATTTATGAGTAGAGAACTGCCTTCCTTACTTATTGATCACTTCTGAAAGGCTGCACTACTTTTGAGACTATTCACTAATAAAGGTCTGTCCCTGGGCAATCTGCTCTGCAGAAACAAACCTGTTTTTTAATCTTGTGTAACTGTGCCATGGGGTTTATAGGCCTTTAAATCCCTCAATGAAGTTGCTTTGTAGGGAGCTCAGGGCAGTTAACTTAGTTTTAAGTTTACACTGTAGGTGTGCCCTTATTTTATTCTAGCTTAAGCACACTCTTAGGTTTTTTTATGTAGCTTTTGAGGAGGTCTGAGAAACTGAACTAGGCTTCAGTCTCTCTCTTTTCTGCCAAGAGGCTGGTTATAAAACATATTGATGGGGCTTTGAGATGGGGCATAAGGCACATCTCCAGTCTTTCTCATTTCATGTCTTCATGTGGAACACAGAATGGATTTTTTAAAAGAGCTGTTGTAATTAACATCAGTTCAGGAATAGAGCGGCACTAAAAAGTAAAAGGAAAAACACAATTGTTAGGAACTAGGTATGGGTGAAAATAAAGCAGCAAGTATTACATTGCCCATAACTCCTTGAAACACCCTTATGTAGAATAGTGTGAGAGTTCTGTTGCCCTATCTTAAAAGAAATATCCTGCAGAAAGGAAACTAAAAGTATAAGACTTTAGGGAAAAAACAAGACTAGTGGGGAAGTGGATGTGATTGAGACATTAAATGATGGAAGAAATTCATCCTCTCTCGTTATACTAGAAGGGCAATGGCAATGGTCTTAATATCAATTTGCTCCTTTGTTTAGACCAAGGATTTCTAACCTGTGGTAGCATGACCAGTGGCTAGGGAGTATGGGCATTGTAGTCCAAACATCAGCATTGGCCACAGGTTGGCTAACTTTGGATTAGACAATTGAACAGAAGAAGGGAAGTCTGTCTTTTTGCTATGAGAACAAAATGGAAACTTGGTGTATAGAAGCAGCATGTTTCTAAATAGCAGATGCTTCAGATGAAGAATGGAAAACTAAGAGGATGATGATGATGCTTTACTTCTTATACCCCACCCATCTGACTGGGTTGCCGCCTTGCTCTGCTTGAGTGATTTCCTTATCCTTCCTTTGTTTCTGCCTTCCTTCCAGGGGAAGATGACATGGAGGCACTGAAGGCCAAGAACATTAAGCAGACGGAGCTGGTTGCAGAGTTGCGCGAGGCCATCCTGCAAGTGGCACGGCATTTTCAGTGTGTGGATCCCAAGAGCTGCAGCATAGTGAGTAGGGGATCTCCCACAAGAAAACCTATGCTTCCTGCTACTGAGATGGTTACCACTGTACCCAATTTACTGAAGGAGGGGGCTTGTGCAGTGTTGGGTGAGAACTTGTCTCATGAGGGAATATGGGAAGATACAAAACTGGAAGAATGTCCTCATCCCTTGTTAATCTCTGCCTTCTGCTTGGCATGAATTCAGATTACTCTTGTTTGTCCCCCCAACCAGGATTTGACTCCTGATTACACCATGGAAAGCCACCAGCGGGACCATGAAAGCTATGTGGCTTGTTGTCGGAACCATCGGCGACGAGCCAAGGCATTGCTGGATTTTGAGCGCCATGATGATGATGAACTGGGCTTCCGTAAGAATGATATCATCACGGTACGATGGTCAGGACCAACAGAATGGTAGCATCATGTAGGGGGGTGGAGAAATCAGACATTATATGAATAAGGAACAACAAACAGAGTGAAGTTTGGTTTTTTCTGCAGTATACACTAAAAATAATTGGGGGCAACTTCCACTATGTGGGCATCTCAGCTCAGATTCCATATTTGCTCCCATACATTGCTTGCTGCTCCTCTTTTTCCTCCGTATGATCAAATCTCTTTCCCTCCTTTCAATTGCTGCAGATCATCTCTCAGAAGGATGAGCACTGTTGGGTGGGAGAGCTGAATGGCCTGAGAGGTAAGTGCAAATGGGATTTGTGTGAGGGGGGAATCTGCCCACCCCCAAACAATAATATTAAATCTATTGGGGGGGGCTACCTTCACAGCCTGTACCACAAATACTATTTGCTTATATACAGGCTGATACCAAGACTAGATTGCTATCCTGATATTTCCCTGCTCTTTATAGGTTGGTTTCCTGCAAAGTTTGTGGAAGTTCTGGATGAACGGAGCAAAGAGGTAACGTTTCCATATTAAATTTATGGTCCTGCTTCCTGCCATTAGTGTCTACTGTTCTCTGGATCCTTGTAAAGGACATGGTGGGGTAACAGATGCTGAGAAGCAGAGTTTGGGTCTGGGTGAGTGGGAATCACATGCTGGAAAGTCCATACCTCTTAGTCACCCAATGACAATCTGGGTTACCTGAACACAAAACCATTAAATATAATCTCATTCTGTGCAAGCTTTGTGCACTGTATGTTTCAGATTTGGGAAATAGGGAGATACTGTTATTCCCCTACCCCAGTGGGAGAGGTAGACCATATAGGAATAAGGTGACAATCCAAGCTCACTCAATAAATCCATGGCAAAGCCAATAATTTATATTTGGGAAGGTAAAACCAGATTTGCCAGCACCCAGTTGGGTAGGGGCAGTGAAAAGTTTAGCAAAGGGGATAGTCTAACAGCTTCATTCATATACTTGCTACCCAGGTGATTGGAGGAGCTTGGTAATGCCAACTGTGAGCTTATTAAAATATTTTGTCATATGGACTTTGCGGTTGCCTAGGCATCCTCCTATGAAATAGTGGGGCGGGCATATGAAACAGCATTCACAAATAGTATGTTAAAGATCTACCATATGTGCCTTTCTGTTTGCTGTGGCTTCTCATCCATTAATGGAGGCTGTGCTCTTGTTTCTCCAAGTATTCCATTGCTGGAGATGACTCTGTCACTGAAGGTGTGACGGACTTGGTTCGAGGGACACTCTGCCCAGCCCTCAAAGCCATATTTGAACACGGGCTGAAGAGGCCATCTCTGCTGGGGGGCCCTGCCACCCCTGGCTCTTCATTGAAGAGGTAAGAGAGGCACTTGGTGTCTGCAGGGTCTTTAGAAATAGTATGGCAAGTACATGAGACCTCTGTGCAGCTGGCAAGTACAGAGGCTTCTGGGAGAGTGTAGTAATTGCAGGGGGGGGGGCCTGCCGGTCTGCCACAATAAGAGACAACCGTATCAATAACTGTGCTTGTGTGCTCTTTTCTATCTAGGCTGCTGGGCGAGAAGTGGAGCGTGACTTTGACTCTGTGTATTCTCGTCTTGTACTCTGCAAGACCTACAGGTAAATGTTTCTCTCATCAGTCTAGTGAATTAGATGTTCCCTGTCCGTCATGTACCCTTCCTTCTGATACTTATTTTTCTTGTAATGTTTTCACATACTGCCTTGTCAAACAGATAAACAACTGTTTGACATTTAGAAGACCTAAGGTTCAGGGAAGTTTTCCACAGTCAATGTTTTATTGTGTTTTTATTATTTTGTTGGGAGCCACCCAGAGTGACTGAGGCAACCCAGTCAGATGGGTGGCATATAAATAATACAATGGTGGTGGTTATAGGCCAGGTTATTGATGTAGGATGGGCTAGCCAGTGTCTGCTGCAGAGATTACTTGCCAAATGAGGCTTTCTTCAGAGGGCTACAAGCTTTTAGTGGTGTAAGTTCCTAGCCAAGTGGCCTGTGTTGAAATTTGCAAGGACTACTGAGAATCTTCTTTGAAAGGAACTGTTGCTTCTATCCTGTGTGTGGCACTGGGTAGGGCAAACGTCTGACCCTCGCTTGTTTGGTATCAGCTGGATCTGTTAATTTACTGTTCTAGGTTGGATGAAGATGGGAAAGTGCTAACTCCAGAGGAGCTGCTTTATCGGGTAAGCTGTTCTAGTGTTTTAATTGGGTGTGGTGATGTCATGAAGGTGTCTTTATGATGGAACAGTCTGTTTTCAGGGTCTAATGATGAGGACCTGTGACAAGCCCAGAGGGCTGTGTCTTCCAGCAGGTGGCAATCTAGAGTCCTTTCACTCTCATTGCCTCCAAGGCCCAAATGCTTTGGGTAGAATACCTTTTCATTGCAGTTTGAGCTTTTTGGCTCCCAGGAGAGAAAGGCTGCTGAATAAGAATCCATATACCGTATTTTTCGCTCTATAGGACGCACTTTTTCCCCTCCAAAAATTAAGGGGAAATGTGTGTGTGTCCTATGGAGCGAATGCAGGCTCCTTGGCTTCAGCGATAGCAACGCAAAGCCTCCGAAGCGCAGAGGGAACGCTCCCTCCGTGCTCCGGAGGCTTCATGTTGCTTTCGCTGAAGCCTCGAGAGCGAGAGGGGTCGGTGCGCACCGACCCTACTCGCTCTCCAGGCTTCAGGGATAGCTGCCTGAAACCTCCGGAGCGCAGCGGGAACTCGCACTGTGCTCCAAAGGCTTTGGGTTAATTTGCTGAAGCCGGGAGAGCAAGACTCTCCTGGCTTCAGCAGAGAGGGAGAGCTGCGCAGCGCCCCTTCAGCAAAGTGGGAGGAGAAATGGAAGGGGCTCCGTTTCTCCTGCTGCTTCGCTGAAGGGGTGCTGAGCAGAAAGGGGGAGATTTTTTTCCCTTGTTCTCCCCCTCTAAATCAAGGTGCATCCTATGGTCGGGTGCGTCCTATAGAGTGAAAACTCTCTTTCCCCTTTGCAGGCGGTGCAGTCTGTCAACATGTCCCATGATGCAGTACATGCCCAGATGGATGTGAAGCTTCGTTCTCTTATCTGCATTGGACTGAAGTGAGTCTTCCAGTTCTTTTTCATACAAGGCTGCTTTTGCTAGCAGAGAACAGGAGCCTAATGGGTGGCTTAGATTGGGCTTCATCAGCAGGGGCTGGGAGCTGTCAGCCTAAGGTGTGATCTGCTCTACTGCTTCCGAGCCACAAGGTCTTCTACCTTTTCTTTTCCCGGAGTTTCCTTATGCAGTAGCAATGGAACATGTGTGTGTGCTAGTAACTTTCCCTGTGCCTTGTTTTTCAGTGAGCAGGTGCTGCATTTGTGGCTTGAGGTGTTGTGCTCTAGCCTGCAGACTGTGGAGAAATGGTTCCATCTCTGGTCATTCTTGCGCAGTCCTGGCTGGGTGCAGATCAAGTGTGAGCTCAGGTGGGTGGAACCTCCTTTTCCCCACTTTATTTTACTGCCCAACTCCACCTCCTGGTAGCTGCAGCCTTATGTAAGTGAATGAAATCATCCTTGGCTATGTCATACAGGGAGAGAGAGTATGCTAATTGCTTTCATTGCCCAATCTTAGCCTCCTTGGGAGGAATAGGTCTTTATGTGCAAGGCTAATGGCAGTACATTGTGATGAGCTCATCAGTCATTATCCTAGCAGAATAGGATTTGATTTTATTCCCCCTTGCCATCATACACCACCAAACCTTCTTGGTTGCCACAGCCAGCCTCTCCAGAAAAATAGAAAATAACCAGTTGTCACAGCTCACATGAAGATGCATCAGCCAGGCTGGCTCATGGAAGAGTAAAATAAGGGCTCATCCACCCTTCTGCTTGCCCTAACACTTTCCCAATCCCTGTTTGTTGCTGGATTGGGTCAATCTGCAGAACACCTGGTGTTCCATTTCAGCGGCAAATGGCATTTTCCCAGGGAAAACCAGTGGGGCAAGCAGAAGTGTGGACAACTTCTAAGAGGGAACTGCTCAGAGTTTCTATATTGGGAAGGCTTTTTGCCTTAGATGATCATGAAAGGGAAGAGATAAACACAGGAGAACGGGTACACTTGAGCTTCAGCTGTAGTAGAGCCGAGTAGAAAGCAAACTACAAAGGAGTTAGTCTGTGTGCAGCAAAACTAGGAGAAAATGTAAGGACAGTTAGACCTGGAAGCATGCTTATTCTGTTAGGTAAATCATACAACTTGTCTCCTATGTTTTTACATAGCCGTCAATTGTGCCCGTGGCACTGCCAAGTGCTCTAAGTAAGGATGCTAGGAATCCTCTCTTTAAAATAAAGTATTGTCTCTTAAATAGATGTAGCAGTATATACTTCACATCAGCTGTGTTAAATGTGAGGTGACTGAACAATTCAGGTCTAGATTTTACTCAAGGGTTTTTTAAAGAGCCACTTTTAAAAAACACCACCAAGCGCCCACGCCTATTTTCTTTCTTGCTTCTTCACTTCTTTACAATGTCAAATGTCTTGAAGACTTGATTTGTGGCAGTAGACAGATACAATGTTTTGCAATTCTTGTTTATGGAACAAGCTTAATTTTTAATTGTAAGAACAGAATGAAGTAAATGTGTCAGAACTTAATGTAGATTTCAGTTTGATTACTTTGCCTATAGTGTTTGCATAGCCCTCCTTTTAAGCTCTCTTAATGGTTGATATGTTCTGTTGCAGAGTCCTCAGTAAATTTGCATTCAGCCTTTCTCAGGATTGGGAACTCCCTGTAAAAAGAGAGGTAAGCATGTGTCCCTTTAGTCAATCAACAGCCCATGCATTTGCATCAACCCCCGTTTAGGGTTAGACTGTGTTCTCTCTTATATTTGCATAGGGGGGCTGAGGTACAGCAGGCTAATCTTTGCCCCAACCTGGACCCTTTTGTTTTCTGGGATGGTATGGTGGTGGGCCCTGAAGCACACACACACACACATTAGCGACAGTGGGGACATGTGAAAAGCCCTTTGCCTTCCTTTTTTAGGAGAAGAAGAAACCACTGAAGGAAGGAGTCCAGGACATGCTTGTGAAGCACCATCTCTTTAGCTGGGACATAGATGGGTGATTCTTTGGCCTCAGTTTGGACTTCTTGGATGACATCAAACCATTGGCATATTCTCCTCCCTCGCAGCCTGTTCCCCCTTCAGTCTGTCCCTCTCACCAACAGTCTTTGCTTGTCAAGAGTTCTCTTGTGGACTGGTATCAGTTTGCTTAACAGGTGGGCAGTAGCATATTGAAGAGACCAGGGGTTGTGCTGCATTGTTTGAAACTGTGGCTGTCTAGCTTCCCTTTCCCATGGTGTCACTAACTTGACTGTGCAGAGCATGTGCATATTATGGAAGTAATGTACCACTCAGGAGTCTGTGCCCCTTGGATACCAAGCCTGTTCAAGGCCTGCTGGTCTGGGCAAGAGGGAAGACAGTAATGTTAGACAGAAAGTTGTCTAGGTGTGGTGTACAGCAAGAGGGGATTCCCCCAAGGTTAACCAGTCTAGCTGTTAAGATTCATTTATGGCAGGGAGAGGAGACCAACAGATTCCAAGTTCCTCCAAGGCTCACTTTATTCATGATGCTTATTTTCTTACATACGCTAACATGTGCAACACCCCTTATTAGTGTGTGTCTGAAAGAGAAACTGTGATTCATGACTAGTTTTCCCAGGTGCTACAGTGCATGAATGGCTGGGCTACTGCCACAAAGTGCCTAAAATGGCTAGCTGGTTTAAAACTGCCTTGGGTGGAGCAGCAGGAGCCTAGCCTTTAATTCTGGCTCTTAGCTGAACAGCATCAGTTCATTTTAGCCTGGAACTTTGTAAAAAAAGAGAGAGATTACCAAAAGATGTAAAATGTATCCAGAAATCTCTGTATATTTTGATGTAGCTTAGCAGGAAATGGATTCAGGACCGAGATGGCTCAGGGAGTCAACTGCAACCTACACTGATGATGATGGTAGAGGCTGCAAGACAGGAGCACAATCACTTGTCATTTTGGTTTCTAAGTAAATTGCACATCCTGTAGGACTGCTTTTCAGATGCCTTTAGCCTTATTTCTGTTCTCCTGAGTTATGTGGAAGTATTAGTAGTTGGAAGGAAAAATTGACACTTCTGCGAATGATTCTAGGATTTGAATGTTAAGTAAATCAGCCTTGAAATATTGTGTTTCTTATTCAGTAATAGTACTGTTACAGTCTGGTCAGCTAGAATATACTGACTGTGACCTGGATGAGAATAGATTGCAAGCCCCTTTCCCCATAGTTGCATTCTGTTCTACTACTGGATAATTTGCCACACTTCTTTCAAGGTGCTGTTTCTAGGAAGGAGAAACTGTCACAATAGTGAGAAATGGCTCTTCATCCCTCCACAAATGTTGAATGCCTTTGCTGTCTTTTCACCATGGCACGTATCAGTATCCATTATGCCATGACCAAAGATGAGATGTACAAAGATGTTACAACACAATTTTTTTTAATAAAATGGATTTTTCAAATAACTGAAAAAATAATTTGATTTATCCATAATATTCATTCCATACCCTTTTCCAGTTGCATGTTCACTCCAGGTCCAATACTATAGCACTGCGTAAGCCTCTTGCGGGTGCTGATAACCCCTTTCATTGATGCATAGTGGAATAAGTGTGCGTGCTAATCAAATACAAGCAGTGGTTATCAGCAGAAGAGTGCGTACATTCAAACCAAAGGAAGACCCTTAGACTCTTGTTTTACTTTGGGGATATAAAAGGAGAATTTAGGGAACTTATTTTATAAGCCATGTGTTTTTAGACACTGGCAAAAAAGCCCATCTTAATACCAGTCACTTTCTCGTTCCACAAGAGAGTAGTATTCCTAAAATGGGCTTAACCCATAGCACTTTTCTTCATAATTTTACACTAGACATGTTTACCCTTTCAAAACCAGGCAGCTGTTGGGGATAGCACTTTCAGCACAAACCCACTGCTGCTGCTAAAGCAGCCCTGATCTGGCCAACAAGTACTTTCCAGTCTAAACTTATTAACTGCTCTTAGTCTGACAACAGGTAAGATGATACTACTGAACCAGATCGTCTCCCCACAATAAGTTGGCTTATTCTGCTTTTCTATACTGTGAACAATCCCAAGTCTAGATCCAACCTTCCCAATCAGTGATAGACTGAGTGACAATATTAGTAGTACGTCTTGAAGAGTATACAAGAGATACGCCACCTTCAGCAGCCATTAATCTAATTTCCAAAACAGTCATATTTTACTGAATGAAATAAGACTCACGTGCAGTTGGCCATTTCAGGATAATGGCTAATCACATAACTAATATTCTTCATTCCATTCATCATAAAAGGGGGTGTTTAGGATATGTTATGTAGACTTGATAAAATATAAGAGAAACAGAAGGGGCTCCTGGATCCTGTCAAATGACAGGACCCTTCTTCCTTCTGCTTTGGGGTGAAAGGCAGTGCCAGCAGACACATTTAACTACGTATTTTCTATGGGAGGGAAAGAGACTAATAGAAATACAATTTCCTTTGAGTGACATGTGCAATAAGGCTAAAGCTGGTAGTCTAAGGACCAAATCCTCTTTCCCACCAAACCACAGGCTAAAATACCAGCTCCCCAACAGTTTACCACACAGTAGGAGCTAAAGGGAAGTAACTACCCCCTAACCAGGTAGATAACTTCATCTGCTTTCCAAAAACAAAACAAGTTTTATAACGGCTATATACAGAAATTTTACCAGCTATAAATGAAACCAGGTATCAAGAGGCAAGACTGCGGTTTCTAACCATTCTCTTAACCACACAGCAGCAGGGACTATGGCTACAGGAAAGTTCCTCTGTGCAATGAAAGACATGCAACTCCTTAGGCAAGCAGCACCAAAAACACTTGCCTCAGAGAGGAGGTTAGTGCTCATGCTCTCGGAGATCAGCTGAACTCTCAAACGGAAGTGGAGCCACAATCCTTAACCTACAGCCAAGACCAGACATCCCCATGACACCAACCTCCAGATCAGAGAAAGCTACACTTCATATTCAGGAAAACCCTTGGGATGAGTAGCTGAACTGAAACCCATGAACAGCATAAGCACTAAGAACAGGAGCATAGTGCAGCTCATCTGCTCCAGTGCTTGTGTTTCCCAAAGGCCCAAACTTCACAGAGCGCCACCACTTTGAACAAGTAAGTTCTAGCCAACTAGGTTTCCTAGGCAGGGTTATTAAGAGGAGGTGGCAGAGCTATTAAAGGGGCCTAGGAGTATCATCCTCGATGCAGCTGTCTTGATTCATAACCAAATGAGTACCTGAGACAACAATGTCAGGTGAGATACAACAGCTAGGGCATACAGCCGCCTCTTAAGTTTTAGTGGAACAAGGGCTACATGCAGGAATTAGCAGGCCAAAGGAAGATGGCTATTATCTAAGCTGTGGCACATAACTTGTGCTTGGCTTTCTTGCCAGGCTCAAAGCACCTATACTATGGCATTGTTAGGGAAATGCTCTTGGAACAGGATCCTCATCCATATAAGCAGAAACCTCATTAGTCCTATACTCATCCTCCCACCTCCTCATCTCCAAAGATGGCCAAATTAACTTTTGCCCAGTTAAAAAAAAGCACAATTGCTTTCTAACAAGGCAGACTGAAGGTCAGGAAGGAAGCCTGGTTTCTCCAGCAAGTTCTTCCAAACTGCTTTTGATTCTTGGCTTCAAACTAAATCCTCAACCCCACCCAGAGGCAGCATTCCATTCTGAAAACCTCCAACAAGTCATACAACTGGTACGACCACTGAACATTTGAGGAAAGGACCATGCCTTAGTCCACCAATAGCTATGAGAAGTGTGGTAGCTTGCCTGAGGTTGAATCAGAAGACATCACTGGTACGTGCCCTTGGCTCTAGCTTCATGAAAGCTGGTCAAAATGCAGGGCTCTTAAGAAAGAGGCGACTTTCACTTAAGAGCCCATCCATGTCCTACAACCCAGCTGTACTGCTCCCCTGAAGTCTGCATGCTCAGAGAGCTATAAGCAAGAATCCCAGTGCAGCTGTAAATCATGTCCATCAAGGAAGTCTGTGGAGAAGAGGCTAGGTGTTGCAGTACTGAGGGGGGTGAGGCTCATCACTGGCCCTCCTGACAGCTCCAACCAATCCATACTGTCCAAGTTAGCCTCTCCCAGGTCCAAGCTTGGTTCCCCAGTAGACTCAGGGGCAAAGTGCAATTCTGATGTGTCCATAGGTGAAGATGGGTGGTCCAGGATAGCTGAACTGCTTAGCATCTCGCTGTAGAGGTCAATTAGGGACAGAGGCTCAGGTCCATCAGGGCCAGCTGTCAGCAAGGGGAGGCCAGTACTGCTTACCAAGAAGTCTTCCAGCCTGCCTGCTGGGGTGGGATTAATAGAGCTGGTGTGGCTCATGGGCAGCTGCAGGGGGAGCTCTGAGGAATGGTGGCTGTTGGACGGAGAAGGGCATCCTGGGGAAATAGTGGCGCCTTTCCTTCCTGGGGAAGATTGCTCCTTGAACTGAGCTGAAATCTCTGAGAGAGAGAAAAAAAGCACTTAAATCCATGGATGCTTGCAATATTTTTACTGCTCCTAAACATGGCCACAAGTCTTAGGGCTGTGCAAGTGCTGCACGCACCAACGGCTCAAAGAACCCATGAGCACTGCTGCAGATTAAGCTGCTACATCCTTTTGAAATCTGCTAAGTGGCACAAATGTCTCTTTCAGCACCAAGTGTACACACAAACCTACAAAGGAAATTTGCCCCTTAAACTGGCTTCAAACAAAGGCTCATTAGTGTTCTCTTTCAGATGGCCAGCCTCACTGCTGCAGAAGCCACAGAAGTCCCTAACATAAATCCAAATTGTCTACTTACCTCCATGCTCAATTAAGATGTCAAACAGGTCATCCATTTGCTGACTGGAACACCCATTTTCCTGAAAAAGAAGGAACGGGTGCTTATTTAGACATTGCATTCACCAGCTATGCAGCAACACTTATCTTCCAATGATCTTATGGCCAAACTGCACATTCACCAGACTGTCGGTGTCACTTAGCAAAAATGGCACAACCACAGCCTTGGTATGGTGGACACTTGCAATCTGTGTCCTACCTGAAATAAATGGAAGATGGCTCTAACCCTAGGGAGGCTGTTGCATATTTGATTCCTGAGAATTTCAGGGCTGACAGACAAAGTGTGCACTATTTTTGCAAAACAGCACCAACACCAACATGCTTCTGATTTGTCAACACAAAGGAGCTACTCTCACCTCAAGGGGCTTTGGCTGCTGCTTCACGGCCTCTTCATAACCTGGTGGTTCTTTCATCAACACGGAAGAGGCAGGGAGAGGCAAAGGTGGTGGAGTACCAAAGAAGGATGAGTTGTGCTGCTCAAGATCCATTTGGGGTGGAGATGGAGGAGATGGAGATCCTGGCTGCGAGAGAAGCTGTGAAGAAAGAAGAAGAAAAGCAATGAACAATATTCCCAGATGGGCCATTTGCATGCATCCTCAACATACAAGCCTCCCTTCTCAGATAATTCACAGTGGAGCCTCTGATGTTACCTTTCCTGCTTCCCTCTTCATAGGCATCACAGCTACTTGCTATGGGTATACAATGCATGACCTCATCTGATTCAACATTGACTTGCCTGGCTCAGGAAGTACTGCATTTCTGCAACACAGCAATTTTCCTGCAGGCCAGATCCAAGTCTTACATTTTGCAGAGCACAAAGTTTCTCATGAAACGTTCCCCACCAATCCACCCCTGCTTCAGTTCTGCTGTTATTTGTCGGTTATGGGAGCAAGAGAGGTCAGGTCCCAGTGCCCAGGACAAGCAAGTACATGTATACATTTCCAAATACCTCCCCTAAACAAAAACAGAATGTTGGAATGTTGGAAGCAGCATCATTTCAGTAGGACACACATTTCTAGAGGCCTGGCCTATGACATCTATTGTCTCATGTTCCCCAACATATTCATCTGAATTGGAGTGGGGCTTGTTGGCAGGGTACCTTTTTGGGCATGCTGGACTGGCCAGTTTTACCACTTGTTTTCATGGGCCCTTTGTGAAAGCCATTCACGAAGAAGGGCTGCAAGTTGGGGGGCGAAGAAAAAGACAAGACTGTTTGAGGCAGCTGCCCTGTGACCATCTGCAGGCCTGGCTTCTGAACCTATGGAGAGGCACAAGGGATAGGAAACAGAAGGAAAAAGTCAGACTCAGGCTGGTCCAAAGAGTAGTACCACATGCCAAGTGTATTCCCAAAGCACCCAAGCAAAGCTGGACATAATCCTCAGCAAACAAGAAGAAAAAAGATTCTATGCTAAAAGAAACATTCTAGATGAGAAGCATGGCAATAAGAGTCCCTCTGAAGGAGAAGGTACATAGATTGGGGGTATGTCTGGACCCATTACTGTCATTTGAGGCTCAACTGGCATCAGGGGTACTGAGTGTCCTCTATCAGCTTCAACTGGAGGCTCAGCTGTGTCCCTGACTTGTATTGTCTATGCTCTGGTAGCTTCTGGCTGGACTACTGCAGTGCACTGTAAGTGGAGCTGCCTTTGAAGACAGCTTAGAGGTGTCAGGTTACTGACCAAGGTGGGATGGTGTTTGTTCACAACATTTATGTACCACCTTGATCTTTCATGCAGCTCAAAGAGGTATACATGGTTCTCCTCCTCCCCATTTCATCCTCACAACAACTCTGTGAGGTAGGCTAGGCTAAGAGATGGTGAGTGGCCCAAGATCACCCAATGAGCTTCATTATTTTTTATATTATTTATTGAAATTATATACCGCCCTATACACGGAGGTCTCAGGGTGGCCCACAGAACAAAATTCATGGCTGAGTGGGGATTCAAACCCTGTTCTCCCAGGTCCTAGTCCAGCGCTCTAATATATAATACCACTTCTGGCACAACTGCGCTGGATACCAATTAGTTTCCAGGCAAAATTCAAAGTGTTACTTGCCCTAAAATGCAAAATGTTAGTTGACCACCTGTTTTGTTCCCTACCTTCTTAATGGGCTCCATTGGCGGTGGCTGCAGAGGAGACTGGGAGCTGCTTACAGGTTGTTGGATAGATGCTTTCACAGGTGGTGAGGACACTCTCTGAGAGAGAAGGATACACAACATTTTAGAGGTTTTTAACACACCCCACGCCTGAAAAGTCAATCTTTAGAGCTAGTTGCTGCAGACGCAAATTAAATATGAAATGACATTGACAGAAGTCATGCGCAGGAGTGGAATGGGTGTGGAAGTATTAACTACAGGGTGGCTGGGGAAGCAAGGTCAGTGTCACAGGGAGCATAAAAGCTGGGCTTGTAAACCCAATGAGATTTCTGGGAGCAGGGGCAGGTGCATTTAATCAAGAATCAACAATTATGGTTGCCACTGTCACCACTGGCACACAGACTTTAGCATGAAGTGGCAACAAAAAGCCCAAACTGCTGATGTTTTCCTTCACTGTCAGACCAGCTCTTCTGCTGATGAACCTGTAATTCTGCCACACACCCATTTCATTCATGCTCTCACTGACTCTACACCTCAGGAGGGCCCTTCTCCTGTCTTCAACTTCTGCTCACTTTCCCAGGCCTCATAAACCCCAGAGATGAAATTAAAGAGCTGCTGCTGTTTGGGGGCCTTTTCTCTCTCCTCACCCCACCAAGATACTTGAGTTTTCTGGGGAAGCTTTAGCTCAACTCCGACTCACTCTAGCTCTCCTCTGGAATAGTGTTTTAATAATATAAACAAAGAACAAAAGAGTTGCTGCAAGGAAAGAAAGTAAAACTGGAAAGGAATTCTGGAGGCAAGATTAGCCTTCTATCCTGGTCTGTTCAGGAACAAATTAGGTCCTGTGTAGTGGTGGCTTCAAAGCACTGAGTACCTGCCCAAGGCAAAGGAGTTGAAAAGTTGTGAGAGAAAATACATTTTGAAGAGCCTCTGCACAAGAGCTATGAAAAACCAGGAGTAGTTCCTTTGGTGAGAGAGGCTGTGTTCTTAAATTGTGCAGAGGCAAGATATTGTGAGTTCGGTTCCAGACCACTGCAATAAATTGAGTATTACAATAAAGCAAGTTACACTTTTTTTTTTTTTTAGTTTCCTAGTGCACATAAAAGTTAAGTTTACACTGTACTGTAGTCCAACCTGCCTGCAGGGAGGGCCGGAGGGGAAAAACCTGGCTCTAGCCTGTGGCCAGAAGAGGGATGGCAGTGTCGGGGGGGGGGGCTTCCTTCAGGCAACTCAGTAATTGTAAACAACCAATCAATACATTGATGCTACTCCCAAAGAAAATTCCCAGCCATTCTTTGTAGAGCTCATTTTGTGCTGACATGATACTTTCATAATTACAAGCACAGCTACAGGAATTAAAACTATTCAATTCTAAAGCAATGTGATTTGAGTCTGTTCATTGTTTGAAAGCCCTCCTCTGGTTAGATAGACAGCCTTGACTCAAGAATCATCACTGCATGTATACCTACCCTCAATGGCAAGGGATGGCTCCCCGCTTTTTCCTGAGGCGAGAGGCCCTGCCTCTCAGCATTCTGATTGGTCACGGTGAGAACTATGTGAGTGCCAGTGGAATCTGTGATGAGGGTGGGGGGAGGGGCTCCCTTGATGAGGTTACTGAAGCCTGCACCTTGCTGGCCAATGAAGAAGCTTGAGGTCTGGCTTGGCGGCTCAGTTTCGGCAGCTGGCACCTCTTGCTTCACCATCACTGCTTTCTTTGGCACTGAACTTTCATCTGAGGTGTCCATTTGGCTAGTGGTCTGTGTGGGTTTTGATTGGTCGGTTTGGCAGTTGGGCTGCCCTGAAGATTGGCAACTCAGAAAGCCCTTTTCACTCTTGACACGGGTGCCAAAAGTCAGCGGCTCGGGGACTGTGGCTGTGCCCTCTTCTCCAACAGAGGTGGCAGGCAGGAGCTGCTGATACCGCTTTTCTTTCTCCAGCTGCAGCTTCAGCATCTCCACCAGCTGCTGCTTCTGTTTCAACATGCGGGTGAGCTCCTCAATCTGCTTATCTTTCTCCTGCAACATCTGGTCTTTATCCTGGACCTCCATGTCTTGCTGACTGTTGTTGCAGCAGAGCTCTGCCTTGGATGATGAATTAAAGCTGCAAGTGGTGCCTTTGGAGCTCTCTTCCTTCACCAGAAATTGCACGGGAGATGCTTGCAAGGTAAGCTGAGTCAGGGGAGAGGTCACCATCTCCCCAAAGGCATCCCCACTGGTCGAATTCTCATCCCCGGCACTCATCAGGGAGCGCTCTGAGGGGGTGGGCGACACAGGAGGAGTCGAGCCTGTGCTACCAAACTTCATCACACCATTGCCAGCGACTGTGGCCACAACAACTTCGGCTGAAGTAATGCCAGCGCTGACCAGGGCAGGCCCTGTGCTCAGCCTGGCAGCTGGGAAGGCCACCACCACATCCGCAGCCTTGGGGAGAATTGCTGTATTGGGCTTTGGAGCGGCAGCTGCTCGGCCAGCTGCACCGTTCTGCTCCTGATAAGCCTTGAGCCGCTCAATTAGATCCATCTTGGTGCCTGACACAGGCAGCGCTCTTAGCTTCAACTCTTGCTTCAGCTCTGCCACCTAACATAAAACAGTTTGCAGTCAATCAAAAGCCGTATCGGCTAGAACAATCTCGTTTACAACACCTACTTCAATTCGTATGCAGCAATGTATACAGTTCCAAAAGAATCTAAAATACTGTAAGAACAATACAAAATAGTAATTAAAATAACTAGCTCATCTTTTAAAAATTTAAACAACTGAACAGGCCTCAATAGGCATAATCATCCTATATTTAGCACAAAGATGGTGAACCTCTGGGCCTCCAGATGTTGAATTCCAGCTGCCATCATTCATGACTAAGGTGACCAATGCTCAAGGTTAACAAGGAGGAGTTCAAGGATATCTTGAGGGTTACAGGTTCTCCATCTTTCATTTACCACTTGCTGCCAGGTCCACAACTATCAGTCCAAGAGTTTCATCACAAAAGCAGGAAGGCCACTTACTTATTCAACCATCTGGTCTGAATACTGACCATCGTTCAGTGCTAATAGCAGCAACAGCACTTATTTTAACAAATTTATATCCTACCTTTCTAAAAGAAAATATGTGCTCACTCTTTCTTGTAACATTTATACCCCCACTTTCTTCATCAAACACCAAGCTGGCCAATAGACGCTTTGTTTACCTTCATGTCATCGAGATTAACAGGGAGAGTTCCTGGTTTGCCCACTGGAGTGTTGCTGTTTTGCCGCATCAATCCATTAGAACTGGAAGAAACAGAAGAGGTGCTGCTGACAGCAGTGGAGAGACTACGCATGGGTGGGGCACTACTGCTGCTCTGCTGCTCTCCTGGAGGCCTGAAGGGAGAGGAAAGCGGGAGCTGAACACTGGGCAGCGGAACTGATCACAACACTCTGTTCTTTGCTGCTACTACTGGGAAGCCCAATGGACATCCTTATGATCTCTTGAGAAGGTGGTCAATAGTCTGCCCTCAAGATGCAGCGCTACATAAATGACCCTTCCTAGCTCCATGGTTGCTTGGAAATTCTTTTTTGGCAGCCTCCGCATGTGCTTGCCAACTGTTATTGACTGCCCTTTTTATTCTAATACAGCAGACATATCAGATATCTTGCTTCATTGCCTATATTCTGCTTGTTGTGAAAACAGCCAGATATACTTGCAAAATGAAACAACGGTGTATACTGAATTCATATCAAATAAATACTGGTGATCTGATACTGAGTCAATTCTATGCACAAGCTTCCATTTCAAGTTAGAGGTGATGGACAGGACTTAAAAGAACCTTACAAAGTCATACAGCCAACCACACCTGAAATGCTTATCTAAATACTTTAAACACACTAAACTCTTGAAGAACTTCACAGCTTCTTGACTGTCCCAAGCACCTCTGCCACATGCACACAGCAAGCTAGTTCTGAAAGCTGCAAGCACTAACATGTTTGCAATACCTACATAGGCAAGCTACTCTGAGCATGAGGGGACAGTGGATGGTGTACAACTCCCGTTCTTGGGTGGGATTGGTTGGATGGAGAGACAGATGGATACTGCTAAAAGAGGACCACCCATGATATGGGGGGGGGGAATAATAGCATGAAGCAACCCATACTTTGGTGGAGCTGGCAGAATGGTTTGATAGTTGTAGTGCTGCTGTTGCTGTTGATTAAGGATCTGAAGCTGCAAGAAAAGCTGTTGTTGCTGCAGGATTTTGGCATAAGATGAATCCATGGGAGGAGCTCCTTTGTCCTGTTTTTGGTCCGGCGGGATGTATTGGTGATATTTCAACTTCTTGACTTTCGGTTTCGGTTCCTTGGATTTTTTGCTGCGCTGAGACTTTTCGCATGAGGACTTGGACTGGCTTTGCTATTCAGAGTGAAAATACAGGTGAATCAAAGGGCAGGACAGTAAGAATAAAGAGTGCAAATACAGAAACAGTTATTAGTATTTGCTGTCATGTTCCATATGGCTGGTTCAAGCTACCGGCCCTTTCCAGAATATGTAGAGCTACAAGCCACAGAAGGGGACACACAGTTAGCTTTTGCTGAATTAACTACAAATTCTTCGGGGGGTGGGGCAGGGGCGGAATACATGCCCATTATGTAACAATACAACAGCAAATGGGAGGCTAAATCCCAACATGTGGAATAGGGTAGGGGTGCGTTTATGGAGACAGCAGTTGGAAAGGACTTTTCTTTAAAAAGGTTCCCTGCTAGCAGTTTAGCATTACAGAAGAACAAGGCCAACAATTCCCACCCAATCTTAAGCACGCCCACATCCCATCAATTTAACCCCTTTATAGAAAGGTACCTTTATAAGGGTTGGGAGTGGTTTGGCAGCAGGAGCAACAACACCATTGGTAAGATTAGGAGCACTGGAGGCGGCAGGGGTGGCAGGGGAGTTGGTGGCTGCTCAGACAGAAAAGGGGTCTCACTGGAATCTGCACTGATTTTCAACTGACACACGACCTGCAACAGTAAGTCCAAGTATGAGATGCACATGCCCATATCTACACCTGAGCGCTTCCCTTTCCAAGATATGGAAGCAGCTTATGGAGTCGAAATGTGTTAATTACATGCCACTCCCAGAGGAAAAGCAGACAAATTCCATTTTTGCAGATTTGTTGCTTCTCACTTGCAGCTGCATACAAAGAAACAGTACTGTGAATGGGCTCAATTCAGAGGAAGAGCTATAGCTCAGTAATATAGCATCTGTTTTGCACGCAGAAGGTCCCAAGTTCAATCCCTGGCATCTCCCAGGTAGGGCTGGGAATGTCTCTTCTGAAACCACTGCCAGTCAGTCTGGACAATACTGAATGAGATGGACCATTGGTCGGCTTCAGTGTAAGGCAATTTCCTATGCTCCCAGTATCAGCCCCACTGTAGAGCAAGGCCAGGGCCTTATTCCTCCCCCAAACAGGATACCCCTTTGGGTTCACATTCAACTATTTTCAGCCCAAGTAAAGGAATATAGAAGCTTTCGTTAGCATAATTTCAGTATTCAGGTGTTTCTGCTCTAATCCACAAATGACTCCTTTGGAATCCGCACCTTGCAGAGGACTTTTTTGTATCCTCCAGGAAAAGGCACCTATGTGACTGGTGCAGGCACCAAGGCACACAAGAGCCAAGGCTATGATAATCTTACCTGAGCAGGGGACGCTGTTGTGGGGGTGGGAAGTGACTCGCAAACTCGAGCTTCCATTGGGGATGGCACGGATCCCTGGGATTCATGGCTAGCTGGCTGTTCTGGAGACAGGGCATCACTGCTGTCCTCATCAAAGGAGGAGCTGTCTGCTACTTTTGGGTAGTTCACTTGACCTACTGAAAATAATAAATTTACATTTATTCACTAAACAAATGGAAAGGGGTCAAGAATGATTAGCAGAAGATGGTTCTGGACATCACAAGAAATATGAGACAGTGAAAAACCAAACAAGCTTTAGACAATTTTTTAAAAAATCAATGTCACAACCTGAGAAGAAATAGTTAACACCAGGATTAACAAGAATATCATCTTCTGCCTCTCTGCAGAGACAGGTGTAAGGACAACTGGAGCAAGCTTTGTGTCATATCCTGCCTGCAGGTTGGAATGAACAGTTGAGATTATGAAAGCAAAAAGGAGCACTGGAGATAAATATTTTGCCAGTTGTCTTTTTTTTTTTTAAAGAGCATTAGAAGGAATAATCTGTGAGGCCTAACTGCTATAGACACTTGTGTTTATTTACGATGTATATCCTTCACAAAAAATATTCCTGTATTTCTTAACAAGATTTTTTTCTGTGAAAGGAGGTTGGGAGAAGAGAACCAAAAGCCCATTTTTATGGGTAGAACATGAGAAAAAGGAGAGTTATAAGACTGTATGACAGAGGAGAAAGACAATCCAAACCTCTAGAGTTGCTTTATGTCAGGCTTATTTCTGCTACTCCCTAACACTTCCCAGAAGATTAACGTTTTCTCATTCAAAACTATTTCCCTTTTCTTCTCTGAAGGATGCTACAGCAAAATAGTCTACCTCAGGGGTCTGCAACCTTTAAGACAAAAAGAGCCACTTGGACCCGTTTCCGAAGGAAAAAAAACTGGGAGCCGCAAAACCATTGCGACATTTAAAACAAATATATCTCCGGAGCCGTGATCTGACAGCGGGCGGGAAGGTGACGTCGGGACGGTGCGTGACTAACGCACGCACCGCCCCCAAGCGACATCACAGCCAGTACAGCGCCCGCCACAGTGGGGAGTGTCAGGGCGCACAATGCGCCTCCTCCCCTCGCTAGTATCCGCCCCGGAGCCGCGGCAAAGGTGTAAAAGAGCCACATGCGGCTCCGGAGCCGCGGGTTGCAGACCCCTGGTCTACCTAAACTAACGATGAAGAGACCATACAATGGCGATTCCTCTGGCCAGAGGATGGCACTAGCACACCACACAGCTGTTCATACTTTTTTTAAAGAAGACCAAACCTTCCAGCTTTCTCTTTTTCTCTTCTCAGCCCTCTCACTTACCAAAGCAGGACCACTCAAATGAATGGCTGTAAACAAGTAGATAGTTTTTTAGGAAGAAAAGCAGAATGTGCAAGCTAAGAGAAGACAACCATCCTACAGCAGCTTTTATAGGCATGGAGATCAACTAGTGTTTTTAATACACTGGGGTTCTGCTTCAAGTCTGCCACATGCACTGGATAAGGTAACATGTATACACTGCTTTCCTTGGTCCAGTGGCACAGTGAGAGGTGCTAGCAAACTGCCACAGGACCCAACACATACATGCAGGCCTCCACCTACCCCACCAACCTTACCAATGAGAGCTTCCTTCAGGCTTGATTCTACAGGCAGAATGTTCTTCTCCACCAATTCCATGGGACCTGGCCGCTGGGCAATCTTCTCATTGAGGTCATCGGCCAGTCTGGCCCGCTTCAACTTCAGCTGCTTGGCCTGAAGGGAAGGTTCAGCAGAGGTCTCTGCTCAGGGGAACAGCAAAAAATATGATCACCTCTCAAGTACATGACCTCGGTACAAAGTTGGCAGTTCACCGTCTGCATGGATACATGCCCTCCACTAAGAGCAGTTCTATTTGTTGGCAGCACACTCCCCTCCATCAAGAGCAGGCTGAATACAATGGAAGCTATGTTTGGTCTGCTCTTTTACTGTCAGGAGATTTATTTTTTTAAGTTAGTAGCTCACAGTAAATTCTCTATTTTTTTCTCAGAAAGAGCTCAAATTGGCCTGTAAAAAATCTAGCCCCCATTTATTGCAAGTCTCAAGCCCCCATCAAAAGAAAACTGGGCAAATGATGCACAACGGTCAGTGAGGTGTAAACAAAATACCTAAGTACGTTCTAATAATCCTGTTCCTGTGATTTATATTACCTGTTCTTAATTATGAATTTAGAATTTTTGTGACTTGCCCTGGGACCCATTGGTGAAGGGCAGGTAACAATGATGACGATGACAACAACAAACAAACAAACAAACAAACAAACTGCCCAATCCTGTTCCAACAGCACACTAAACTTCTACTGCCATCCCTTAAAACATTTAGAAATAATTCTCTGGAGAATTTGCTAACCTGCCACCCATCACTTTTCCTTACTCACAACCATTTCTGTACATCCACATTCACTCAGGATTCCCCCCCCTAAAGAAAAGGTATCTTAAATGATATGCAGGGGTTGCACCATGCTCACAGATGCAATGGTGTCCTTGAAGTCTTCCCCTGGTGCCTATGATGTATCTGAGGCCCCACCCCTGCCCAAGTCACAAGGTGAGGAGGATGGTTAGCTTTTTCTTCCTTGAGAAGTACATGGGGCTCAAGGAGGAAGCTGGGACCCACAGCACTTGTTCAAAAACCTAGAGCAATTCAAGAATACAGACAGTGTGCCTGGAAGACCTTGATAGCAAAGTATTTTGCTCAACGTTAAAGCGCTGACCCACACCAACAGTACTGGCCCAACCCGCCAGCCAGCCATCCCCAGCTGAATAAGATTAACATACAAGAGCCATGAATGTAAAGTTGTATCTATAAAGGGTGAAAATTTACAAAAGAAGACTGCACGCCAAGAATCATACCTTCCAGAATGTGCATCCTCACTAACTCTGATCTCTCTGGCCGGGACCGGATCTTCCGTTTCAGGTAGTCCTCTGTCTGCAAAAATATATATGGAAAACAGCATGCTGAACCCGTAGGAAGACAGGACTGAGGCAAATAACATACATGATTTTTTAACAGGGAAATTATCTTGGATTTTTAAGCATATGACGAGGTATAACATTCCCACAGGTTTTTACTACCCCTGCCATTGCAGCAGGCTAATGATTCCAGAACATTTAAGCAGTATCAGAGAACCTCAAGCAGAATGGGTCACAGAACTTAAAAGCACTAAGCACTTTGAGATTCTTATGTTGTGGTATGTTAAATTCTCAGGTTGCTTGGGTATAGGGAGAAACACATCTATTGATCAGGAAACTTGGGGAAAGTCAGTTACTTATCTTGAATCATCAGTCACCTTACAAACTGTATAGCAAATCTGGAGTGATTTTACCCAGGCTCTAATTCTATTAACTTTAAACAAATGTTAAAGGAGAAAGAGGAAGAGAAGATAACAATTCTGCAGCCAGTTCATTCACTTCTCATCCAGCTAACAAGAGGCTCTTTTGGGAATGAACTGAAATACTCCCAAAATGAGACACGGTGCCTGCATTCAGTTTCCTTATTTTTCAGTTTCCCACTTAGCTTCTGTATTATCAAGCTCTCAGCTAGAGAGAAAATCAAGCAAAGTCCAAGGTACCTGAAAGGTGCAGACATGTTTATAATTAAGAGAAACTATCACAGGTGGTGTGCAGAATGGAAACACGCAAGATGCTCAACAGAGAAGCACTTAGAAGAATATGCAAACAGTTTTGAAAATACATCACAAATGCAGTAACTCTCTTGAAGCTAACTTGTGGCTTACCCTGGCCCGTTCCAAGCTCCTTCTCTGTTCATGAAATGCAGCTGGACTTTTCAGAGCTGTTGGAAAGATAACAATGAAGGAATTACAAGAGTTGGTCTCACACATTTCTAAACATGACCATGCTACTTAAGTGTCACCCAATTCAAAGTACAGGTGTTACAATTAAATAATACAAGATGCAGTTTCAACATGGTTTTACTGTGTTGGCAACCGCAATAAATCAGAAGCATCAGGGCCAATTTGACAACCGAGTCAGTCAATGCTTGTTAGAGAAATATATGCTTAGGATATATTCATTCTTTATTATATATAATGATTTCAAAACAGGTATCAAACTTCTTAATTCTGTTCTAGCCTTTCATAAAGTCAAGAGTCTAAAAATTTAGCATAATAAAGCCTTGGAGTTCCATTAGCAATAACCTTGGAGATAACTGTTCAAGTCTTAGCCATGTTCTTAGCAACCACATACCAGAAAAAGGTGTGTGTGTGTGTGTGTGTGTGTGTGTGTGTGTGTTTTGTTTATGGAGGCTAAGAACAAAGAAGCAGGGTTAAGACTAGAAGATGTGAGGTGTGACGATCAAGTTGGAATCATGATGCATGCAATCTGGACTTTTGCTACTTACTCTTGGGCTATGTAATAAATATTCCTGTGCATGTGAAGAGGGCAATATTGAGACAAACCAGGATTTTGGCAATGGATGTGGGTTGCAATGCAACCGTATGACATCCTGGTTCCTGAGACTTGGTTTTCCATTGTATATAAAGACAGCTCTGTCTCAGTGCCAATTCAGAGAAGGCTACACAGCAAACCCCCAAAGAAGAAACACTTTGTCTGCAGGCATCTCCTTCCTGGACTTTTTCAGCATATGGACCAGATCTTCTATCAATTTAGGATGGTTTGAATCCACACAATGGAGTAAGCTCCCATTGCGCTGTCCTAGCTTCTGCCAACCTAGCAGTTCGAAAGCATCCCAGTGTGAGTAGATAAATAGGTACTGCTGTGACGGGAAGGTTAATGGCGTTTCTGTGCACTCTGGTTTCTGTCACGGTGTTCTGCTGTGCCAGAAGTGGTTTAGTCATGCTGGCCACATGACCCAGAAGAGTGCCAAAAACCCCATAGTAGTCTTTGACTGGCCTTAACCATTCAGGGGTCCTTTACCTTTTTAAACTTTGTCATTTTAAATTCACACCCTGGTATGCTGTCAACCTAAGCCAGCTGAGGAAGTAGCCATTTTTACAAATTGCTTAGAGGCACTCTAGGTTTATATAAATCACTTAAATAAATGCAACCCCGCACTGTTCCTCACAGAAGGCACACGGACAAGAAAGATTTGATGAAGGGATAATATGACTTCACCAAAGAAGTCTCAGTGTAGCTGAAAACTTCGGCACAAGTAGAACTGAGCATGCAAGATGCATGAAGTCTGACATGTCAACACCAACATTACACACAGCCACATACATTAGGATCTGATCATTTACAGCAGGTCCACGTGCAGACAGGAGCAAGGAAGACTGGTCAAGCACACTTGTCTACCAATACAAAAGTGGTAGAGAATCTAAGGAGTAACATAAAGAATGAACACCTTCCCTGTCTTTTCTCACCACTGAAGAACTGCCAAGAGAGACCCTATTTTAGGACACTGATCAACTGCTGCTGAGCACTGTACAAGCCTTGGAAGAATCCTTTGGCAGGGCTTTTTCTCTGCCAGATTCCAGTAAGCTCACATTGGCTAGGACTAATATGACTGCTGTCTGCCAACAAATCTTTTCTCAGCACATTGTGGTAGAGTGCTGGTTGCCAGCTGAGTACTTGTAATGTGGAATGGTAGCTTCAGTTGCATAGAATCCATGGGTCTATTACAGTGAGCAGAAAAATCTGGGACTTAGGTCCTCCAATCTACCACCAGAAGCCATTCAGCTCCAGGTTAGTGGTCATGCAAGAACCAATCACAGAAAATGATACCACACCATATCAATACTGCCTAAATAATGCATCTGTTAAAGGTGTGGTCCTTAATAGCTGCAATTTCCTGGCATTTTGGAGCTTGAGTGGACATGGGAAGTCCTTAACACAACATGTCAAACCAAAAGGGTTTTTGTTAATTGAATTCTGTTCTTAAGGTGGTCCCTCTATTCTGATTTTGTGTGTGTGTACACACATGGAAGACTAAATAAGCTCATCTTGCTTTATTGGCCAAGGGAACTGGTATACAGCTTCCGGGTCATGTGACCAGCATGACTAAGCCGCTTCTGGTGAACCAGAACAGCGCACGGAAACGCCGTTTACCTTCCCGCTGGAGCAATACCTATTTATCTACTTGCACTCTGATGTGCTTTCGAACTGCTAGGTGGGCAGGAGCAGGGACCGAGCAATGGGCGCTCACCCCGTTGCGGGGATTTGAACCGCCGACCTTCTGATCGGCAAGTCCTAGTTAAACCACAGAGCCACACCCCAACAAAAGTCTTTTTTAGTATCCTGAGTGATGAAATTCTATTGGTTTATTATTATTATTATTATTATTATTATTATTATTATTATTATTAAAAGGAGTAACTAAGAAGCCTGTTATCTTTCAACTGAATCCCCCCAAAGGGAAATTCTCATTCTCACAGGTATTCTATGAAAAACACTTGGCTTGTTCTTCATCCCAATGCTGGCAGTAATGCAAAGAAAATAATTCCATTCTTGACCTCTGAAAATGCTGAAGGGAACAAGTCTCTACTTCTCCCACAAGATTCTCTTGGAAGAAACCAAAGATCACTGGTATAGTATGTATTATCAGACTCCATCCAAACTAACCAAACAGTGTACATTTTTCTTGGCTACATAAAAAGTACATAACAAATGGCCCAGAACTGTCAAACAACTCTACCATGTCAGTTAGGAGATCGACCTTTTCTAGCATGGCCTTAATATATTGTGTAGCTATAAGTAGCCAAGTTTATGAACTGCAGTAACCCACACTTTAGAGAAATAGACTGTCATTTTCAGCTTTTCATTTTTAAAAGACTTCCATCCCTCAGGATTGTGAAAAACATGGAAACATAAAAGAAATCATTGCTGAAAGCCGTAAGACTCAAGATATGGTCCACAAGACAGCCTTTGCAGATCCAATTCAAAGCCCACCATTGTTCCAGGCTTATTCCATTCCACCCTAATTCAATGCTTTGGGGCGGAATTCAACTACTACAACTCATCAGTGCAAGGATTTCTGCTTGTACAACAGAATTTCCCCCTCTCCCACCCAAATCTGCTCCAGAGGGTTGCAGGAACTCATGAAAAAGATATTTTGGTAGGGGGAGCGCACAGGGAAGGTGAAGAGGAGAACATTCCATGCTACATTGCTGAGAGAATGTTTACACAAACAGTACATTGAACACAACCCTTTATTTCCCAATATGGAGGAGAGAATCTGCCCCAAAATTATCAAAGCTTCATAAAAATAAGAGCAAGGGATATAGTACTGCCAATTAGGTAGAATATACATATTAAATGTGTGCTGTGTATGCACCCAGCTGTTCACTTCTTCTAGCCACTATCAAGGAGGAATGGAGCAAGACAGCACCCAGTCCCTCAAGGACTGCAATGTAGAAAGAAAGCATTTAAAGAGGTTGCAGAGCCACCTCTGCAAACCCCTAGGTTCCATGTAACAATCTGTATATAGCCAGTCTTAGATGCGTAACTGCACAGGCACTAGGAACCTCACTCACTCCAACCTCTATGCATCAGCAACATGACACAGAAAAGTAGCCATAGGCCAATATTCCTTTCCATACCCTACCTTTGCTATATTTTGAAGATTTCAAAGATCCTTAAAGGACATCCATTAAGGTGCTGGCAAGCAAACAGTCTGAAAATTGATTCTAACCCAGAGTAGTTGCCAAACCTAACCATACTATCAGACTTATTGATAATCAAGATAATTAAAAACTTACTTGAAAAGGAACAGATTCTAACAGTAGGACTTAAAGTGGGGCCCTTTCAAGTAACATTGGTGCCACCACCAATGTATCCCTGTTTGATCTGATGAAGTGAGAAGGAGGTACAGTAGTACCTCTGGTTACGTAAACTTCAGGATGCAAAAGCGGCAAACCCGGAAGTATTTGATGGGGTTTCACCGCACGCATGTGCAGAAGCGGTCCTCAGGTTGCGGAAACCTTGGGATCCGACTGGACCTCTGGAACAGATCCCATTCGCAACCGGAGGTACCACTGTACTTGGAACAGGACTTTCTCTGAGTATTTCAGTGGTAGGCTCATGGCCCAGGCTGTGTTTTCAGAGGCAGTATGCCTCCAAATATCAGCTGCTGGGAATTGCAAGTGGGGAGAGTACTGTTGCCCTCTGATCCTGACTGTGGTCTTCCCATAGGTTGGCCACTGTGACAACAGGATGCTGAACTAGATGGGCCACTAATCTGATCCAGCAGGGCTCTTCTGATATTCTATAGGGGGAAAACCCAAGATTTTTAAACTACACCTTAATTTAAGCCCAGTGTTAACAGCAGCAATTAAGACTATTCTCATTTAGAAACTGAAACACAACCAGGGCCACTACAGGTAAACCAACTCAGTTCCATTAGCTTTTACAAAGGAAGATGCTGGAAAGATAATCAGAATTATCTGCTCTTTTTAGGAGCTAAATCGGAAGAGATTTCATTCCTCGAGTATTATTATTTTAGCACTAGCTGAAAAACAATTCAAAGCCATGAAGCAAGTTGTATGTTTCTATTATGTTCTCTTTCCTTAAAAGATCCAGGTGTCAGTATATTCAAGTGTTGTTCTAGGTAAAACAACAAGAATGAGACACACTAACCTCATAAGTTCAATATTTTAAAGAAACTTAATGGTATCACTACTCATGTAGATAAAAGCCCATCTATAGGAGCTTACAACAGCTTACAATGTGTTGCCCTGTAGATGTTGTTGGACTTCAACTCCCATCATCCCTAACCATTGGCCATGCTGGCTGGAGCTGATGGGAATTTTTGTTCAACCTTGGGGTTTCCCCCCACAAGTGTTTGGGTTCTCCCAAGTCTGCTGAAACCTTCCTCTT